GGCAGGGTCACTGGCCTGCATGCAAAGCCTTGCTGGACATATGGAATTAGTTGCAGTTTCTCTGAATTGTGGGCTAAATCGTTTAGATGTAAGCTTTGACTTTTCTGTCTCACAGAAATGGTTCAATTCCCCACCCCACCACAGGGGTTATAGAATAATAAAACTCTTGTCCAAACAAGCAAGATATTAAGAGACTAGATTGGCAATGTTTTGTGGAAAAGCAGAGTGTTTTATGAGCATTTGTTCCAATTTCTTCTTTTTTATGCTTCGGAATAATGTTATCCTCACAAGATGAAACAGGCACACCATATTTTATCTTGTTTTATTTGTTTTATTCTTCCTTGAAGTGGTTGTCTCTCACAACATTATTCCTCAGACTGTGAAACCTATCATATTAGTTGAGCATTTGGTGTGGGGATTGAGCCAGTATTGTATAGCCAGAGATATTGGTGGAGCCGCAGTACTCCATCCTCCGTGCGATAATTATCTAATGGAATGAATATAATAAAGACCTAATGTAGATTAGAGATATAGAGCTTTTATTCCTGAAGATTTATTGTGCACTTGCCATTCCCAGCTCATGGTCATTTATGGGCGCTTTAGACAATGGCATGATCTCCCAGTTTTGCTTATGTGTCTAAGCAGCAATTCTGGCATTTTTTCCCTTTTAGAGCAGGGAAAGTTTAGCATTACATTGTTAAAGCAGAAGAAAGAGTGATATTTATTTATCGATTTATATCCTGCCTTTTTCCTACAAAGGGTTCAAGGCAGCTTACATCATTCTGCTCCCCCATCTTATCCCCACAACAACAACCCTGTGAGGTAGGTTGGGCTGAGAGTCTGTGACTGGCCCAAAGTCACCCAGTTGGCTCCATGGCTTAGCGGGGACTTGAACCCGGATCGTCTGAGTCCCAGTCCCATGCTCTTAACCACTGCACCACACTGGCTCTCCTCGTGTTATATTTGCATTATGCCACCATACTACAGTGCCACCTAGAGGTCAGGTAGAAAAAATAAGGAAAAGAAATGTTCCTTTTGAACTGCTTGGATCTAGTAGATAGAGTGGATTAACAGCCTCATGCAAAAAGGCTTTTAGCATTAGTATCCCAGGTGCGCTGTGGAAACAATTTTGCTGCTGCATCCTATAGGGTTGTGAGGATTTTTAAGATGGTACATGCATCAGGAGCCCTGGGGCCTCACCTGGAAATCTATTCCAAGGTGGAACATGACACCTATGGGTTGGTTTGGATGCCTGGTGCAAATATGCAGAGAGCTGAGCCTCCAACCTTTGCCTAGTCAAAAGAGTAGCATCTTCTTCTGGTGCCTCTAGTCTAAGCCTCCAGCCACTGAGGCTGACTGTAGGAACCCAGAGTTAGAGAACACCATCTGGTTCTTCTTTAAGAATAGGCTTCTTTGGAGCCCACATTGACCTTGGCAACATTATCAGGGGTGAAACATCTGCAGAGGTTCCCCTGTCTGGCCCACAGAGGCTAGGCCTTGCCAAGCATCACCTTCCGGCCTGGAGGATAGCTGGGGCAGGGGGCAAAGCAGGGAGGAATCCCCTTGTGATATCTGCTTGGTGTGCCACTCCCCTTCCCAGGGTGCAGTGCAATCTGACAGAACTTGCAGGAGCTCCTTCAAGTGCTGGCCAAGTTTGCTTTGGCACTGTGTTTTGTTCCTCATCTGTGGAAGAAGAAGCAGGAGCTTGTTGGCTGGCACTTGCAGGAGTTCACAAATGCTGACCAAATGTGCTTTGCTCATCTTTCATTTCCCTTCATGGGAAAATTACTTTTTATTTCATTTTCATATGTTAACCTGTCTTAGAGATCTCGGTGCAATGTGTATATGCATACTTCCATTGTGGTTGTATGTTTATCTCTTTCCTAACATGAACAAAATAATTGCTTTCTTTCCTTGGCTGTAGTGGAATTATAAATAGACTGAACACGCGGCTGAAATCATTGTGATCTCTGTAAGACAAGAGTTGCTGTGGCAGATCTTATGATATGTTTGAGGTATGGATGTTTCTCTGATGGGACGAATGAAGGCTGAGGTTGTTTTTCCTGTTTAAATATACATAGGATTGTGTCCTACACTGTGCCATCTCTCTACCTAGGAATTTCAGGGGCAGTTTTACAACTTAGCAAAAAAAAAAAAAGACATTTCTCAGTGCTATTTCAAATATTTCTAAATGTTCTTTACAAATTTCAACTAAAGCACTATTTGAACTAAATTTGAAAGAGTGTGATGTGAAATAGTTGTACAATTTCTGAAGGAAGATCTAGGATTTCAATAAGAGTAACATAATTTTGCAGGGCTCTACAAACTGAAGTTTTGTAGAAGACAAAAATGTGCTTAGGTTATCTTGTAGTTTTTAGAATCCCAGTCTCCAATGCTGGCTTTCAGAATTAGGAATAAGAGGGTCATTTTTAATCATCAACAGAAACATCTTTCCTCCAAATGACAGCACATATCCCATCAGCCACAGTGGTTCGGAATCAATCCTACCATGCACTGTTCCTGCCTGCCCAACTGCCTATCCCACATTGGTCTACAACTCAATACAGTGAAGACGTAAACCCTTGAAGCAGCTATCATGCAAGTCAGTGGAAGTCCAGCCAGCACTTCCAAGCAAAAAGAAAAATGGCTAGAGAAATACCAAATGTGGGGTGGAACACCAATCTAGATAGCAAGCAAAGCTGTGAAGAGAAAGTACTTCCAAAATGGTGTTTAATGATGCATTCCATACTTTCAAGCAGGTTTGTCCTATTTCAGCACTTCAGCTAGCCTTAACCATGAGGAAAAGATAACGGAAACCGAAAGTAGGGCAAACCCATTAGAGAATGATTAAAAAACAGAATTCATTACAAGCAGAAACTTGTTTTGAACCATTGCAGTGGCAGAATGGGGTCGGCTCTGGAGATAAGTGACAGGTGGTTTCCTCAGAGTGGCCTGTTTTTATGATTATTGGTCCTTAAATATACAATTAATCTTTAATGTTCCTCACAGTGCAACAGCCAGGCATTTCTCAGAGCATGAAAACTGTGTGCATACATGTGAGCATTAAGTGTGAGAGGGAAATTGTCATCGGAAATTAAGTGCTTCTTTGTTACATGAATTGTTCATTCATTTTGGATTGAACCATCTTTTAATGGATGGGCATGGTATAATGTAACACTTAGTTCATTAATTAATCCAGATAACAATAAATTGTGCACATAACTGCATTTATCTTTGACTAGCTTTTGTTTTAATTCAAAACGCTGGTTTTCCTTACTCATGTCATCATGGCACTGCAGTCCCAGCTGCTTGTAGAGGTAATGATAGGCTGCATTAGATCTGGTGAGTCACAATTTGTACAGCCTTGACTGTAACCTTTTCCCGCCTCAGAAACTTCTAGGACTTCCGTTTCAAGGTCCAGCTTTAGGTAAACATTTCCACAGAGGTTTACCTTACACCTCCTCTTTGTTTACCTGACACCTCCAGGCCAAGATGTCTCCCCGCCCCTCCTCTGCCATTTAACTTCTGAGAAAACTGGTTTTAGCCACCTTTTTATCTTGCACCATTTCATTATTATTTGTTGACTGTCTTAATTATTGTCATGCAGGCCACTCTAAGAATATTTATACCAAAGGGCAACATACAAATTGAATGAAAGAATTAATGAATGAGTAGAATGATGCCTGATCACTTTGTTCAGGGCGTTCAATGAGGATTACAGAGCAAGGAGAGAAGCTCATGGTAGGAGACCAGATTATCACACAAGTTCAAAGTCTTGGTTATAATAAAAATTGCTTGGAAAGGAAAAGGAGGAGGGAAAGTATATTTTAAGACTATTTAGAAACATAGAAACAGAGTAAGCCAGAAGGGGTTTCCGGGCCATCTAGTCTGACCCCAGGCTCCAATAGGCTACATTCATGACATGCCTACCTTGTTGTGGTTGTTTGGTTTTTCATAAGTAAGCAGATATATAGGTCTTGTGAAGGGTAATGTATGTGATTGGAAACACTGGTGGAAGAAATATTGCTCCGTGTCATCCCTGAATGGTGCTCTTGTTAATCTTGAAACCAGGGGGCTAGAAAAGGAGGATCTTAACTGCTGTGGGGCGGGAAGGTGGGAAGTCAAAAGGGAAGGGCCTTCATTAGCATGCCTAAACCTGCAATTGTTTAGAGCATCCAAACTCTGCCTAACAAACAGGTGGAGCCACGAGGGAGGTCTCATTCAGATTGTTTCTGGGAAAGCCTTTCACAAAGGCGGTGGGAATGCGGAGCCTGGAAGGCAGCTGCAGGGCCACTTGTGAAGGGATGGCCACTGGGCCAGACGCTTTGTCATGGCACGGGACTCGGATGCCTCTTCTCTGTGTGGCTTTTTCTTTCCCCAAACATAAAGTGACACAAACAAGCTTTTGTGCCTCACACTGCCCGCTTTCATTAGTCCAAAGACAAAGGAGTGATTATAACTCCATTCTTTGTCTTGATCGGTCACCTGGTAGGCTTGTGTCTCCAGCTGCTATGCAGGGGGACTGCAGCTACAAACAGGCATGTGTGGCTAGAATGGGTTTTTCACCCAAAGTAGGCTTTTCATGTGAATTCATAATTTTAGCTATCATTGTGAGATGTTGTCTTCCCCTCCTTTTGACTTTACCACTTGGGGAAAACAAGACATCCCTGGCATCTTTTCATAGTGTTCACTGTTTACTATGATTCCTTGCTTAATCCAATAAATCAGTGTTAACTTATGGGTTTGTTTGCATTACTTAGTCTGGGCACGGAAAATGCTTTGTTCAAAGAATCGAGGGTGGCAAAATAGAGCTATCATCCCTTGTTGTGGCTGTGGATACACTTGGTCATTATTATCTATTCCCCTCTGTCCTATTATATATCTGGCTGAACAGGTCTGGCAGATTTCAAATCTCTAAAGAAAGATTGCATGCCTCCATTTGTTTTAAGCAAATCCAAGGAGTTTTCATAATATGATCTGTCTCTCTTCCCTTACCTTAGATGTAAAGGAGCATCTCATTATGGCCTTACCAAGGAGCGAAAGCGACGTTCACAGGATGGGTCCCCTGATTCTAATGCCGCTTTAACTGTAGCCGCTCTTGGCCCAGAGCTCTCTGCTGCCGCCACTATAGCCTTAATGACAGATGAGCCAGGCCTCATTAATCCAGCCTTCAGCACCACCTCCGAAGACCACCAGACAGGAGCCAGTTCTGCAGAGCTTAACAGAAGCAGCCAAACTAGAAGTAAGAGTCAGAGAGAAGCACCTCAGAGTCTGCGTAACTTTCTCAGAATGGCCCTGCCTTTCTGCCATTTTTATGTGTACCTGTTTATATACTTGTCCTGGGGAGGAGGAAACTGCGTTGGAAAGTGGATGTGGGGTCTTGAGAGCCTAAATTAGCTTCCTGCAGGACAAGCGATGAAATAAGAGGATTGTTCACCAATTATTTCAAATGTGGTAAGAGGACCACTTTGTTCTGAAAAGAAAAGGAAGACAGGGAGAAAGGAAATTAATATTATATGGTGTGTGAGCACTCAGGATTAAATTCTGATGGGATCTGATGCTAAATGCATTCTTGGAATTTAATTGAACCACATGGTGCATTACATTTCTCTACTCACTTTACATATATAGACATGTTCAGGAAATGGCCAGATCTTATTTGACCTTGTTAGTGCTTGTTGGAGTGGCAGGTCCTAAGTAATGAGACACAAAATGCACAGGAAATATATGGACTTTGCAAGTAATGAGCCTCATATGAGCTTTCAGAAGTTAGTCTTCAGTTATTCCGTGTGTGTGTGTGTGTGTGTGTGCGCACGTGTGTGCATGCAAATCTTTATTTGTTTGCTTCCACATCTTTCCAGTGCGACAGTAGCCATAGAAGCAGTAGTAGCACCAGCTTATATATGATTATTTTTAATTTTTAATTTTCAATTTAAAACCTAATTTGTTTCTTATCCGCCTTAAGCAAAGAAAGAATGCATGAAAAGAATTGAGTAGCTGCTTATATAATAGCTAGCAGGATGGATCAGCCTATTTTAGATGTGCCATTCATGAGTTTATCCATTTTCATATTCATTTGAGATGTTTTCCAAAAAAACCCATGAGAAAAGTATGTCTTTAATAGTATTTTGGAACATATTTTCTCAACAAAATATACACACATCTAAATGTAATTAACCTAAAGTATGCATTTTGTTCATTCTTTTGAACTGAGACCAGCATGCAAAATTTGCAGAACTGCAAGAGCTCTGTGCATTTGTTTTGGAGATGTAGGTCTGGTAGTTTCACTTTGAAATGTGGACTGAAGAAAATCCTTCAGTATCCCTAACTATAGCATGCATTGTTTGAAGAATAGCACCATGAGCTTCGGAGACACATTGACCTGGTTCACACAAAGCAGCCATTCCTATATTGTTTAATCAAGAATTGCCATGGCTAAGCAGGGGTGAGTGAGTACATGGTCTCCAGTGCACCTGTCACTTCTGCATTCAGCTATCAACAATCTAGAATATCCATGACAACAATCCAGGAACAGGGCATTTCCAGGTTGTTATGGTGGCTGAACCAGGAAACTCTGGGTTGTTTAGTAGATAAGCTGTTTCATAGTTACCCAATAACAAACCATGGATTGTTACTTGAAAGTCATGTGATGGGAGCGCAGGAGGATGCATATTTACATATTGCTGCTCAGACCAGGAATCTATCTTTGAAATAATTATGGGTTATTGTTATATGTTAACCAGGTCAGTGATAGCTTGTTGACCTGGTTAGAAGCAAAAATAAAAGAGGTTATTCCAATGAAATCAGAGAGGAATCACAGCTTATTTCATTGGAACTTCCTTTCCCTCAATATACTCTACTTTTACTATGGCATGTACACTATGTCAAATGTTTCAGTCCTATGCCTAATTAACTACACTGATTAATTTGGCATCCCACAGTATCAATGCAAAATACTGCTTTTTGTAATTCTTGCAGAATTGTGAACATACATTGAGGCCTGTAAGTCCATTGGATTTGTCAAACTACAGTGTTACCTCAGCTCACAAACTTAATCTGTTCCAGGACTCTGGTCGTGACCCAAATTGGTTGTGAGCCAAGTTAAATTTCCCCATAAGGTTCAATGTAAATAAGGTTAATCTGTTCTGTAACTTTTTTTTTAATCAGAAAAATGTGAAGCAAAGTGACAACAACAAAGATCATGGCCATCTCCCCCCCAAACACCTGGAGCACAAGCACAGCCATCTACCCACTCCCCCAGCACGACCACGATCACACCCATCATCCTGACACGCACCAGTCATCCTGGTGCATTGTGGGTGGGAAGATAAGGGCACGATCGCTGCTGGGGAGAGACCAGCGTGAACACGGGTGCACTGCGGAGGGACAGACCAGCGCGAACGTGGGCACCTGGGGAGGGGAGATGGCTGAGATTGTGGTTGCGCTTGTGCAGGAAAGACAGGCACCATCACGGGTGCACTTGTGCAGGAAAGATGGGCGCGATCTCAGCCATCTCCCCCCCCCACCCCCAGCACGATCGCAGCCATCTCCCCACTTGGGGTTGGGGAGATGGCCGTGATTGCGGTCACCACCCAATGCGAAGTTTGCAACCTGAGTCAAAATTTTTATGACATTTTTGTTCACGACCCGATTTGGTCGTGAACTGAGGCGTTCATGAGCCGAAGTACCACTGTATATATAAGTGAAGTTAGAACTAATGTTATCTCCATTTAGCAGTTCTTAAAGTAAATATTTATGGTTTTTTGGTTATGTAGCCCAAATCAACACTATTTCTCTCTCTTCCCTTAGCTCGACATTTTGAACGCTCCACTATAAGAAGCAGGTCTTTTAAAAAAATAAACAGAGCATTCAATGTTCTTCGAAGGACTAAAAGTGGCAGTGCTGTAGCTAACCAGTCTGAACGGGAGCAAGAGAATGTTGAAACTTTGGGTACTTCTGAGGAAGGTAATACTTTTTACCTGTTATTCATTTGGCTCTTCTTTGAGAATTCAGTACCATTCTTACAATTCTATTTTTTGAAGAATTATCTGTTTCAGTTTCTGGTAAAAATCATAAGCAAAGAGAAAACATATTTTGTGGAGAAGACATGAAATGGAAATATATGATGCGAGAGTATTAGCTCTGTCCCTTTCTCAAGATGATCTCTATCAGGATGTTCTTTTGTGAAACAGGCTCCCCAGAAATTAATATTTCACCCATGCATAAGCTTATGCCAGAGAGCTTTCCAGTGTCTTGGACCATTGGTTGGAATCTTGGTCAAGCTACTTCAACTTCTGCTGCTTGTATAATAGCCTTTGTTTCTACTTTATGGGTACAAGAAATACAGCTCTTTTCCAAGGGAGGCTCATAAAAGTTCAGCACTTGGCTCACTCACACAGGCATGCATTTGTGTACATACATTTGCATGAACAGGTTCTGTTCTTCTTCATCATTCTCTTATTCCCTGATCCAAAATTCTGCAGCAGCTTCATGCCAACACAATGGGGAAATACATTTGGATGCATGTTGTCAAATGAGGCACATATATTGGCTGCAATAGCAACAACTTAAATAAAATTGGGAATCAGGTCTGCACAGAAAGCAAACTCAAGGGAATTATCCTGTTTGGACATCTGATACAAAGAAATAGCTGATCAAAACCGGGCCCCATCACTTCTCCAGTGTAGGCAAAGACTGCAGCTTTACAATGAGAACTCCTGGGGAGTTGGGGTTTGAAGAAAGCAACATTTAAGCAAGGCCCAAATGCCTGGTGGCTGTCAGCTGTTACCCTCTCATTTTCAAAATCCTTCACATCCATCAAAATTGGTATTCATTTAATCCTGTCAAGGTTCAAGAGCTGGCTGTTTCTAAAATTATATTTCCTATGTCATGCTTTCACTGAGGTCAGCTGCAGTTCAGATGGTTTAACTGCCAGTATTATTTTAACTTTCCTTTCAGTAGCTGTCAGTTTCTCTTCAGTTTATGTCTAGACATATGTCCCCTAACAATAAACATTTAGTCAATGTGTGATTTTAAAAGATCCAGGTTTGTCCTTTTATCAAGGTCTCCCTAGAAAGACAGAGCAGGCAGAAGCTGTCAGAGAACTGGAAACTGTTCTGTCTTTGTTAAGCGACCCAAAATGTAAATATAAAAACTGGGATGGACTGGAATTTTCATTTTACTCACATACAATCTCCATATCAGCATTCCCTGAGCTGGTGCCTTCCCATACCCCTGCCACGTTTGCTGCAGCTGGAAGAAGAATTCAGCACATCTGGAGGGCTGAGAACTCTGAAGGCTGAGAACTCTGATCTATACATTGGTGAAGCATAACTATAGTCAACCCTGTGACTTGCTGCTGGTTTTGCTTCTATTACCCTTCATGACACTGCAGTTGAATGATGATATACAGTGGGTTCTTGTGCTTTCTGAATCTGGACTGGTTTCCACTGGGTGGTTTAATTTTGGCAGGATAAGCCATCCTGATGTCCTGTAGCTTGTTTTAGGGGTTATCATACCCAGAATGGATGTTGTGTGGTCCAAACTCAGGAAAGCAATTTAATTGTGGGTTGTCAGGATTGGCTACAGAGCCTCTCAGTAAGGTGACAATCCCCCCGACCCCAAACACTCACTTGGTGGTCTTGCCCATGCCACAAATAGTATTCCTGATCAAGGACTGTCCCCTCTGCTGATACCCAGACAGCACTCTGGAGAGGACATCGCGTGTTCTGCACCTTTTTTCCCTTTCTAGTTCCAGGAAGTTATGCAGATCTCTTCATATAATCATCCATTCACATGTCCTCAAGGATGCCCTTACAGCCTTCCAATGTGTGTCATTTGCCTTGTCAGTGTTCTTTCAGCCATCAAGGGAATGAAATGCAGTAGGTAACATGCAAGGACATTCACAAGGAGAGATTTCATATAGGCAAATTTGCACACATTTGCAAAGGTTGGGGTGGGGGGAATATTACCCAGTGAGAGGAAAATGTCAGCCGTAAGTGTACAAAACCAAACAAAAAAGAATCTCCTGAGGATATTTGTGCAATTTACTGCAGCAAGAAGGAGAAAGAGGAAGAAATGGCTCTATTTGCACACTCCTGAGGCACCTTCTACTTTTTAAAGGAAGAGATCCTGGAGGAGACAAGCCATAAAGAATGCTGGGCTTATGGGTAAGAGTACTGAAGGGAATGGAAACAGAGAACAAGCCCCAGGAATCCCACCCTGAATTTTACTGTGAACAACCTGCACTGTGTAAACATGGCCTATTTCCTCAGTAAGGCAGAGTTGGGTGGACAATGACCAAAAAATGCATTTTTGAGGGAATTTCACTGTTAAATATTTCTAACAGGGTAGCTGTGTGAGTCTGTTGTAGGAAAAACAATGAAGAGTCTTCTGGCGTCTTAAATCTAGGACATATATAATGGGATAAGCACTTCGTCAGATGCAAGAATGCATTCAAACATAGCTGATAGGTGGGGGTGGGCACATTCCCCAAAAGCTTACACCTTAACCAATTTGTTAGCCTTTAAGGGGCCACAATGCTACAAAAAATATTTTTGTTCAAGTAGTAGCCATTCTTTACTACTGTATTCTCCCTGTGCCCTGCTGTCCAACATGCCAATGTAAAATTATGATGATTTTAATTATATTTATATCCTGTTCTTCCAAGAGTCTCGGGGCTCTCCCGCCAATACCACTTGATCCTCACAACAACTTTGTGATGTGGGTTAGGCTGAGATAGAGTAACTGGTCCAAGGAAGTGCAGTGAGCTCTAGATTGGAAACCGGGGCTTCTGCATTCATGCCCAGGATGGAGAAGGCATCACTAATGAGGGTTTAGTGGATCTGGTACTCTCCAAATGCTTTGGATGGACTTCAACTCCCATCAGCTCCAGCTAGCATGGACAATGGTCAGGAATCCTGGGAGTTCTAATTATTCATTACCAGACTTGTACAATTTGCTGTTGTGCCACAAACGAGACTGGATTATTATACATGTAACCAGTTGTATGCATTGGGTTTTTCTAGTGAATCAAAATGTTGATTTCATAAATGTGGCTTCTAAGTTCTAATATCTGTTTTGAATGGAGCCGCCTAAACTAAGCATTTGGAATGGCAGAGTGTGAAAGTTTTTACAGGGTGTATGGTTGGTGAGCATTGGTTGTAACTATTTGTCACATACTTAATCTGTTTCCCTGGAATTTCCAGCATAAATAGATGGAAAAGCTTGGAATTTGATCCAGGCCATCATAAGTACACAAACCCTAACTCTCTTCACTGGATGGAGACAGTGTAAACATCACGTGTATTTCATGGCAGAAATTCAGAATGATTTTTGTTTGTTTGTTTTAAAACAGCTATTTGCTGAGAATAGCAAGTTCACGCTTATGAGACTTAGGAGGATTTATTGATGCAGATTTTAAAGAGTCGAAAATATAATACACCTGATAATTTATGCCACTGATTGTTCAAAACCTGGACTAGAAAAAGGCTGTGGAGGTAGTTTTCATTCCAACTTTTTAGCCCAAATATGGCAAAGCCCCATTAGTAGCAATCTTAGTGGACCAGACAGTTGCCTTGCTGATAAGCAGAGCTTAAATAGCTAGAGAGTCAAAGAAATCTGGTAGGATTTGACTGTTTAAGATTAGTCATTGGTTTAGCTTGCTGTTGCAAAGGAAAGAGAGGAGCAAAGGAAAGGAAAATGCAATCCCTTAGCAATCCAGTTAAATATGATCTTTCCTAAATTCATCAAGATATTTGAAGCAATTACAGCTAACCAATTCTACCCAAAGTAGAAAAGATAGCATATTGTTGGCAGTGGGCGGGGGGTGGGATTAAGTGTAGGAGGAATTTTTAAAAAACCATTCCCACTATGAAATCTGCTGCACTAAAGAATATGGAAATTATGAAATGTTTGCCTTGTGACCATAATGGTTGAAAATCCATAGGCAATGCACTTGCAATGCAACTTGCAGAGGAAAAACATTACGAGCAACAATGATATCAATGGAAGTTCTAATTTTGCACGAGTTTGTATGTAGCTCCTTTGTGATGTTGCTAGCTCTATTCTCCACACCTAAGCACAGCAGTCTTCCATGTTCAGGAGAACATGTACAGGAATCCTAACCATTCTTCATCAGTCAGTATTTATAAAACATAGTTTACTATGGTTTCTGGCTGACTGAAGTAAGGACTTGTTAACCAATAAAATGGTAATGCCCCAGGAATGAGAAGCCTCATTCTCCTGAAGTTTTTGAGCTACTTGGAAATGTGGTTTCATAACCCTCTTCAGGCAAAGAAGGGCACAGACATTGGTCTTTGTAATCGGCAAGCAATATGAAGCCTCTAGATTGGTCAGAACCCCTCTAAATGCTAGTGGGTTGGATACTTCCCCTTTCTGGTTTATCTGAGGATCTTCCACCTACTGCTTTTCAGATTCTTGCCTTAGCAAATGATTTCAGCCATGCCCTCTCCAGTGGGCAATTCCATATGCAATTGTGTATGTAATTCTTTACATGGGGCTCTCCAAATGTTTTGGACTATAATTTACATCATTCATCACCACTGGCTGTGCTTGGTAAGGCTGATTAAAACTGAAGGCCTGCGCAACTAGAAGGCTGCAAATTGCCCACCCTTGCTTTAACTGGAAACACAGGCAATTGAAACATAGACCTTTTCATGTGCAAAGCAAATGTACTGTCATAGAACAATTGGTTTTATACCCATTCTTCCATCAGCCTCCCTCAACCTGGTTTCCTCCAGATGTTTTGGACTTCAGCTCCCATCAGCCCCAGCTAGCAGGAATGAGGTCGGAAATCCTGCAAGATCCAGTCCATATTATCTTGAAGTGACCAAATTGGAAAATGCTTGATTATATTGACTCTATATTCAACATATATTCAACTATGTTGCTGTTGTTCAGTTGCAAAGTTGGGTCCAACCCATTGTGACCCCATGGACAACATTCCTTTAGGCTTTCCTGTCCACCACCGTCCCTCAGAGTCCACTTAAGCTCACACCAACTGCTTCAATGACTCCATCTGGCCACCTCATCCTCTGTCGTCCCCTTCTTCCTTTGCCATCAATAGTTCCCAGCATTAGGGTCTTTTCCAGTGAGTCCCTCCTTCTCATTAGATGGCCAAAGTATTTGAGCTTCAGCTTCAGTACCTGACCTTCTAAAGAGCAGTCAGGGTTGATTTCCTTTAGAATTGACTGATTTGATCTCTTTGTAGTTCAAGGGACTCTCAGGAATCTTCTCCAACACCACCATTCAAAAGCATCAATTCTTCAGTGCTCAGCCTTCCTTGTGGTCCAACTCTCACAGCCATACATTACAACTGGGAAAACCATATTCCACTATATAAATGATAATATATAAATCTTAAATTGGACAGAAAATTCCTTTGAGAATAATAATTCAGTGAGGGTTGGGTTGGAAAGTTTTGGTTTAAAAAATTACTATTTTTTTCAGTTGAGCAATAGCATTTTAATAGTACCACTGGCAATGCCATTAAAAATTACCTACCAACAACAAGTAAATAGTCATTCTTCCAGATGCAGAGGACCAGCCATGTCTGTATATAGATGACATTTTTTTTATTATTGACAGATCCAGTGTATAGCACACCACCTCTCGTGCACAAAACACAAATGCATGCAGAAAGATCACAAAGCAGAATCGGCAAAAGCAAGACAGAAATTGCACTTCTTTCTAGATTTGGCAGTTCATCCACATGTAAGAAATTGAAGTTTAAGGGGGCAAAGAAAGGTATGCAACAATTAGCATTTTCCTTTTCTGGAAAAGCTTAAAATAGAATGGAGAGCAGTTAATGAGAAGAATTAGAACACAGGAGACAGGAAGGCAAGGTGGCTTTGCATGGCATTTAGAATGTAGCTAATTTCTGGCGTTAGGTAAAAAATGGAGATACTCGACTAGGTTGGTTGTGTCAGCATATTTTTTGTGTCCAGTTGGAAAAAGGACTACACTGAACTTAAGTACCAGCTGTGGTTAGGTTTGACCAGTAGTGTAGAATACCGACTGAATCATAGATGGCCTGAATCATACATGCGGGCCATCAGTACATACCATTCCTGGGCAGCTTTTGCTGCTTGCCTGCCATTTTAATTTCCCACAGTGCTTCCAGGGTCATTTGGGGAACTGAAGTCAGGTACTAGCCAGAATCCTTTTGTTCTTTATCCACTGACCCCAGTATTGCCTCAGGGATGCCTTCAAGTATAGGAGGGGCAACAGCAGAGGATACTTGGGGTCCCCCCAAGCCTAGAGCTATCCCTGCACTCATGATTGTTGAAAAATCCATGCCTAGAAAGTTTAAGTGCAAATTTGACAGTCAGGCATTTGCTGACATGGGTTATAAAGGTATAGTGTTCAGAGAGCCAGGATTACATATAGCCTTCAGTTGAGTGCAAACTCTGGAAAACTCAGATTTGCTGCTGCAGAATTTGTGAAATGACTTGAAGAAGCAGATGATGGAAATATGAAAAAGACGTTTTTTATGACTGTAATAATACCAGTAGTGCATTCCAATACCTGCCTTATCACACCTGATGCTGGTTTTGTCAGTAGTTAAAATTTTGTAAAATACTGATGCCATTGGTAAGTGCTGTTACTTAATTTGTGGCACTTTGATGGGGAAGGACTGGGAGAAAGTAAATCTAATATTCAGAACAATGGGGCTTCAAATTGGTAACTGGGTCCTTCTAATATGTTTGGATTCCCTCAAGTCCAAGTGCATCTGTGTGTTCAGCCGATGACATTGATCTTCTACTGGTTGGTACAATCCATGCGTTTTCCCAACCTAAAACTGCCTTGAGTGCCATTTTTGGCAGAGGGAACAGAATAAATCAAGCAAAACACACAAATAAGTGGAACATCTTCATCTTTTGCTTAGGATTTTAAGGAGTTGGGGAGGGCAGAATGGAGAAAATATGAAGAGTTAAAAGCTAAGAAAGTGAGAAACATAAAAAAGATACAGAAGGTATGTCTGGGTCCTGTGTCAAATAAAGTAAAGTCAGTCCCATACTGCAGAAAAACCTGTCCAGTCATGGCACAATCATATAATAAAAACAATAAGCAAATTAGTATAGCTGAATGACAGAATAATTTGTTAAAAGGTAGGCTGATAACAAGAGCTACAGATTTTAATCTGAGTAGGTACTTTCTGCATATGAAATGACAGAGGGGATCCATCTATGTCAAGAGGAGGTTCTCAAGGTAGATGGAGTTTTTATCATTGTCTCTCTTCAAAAAGCATGTTATTCAGTCCAGATGGCATTGTATGAAATTCAAAGTTTTATTCTGAATTATGAAGGTAGGGCTGGATTTTGAAACTGAAACCTCTTCTGGCCTTCAAACAGTAACCTAATTTATTATGACAGCATGGGAAATAACCATCTTCAAAAATAGGAGTCATTCTTTGATTATTCCTGCCTTCATCTTGCATCTATATTCATATAAATGTAATCTTGCAAAAAAAAAAAATCCATGTGCAACTTAAAGATGCTGATTAGCCTCTAAACAGGTAAATTATGGTGTATGGGGAAAAATCCTTCTAATGCACAGGTAACTTCCAGGGGTAATTAAATTTGGCCTTTGAGAAAGAGGGGATATGCAGTTCACAGACTGTTTCTGAAATGTGAGTTATGAGTTTTAGTGTCACTGCCCACTTGCCTGTGTTCTTTGACTTCGCAATCTAGTTTACTCCTAGGACAGGTTTGACCATTCAAAAATATTGGAGACAAGGTCCAAACATGGACAAGCTTAAAAGTGGGATGGAAAGAAAGTTGTACTTTACTAGAGCTTGAGGAAGGGGTGGGAGCATCCTAGATTGCAACTCTATTATCATGGTGCGGGGGGAGTCTATATTGTGTTCAAATTAATTGAATTCTGCTGACAGTGGAAACAAGTGCATCCGGTAAGATCTACAAGTACAAAACAGGTTATGTAAGTAAATGTTTTGTTCACACTAATCTTCAGTGATGTGAGCATACACATACAGATACTTTGCACCCTATCAGTGGGTGCTTCAGAGCAGAGTCTTTATTGTGCAATCCCCTTGCCCAATTCACACAATTGCACCCAGGGATGGTCCAGATGATGTTATTGCCTTCCACATGTAACTTTTCCATGTTTCCCCATCATTTTTCCTACCAGAAAAGCACAACTGTGAGCCATGGTCTCAGTTCAGAAATTCAGAAAATGGAATTTCAGACATAAATGGAAACCTTTCTTTCATGATTCATCAGTCTGTTTGTAGGGGATTGAATTGCGGCGGGGGGGGGGGGTGTATAAGGTGATCTATGTTACAAGATTCTGTGGGACCAAAAATGATGCTTAGGCTTTGGTGACCCAATTCTAGGGGTGCCAGCCTGCTAGAAGTAGTGTGTAATTCTAGGTTGTTGCATTGTTTGTGGTATGAGGAGTTCCCCACAAATATTTTCTGCAATGATTCAGGGGACACCAGGAACAAAATCAGTTTGCGTGGCAGCTGTTCCACCAAAAAGGCCTTTCATACATTATTGATAAATAGATGAGTCATGTTTCAGCTCAGAGAGGGCACCCAGATGACTTAGAATTGCACCGTTAAATCCCACAATGAACTACTGGTGTAGATCCCCCAAGCCAGATGGGGTCACTGCAGGGTTAAAGAGTTAAAGCCCCGCACTGCACAGTCCCACTCAGACTGGCTCTCTTACCTACCTTGCCAGCTATTTATTCTTTAAATCAGGCACACAAAGGATGAGGATGTGAATAAGGTGTATGGTTGGGCCTTTGCTGAATTGAAAAAAGAGATTTCCATTTAAATCAGTTAGGGATCGGGATCCCTAGTGATTTTAGGTTGCCTAAGTCACAGGTAGGCAAAAAGTAGATCTCCAGATATTTTGGGCTTCAACTTCTAGCATGGCCAATGGGCATGTTTGGTGGGTAGTCAAGGCCAAAACATCTAGAGATCTACTTTCTGCCCACCTCTGCTCTGAGGCTTTCTGCTGCAGTTTTCTAAATCACTGATGGAACTCATAGTTATTCTGTTTAGCATGCAATAATTAGCCTAGCAAAAGAAGTTGCTTTTTCTATTTAAAAAAGATGGCAGAGAAAAAAACTTGATTTTTGTAAAAGATCTGCATGCATTATTCTGGCTTTAAAAAAAACACACACACAAGTGTCCTTCCAGTACTGTGAACTAACAGTGATGTAATCTTTTACTCCATTTAAGATGTTACAAGCTGGATCAGTTATGGAAAATGTGCGTGTTTCGCAGTTAGATTTTTTAAAAAAGAATCTGCATTCCAAATAATAAGTCTTTTCTGTATGCATTTCAGTCTTCCCAAGATTATATCACCTCATCCCAGATGGTGAAATCACCAGCATTAAGATCAGCCGTAGTGATCCCAGTGAAAGCCTTGCCATCAGGATTGTGGGAGGCAACGAAACGCCATTGGTTCACATCATCATACAGCACATCTATAGAGATGGAATAATTGCCAGAGATGGAAGATTACTGCCAGGGGATATGATCCTGAAGGTACACTCTCACGCAGGTGGATTCACATATGAAGAGACCATTAATAACATTAGCAGAGGCACAGTTGTTTAAAGTCTCTCAGCTTGATTGGAGGACATGGCAAGTAACATTTTGAGGCTACACTGAAGAGCCAGGACTCGGGGGGGGGGGGGGGACAGTGGAAGGGGAATTAGAACAACATACTTGTTTCACTCCAAGCTCCCTAGGACAGAATTCTTTAAAGGTCAAACATAGGAGGTTATTTTCAATAGCAATCCATAATCTAGCTAAGGGGACTATTTGGATTTTCTTCTCATAGGCATGGATTTGATACACCTAAATCCATCCCTGCCCCATAATTCTCCAGAGTAATTAAAGCTTGGGTGGCCAATGTGTTGCACACAGGTACATGTTTGGAGTAGAGCTAGGCAGGCCTTGTTATGGTGTAGAACCAAGCCTTCTCCTGTCCATGTCTCTAACATTATATTGCTGTCTTTTCTCCGCTTAGAAGGCTACAAACAAAACCATCACTCAAAGTACAGTTAGCTGCATCCATGTTGTAGTGCCTACTGCAGTAGCATTCTCACATATTCTAGGCTTGATCTGTGGTGCTCTTTCAAAAAAAGGCAAGCCTGTTTTCTTGTTCTTCGCATCTGGTCAGCCTTGCTCAGTATTTTTGCTAAGGCCAAGCTAGTTGGGACTGATAGGAGTTGTAACCAGACATCCGAAAGGAGCTGGATTGATGAAAGCTGCCCATACCAAAGCAATGGTGTGGAAGCAACACTAGTGCTTCTGTTAATTCTCTTCCCCAGATGGGATGACCATTACTGCTTGGATAAACAGAGAGCACTCACTGTGGTCTAAGTTAAAGGATGGGCTGCAGCTTTGTGTAAAAAAAAAGAACAAGAAGTATGCTATGCAGCACAAGAAATGCCCATACCATTTGTAATAACTGGGTACGGGGGAGTCAGTTAGTTTGATGCTCTGAACTGTCACTTAGTTTGCAGTATGGTGAATCCTCCAGCCCTTCTTCCAGTGATATAGCTGGAACTTACTGATTATTCCATCATTCTAATTACAAGAGAAAACTAAGTTTAGCTGCTGGGAAGGAGCAAATCTTCCACAGTCAATGGGTCTCCCACTGCACCATCAAACTGCAACCAGCGCTTGATTTATTTTTCTTACAGTAGATTAAAATGTTGGAAGCAATAGCAGTGATAGGATCAAATATTCCAGGAAAATATATAAAGCGGACCCAAACAAAATATTGGTTATAAAATGTTTGCTTGGGAGTCATTTCAAACAGATGCATTTCCTGAGAATTTAATGTTTGGATCTCCTGCAAGTGAGCAAACCTCCTTTAGTTCAACTAGTCTTATTGTCTAAATAGCACATGACAATGTAGAGCAAGATCAATATTCATTGCTTCCTTTATATGTAGAAAAAAGTCTGGAAAGTGGGGACCACGTGTCTTGCTTGTAATTAAAGTAACTGGGTCAACGGAGAAGAAACACTAGATAAAGAGTGGGAGAGAAGAGAGGGTGTGTACAAAACGGCACTGGAAAGAAGAAAGCTGTAGACTCAAACTAAGATAGGCAAAAGGATATTGGAGCCTGAGGAAGAGGGTAAATAAAAATGAAAAATAACTATTATGTCTGGAGATAATCAGCAAGAGAGGAAGAAAACAGTACAATGTGTGCTGTCCTTGGGGGCAAGGATATTACATAATGAAAACTTGGCTTCTTTTGATGAAGGCAAATGCTGCATGTCACTCTAATGGGAAGACATCTGTGTAAATAGGTCGACTGTCTACAGTGCCAGTTCCAATTAGACAGCCCTTTACCTTGCTGATTTATGGTTCTGTCTTCCAGGTAAATGGCATAGACATTAGGAACGTGCCGCACAGCTATGCCTTGTCTATCCTGAGGCAACCTTGTCAAGTCCTCCGGCTCACAGTGCTCAGAGAGCAGAGATATCGGTGCCAAAACAGTGGACTCTCTTCTGACATTTCCTTCCACACTGATGACAGTTTCCATGTCATTCTGAACAAAAGCAGTCCAGATGAGCAGCTGGGCATCAAGCTGGTCCGCAAGGCCAATGAGACTGGAGTGTTTATTTTCAACCTGCTGGAAGGAGGTGTTGCTGCACGTGATGGGCAGCTTCAAGAGAATGACAGGGTGTTGGCGATCAATGGGCATGATCTACAATATGGGAGTCCAGAAAGCGCAGCCCAGCTGATTCAGGTTGTGTGCAACACCTTCCATGCAGTCTCTGAGTGCATCTGATGAATGATGATGAGCTATTTTGAGATAAAACCTGCAAAGCACTGACCCAGTTTGTGTGGGTTTTTGGAAAAACTGTCGGAATGACTGTGCATTCTATTCCTGCATGCCCAACTGCTTTCACTGAGATAAACAGCCCAGGGAGTTGTTCTCTGAGTTGTTCACATGACATTCAAACCCAGAACTCTGGGTTCTTGGGGAACGAACTGCCCATAGTTTGAACCCATGGACTTAATCCATGGTTGAACTTACTGCAGCAGAAGCAGGGAGGTGTGTGGGTACTGACACTCACACTCACTTCCACTGCATTTCCAACAACCCACACTGTGTCTCCAAGCCTCTTTATTTGGGGCTCATGATTCCCCACTCACAGCAGTTTGTGGATATTTTCCACAACAACCCTCCTCCACTGGGGCCTCTCCCATTCTTTGTATTCATTATAGTGTGCTTGTTTCTTTCACTAATAATGAAAGTCTGGTATTTCTATGAATGGCAGCATGAAATCCTGATGTACTTGTGCAGTTCCACTATGCCACAGGGCCAGCTAGTTGTTGTGTAATGGGATATATATAAAGGAGTTGTAAAGGAGCTGATCTGAATTGTACCAAGTATCTGTATTGTACCAAGATTAATTGTACCAAGAAACTGGAAACAGAAGCCTAGGAGAAGGTTAAAACTTTCATGTAAACAAATCCTACAGGTGAACCAGATCCCTGTTCATGCTCTGTGAGAGGGAATCTGCTCCACCTCTGCTGTTCAGAAGTTAGCTCTGCTCTATAAACACAAACCCTTTACTAATACTTGTGGAAAAGAGGAGATGATTTACTCAGTGGCATCAAAGGGACCATCCCACATAACATCTGCAGACTATTATCATAATACAAGATAGATTACCAACCTGATTTAGTACCATATTTCTAAGGCACTACACATTATAACTCAGTTTACATTACTGAACTTTATCAGTATGTACTCTTCAAAGGCACAGAATCCTTTGCTGTTTAGGTGGGTGACTATAAGCCAAAGCACAACCTACACATATATAGAAGTCTTATTGAAATCTGGGTGATCAGTCTTGGACTTAAGGGAAATGGCCTTCACTGATGTTCTGCCTCTACCATCAGAGAGTAAAAGGTGGCAAAGATTAAGGCCTGCTTCAACAATGGCATGAAAATCCCACTGAGGCTTGACCTCAATACATGGTAATTAACCCTCAAGCCTTAAAAGTCTGCAGTTTGTTCTTCAGTGAAAGCAGATAATTTGCTGTGGTGTGCAGTGACATGGTGAAAATGTCCCATGGCAATGTCCCATGGCAAGCCTACTCTTGTTTACGGAGACTTTGCCATGGCTTTAGAAGGATAACTGTCAGTCAGGGAAGACAGTAACATAGCCTCCATACAATACTGTTTTCCCTAAACTGTCCCTTACCAGCATTCTCTGTGCAGGTTATTAGTGAATAAGTGCCAAAGGTAGCATTTTAAATAACAGTTTAAACAGAGAGTAAGAATGGTTTGTAAACAGAAGGTCCCCATATGCATGCATACATGCGTACATGCACACATACATATACACACACAGTGGATTTGAGACCATTCACACCAATGTTTAACAGAACTACTGAAGCAATTACTATTTCCATTTGTGTCTCAGTCTTAGTCACAATGCACCAGAGTGCTTGCGCAGTGTATGTAGGGCTTGCTAGGGCAATGGGAAAACGTGGTGGTGGTGGCAAATTTTGGCAGTAAATTGCTGTTCTTCCCTATTCTTTGCCATAGCAAGCTCTAACTGCATTGCATAAGCAGAGGTTTTGGCAAGTGCAGCATGATTGGCTCTAGTTGATAACTTGCTGCAGTATGCAGTGACGTGGTAAAATGGTATGCTGCTCCAACAATGAGCATTAGTTAGACAAATATTTGAAATGCGAATGCTATCTCAAGGGATTTAAACAGCATGCCCATCAAAGAGACAGAATCACATTTCCATGATGAGAACTGTATGAATCAAGTTAGCCTTGCCTAATAGAACTCTCAGCCAGTCTAACCTTTTTTGTCTTTACAATAAATCCAACTCACTTCTTTTTAAGTAAGTTCACAGGGAAAATAATATGCTGAGGTATCACATATATCTTCTATTAGTTGTTTGTTTGTTTTTAAATCATGCTGTTCTCCAGCTGAAACATTAGACACTTAGTCACAACATAGACACTTAGTGGTTTGCTAAATTAATCACTCAGCATATTATGACTATATATTATATGCATGTGAATAAAACAGATGCAAAAGAAGGAGGCATGCTTCCTTTTGTACTTAGATGATGCATGCCTGTGTCACAGCAGGAGGAGCATGTTTTCCCTGCCCAGTAAAGTGTGTTTTCCCGCTTCCCTTCCAAATTGGAAATGGTTCTCTAGAATAATTAGCAAATGAAATGTTTTAATATAGAAAGCTCGTGTGGTTTAATCATTACAGAAGTAGGCTTGGCTCTAGATGACTTGTATTCAGGTCTGTCAAATGGCCCAGATCCATGATCTGGAGAGAACCATGACATTTCAAAGGGCTCGCTCCCACCCCCACACATGGAGAAATAAGCAAACATCAATGTTGACAACTTTCTTGAATATAACTAGTTTGGAGACTAATCAAGGGGAGTTCTTCAACTGACTGTATAATAACTTTGCATGGCTATTTATTAATTGGCCCTTGCAAAACCAGCTAGTTTGGTTTCATATCATGCCTATAGCTTTAATCAAAGGCTTTTTCAGACATGAATCTGTTTCTGGTTACCAGACAATACTGTGACTATATAGATTTAAAGTACAGATGCTGAAATTCCTATGCAGTGGCATGCCATACAAGAACTCAGAATAGAAGGCTTGAGCTTCTTTTGGAACAAACAGCATTGTTACTGTACAGCTGTAAGAAGTGTATACTTTATACATCTATGAACATATATAGACATGTGCTTCAGTTATGCATGTGACACAAACACATAAAATGAAAAGAAACAAACAAAACTCCCAAACCAAATGCATAGCTAAAATGAAGAGATAGGCCATGAGAAACCATTAGAAATTGTATGCAATTCTGTGTATCTTTCCTCAAAGGTAAGACATGTTGTATTCAATGGAATTTTTTTCCAGGCAAAAGTGCATAGGCTTAGAAACTTAAAGAGCTTAAGTACGATACCAAGGTCTGTAGCAGATGGCTGAGACAGATATCAGGCAGTTATGCCCGCTGTCCTAGGCAAAATAATAACCTTAAAACAATTGTGCGGGTCACAGTTCATGTCTGCCATTTGAGCTCTTTTATGTGCAGGCTATTGCAATTATTTCATCGCTCAGGAAAAGCTCCTTGAAATGTTACATTTCATTTTCATCTTCTGCGTTGAATTGGCAAGTTTGGTGTTACGTCCTCCGATAACATGAGGGTGGCCATGTGCAAAAGTAGGCAGGGCTCTTGTGCTGCATTGCATTCTTTTCTGCAGTTATTATTTTCTGCAGTTATTCTGCAGATACAGGAGCTAAGTCCTCTTTTGCATCCAGCCACCTTAAAAGGAATATTAACATCAGCATGGGATTTGTTTGGGTGGAAACATCACCCAAAAATAGAGAAACAAGCAAATAGGGATAGTAGTTGGAAAAGGTCATCACAATGGATAAATAAGTACACTAAAATTGTTAGTCAAAAATTCAGGTTGAAATCCTATGCATTTTAGACAGAAAATGTCCTATAATTTCCAGCATGCCTGAGCCTGCATGACTGACAGGGGAATTCTGGGATTTGTAGGACTTAGTTCTGCCTAGATAGGCATAGGATTGTGCCCCAAATCATTTAAATAAATGTGTATTCTCCTAATACTGAGAGATTTGGTTTTACAACTGATTCTCAAGCAGGGCTTTTATCTGCTCCTCTCCATGCAGGCAAGCGAGAAACGTGTTCACTTCACTGTGTCTCGGCAAAGCAGGCAACAGACTCCTGATATCTTGCAGGCGGTCGGATGGGATTACAACAGTAGCCATCATCAGCCATTCCCTGCCCTGAGGAACAATCCTAAAAAGGTGAGGCTAGCACTCCTTCCCTCTCGTTAGGGCTTCTTTCTGAAAGAGGGGAGTGGGGGTCTGGTTCATTGACTAATGGGCAATGTCTTGAAGTAGCACCTCTGGACAGTCTCGCCAAATGGAGCAGTTTTACTTTGTGGTATAAACACAGAAACTGTGGTCCTCCTTGTTTATATACACTGAGAAGTGCTGGTGCCTTGTGAATGGATGGTGGAGAGAGAGCAGGGGCTGAGAGAAAGGAAGTGGAAAGAAAATTACAGCATGAAAGTTCCAATATTCATATAGCCCTGATATTTGATTCTCAGCCATGCTTTCCAGAAAATGATAACTGGTGCATGAAGAAGCTTTTGCATCCATTTCTTCATCTGGTGCAAAGCGTGAAGGCTGGGCTGCTGCTAACATGGGCTTTAGATGTTCCCTGCCATCTGGTAGAAGGGTCACAGGACCATCATCATGTTAAACAATTTAGGGTTAAAAATTATAGGAGGGATGTGAACGTGCCAGTTCCTTGCATCTTTTGCAACAGCTAAAGGAAATCATAGCTCTGCTTTACTAAACAGATTGACAGGAAACATGAGAAGCTATCACTCTTTCACAGTGTTTGATACTCCCTTTCTCTGATGGTAAATTATAGTTGCAGGGCAACAGAGTCAGGCCTCAGAGTATAGCTGAGTTCCCAATGCAATGCCCCACTTGGTGTTCTGACAGATGAGGGTGGGGGAGCTCACCAACCTGAGGAAGACAAAACCACCCTTGTTTGGTTTCTATGGAAGGGATGCCTCTCCCCTTACATTCCTCCCCCCCACTCCCCCTCCCTCCTTTCTCTCTCTCGTATCTAGCCACTGTCTCAGAATTGCACTTACCAGACAGGACTAGCAAATGCCATCTACTCCTTATAGAAAAATCTGTCCTGGTAGCAGAAAACATACAGTATACATGGCTACAAAAAGAAAAATAAGTCAGATGAAAATCCTACACTGAGAAGTCAGTATATAAAAATGAAAAGGTCTTCACATGGCACTGAAAAAAAATAGACTTGTTCCAGACAATTGTCTAAGGAAGAAAATACCACAATTGTGGCACTGCGGCTGAGAAGGTGCTCTCACAGGTTGCTGTGTCCACCTCACTCGTGAAGCAGAGGGTCCTGAAGAAAGGGTCCTGAGGTCATCTTAACAACCGCACATTTTCGTGTGGGAATCTGCAAGGTCCTGTAGTGCTACACATTTCCCAGAGGGAATCATTTTCTGTGTTCCTACAACTTCAGCTGAAAGATCTGTCCTGACCAGATTACATTATTTTTCATACCACTTACAATCATATTGATCTAAGGAAGACTTACTATCCCCATGTGGATCTCCTCTAATGTAGAGGAAAGGGTGTTCCGTCTGGTTGCAATGAGAATTGCCCAATTTCTCTCCAACACATAAGGAGAATTATTTTCAGTACACTATCATGGGATGCATGTTTGTTCTGGTACACGTGAGCTTCAGGTTCCTAAACTGCCAGTTAAAGTTGGTAAATTGCTCTCCTGATCTTCACCCAAGCAATACTACTGTTTGGATCACACTGCGTTTTGGGTAGGTTTTAATCTCCCTTTCAAAAGTGCCAAATGCATTCATGCTTAAGTCTTATTAATATGATAGAAACAAAAGAAATTGATTGCATATGCAAGTTTCACTGCTTTCAATTTATTATGTTTCCTACAGTCACATTTTAAATTTCTATTCTCTGTAGGGTGTTTTCGTTAAACTTGTCCATCCCCCTCTGTATTTCTGTCTTTTCTTCAAGAGCCAACTCTCTCCATAGACATTTCTAGCACAAGATGTAAATGTGGGGTCAATATTGCTTTCAAGTTTCTAATATCCAGTGCCAAGAATAAGCTCCAGCCTTCAGCATCATTTATTGTTATAAAATGGCTCAGCCATCCCTTTTGGCGAAGGAAACCCATGACATCCTGCCTCCATGTGGAAAGAAGCAGGCTCTGAACCAGAGCCAATTGAAAACATTGCACTGTCCAGCACCAAGTGTCACGGACCTTTTGAGCCACTCTAAAAAACGCAACCCCAGACGTCACTGACGATAATTTGGAGTGTATTTTGCATGCTGAAAGGTGATCGTACATTTCTAGATAATGTGTAAAAGAAAAGGATGTTAAGACTATTGCATTCCTACATCAAGAAAAAGCAGCCTGAGAGTCATTGAGCAATGATTCTGCATTTATGCTTCGCAAAGTACTTCCATAACAGCTTTCTTGAAACTTTGTCCCAATATTGAATTTAACTCTCCTTTCCATAGTTTAAACCATTTTCTACTTCTCTTCTTATCAACAGCTGGGTTGTGAACTGTGTGGCTCTCCCAATGTTTGGTGGACTGCAGCTCCCAGCTGCCTCAGCCAACATAGCCAGTGGTGAAAATTGATGGGAGTTATAGTCCAGTTCCAGAAACTTCTGAAGGGCCATGTGTTTCCCATCCCTGATCAAAATACCAATGGCATTCCATATTTTCTTTGTGGCATTCTTTTCAAAATGGAAGATTGTCAAATAAGCACACAGTGAAAACCTTAGAAAAGCTTTCAAAAGGCTACAAATATGCAGATGCCTTTAATTATTACTCATATGACTCCTTTTAAGTATCATTTTTGTCTCTTCTTGTTAGAAATCACTTCTACTACTATGCTATACATGAATTTACGGAATAGCATATACTTAAAAAAAAAGTCAGGTCTCCAGCCTGAAAGGGTTACTGTCTCAATTAGATGAGATTCAAGTAGAACTGAGATAGGGCAATGAACATGAAATCCTAATGTCTTGATCTGTACATGTGGAGTCTGCTGTCACTTCCTGGACATTGGGCTGAATTAGGATCCTAATTTTACATTTCTAACTGATAAAAGAAGATGAAAAAATTCAAGCTTCTGACAACAGTCTTAGGAAAGTTACCTGCTAACTTGTCACATGGGGTTGGTTGCGGATTTAGGTGCATGCAACTGGGCTGATGGATGGACTTCACTGCCTTCTCCTCTCCACATTTCCCCAAAAACACTGCACAAAGGCTTGGTGCAATTTGCTGAATGGGGTAGACTGGGAGCAGGGGATCCCTGGATGTTACATCTGTCAGACTTTCAGGAATTATCTCTCGTCCCTTTCTCCCATTCAGAACCATATACATTCAACAGGGTTTTCTGACCCTCTATGTATCATGGGGAGTGGGAGGAATTGAGTGTCTGCTGTGGGGAAGAGGGGACTGCAAATCCACTTCCACCAGCCAAGTAGCACGTGCCTCAGTCTGATTGAGCTCAGTGATTTTGCTGGGACTTAAGAATGATTAACCTCCTCACAAATCGAGAACCCAGCTAGGTGACTTGCGGGCAATACTGTACCCAGGAGAGTGGGCAGAGGAATGATGCCCTGGGCTGGCAGTGAGTTTTGCTTGGTGTTGGATTTGGATATCTTACAGCATTGCCTAAAGGTCATCCTACTTTACTACATGGTGGAAGAATTTGTCAATATTGACCTGCTTTCCCCCCTTCCCCTGCCACTAGTAGAATTTAAGTTGAATTGTGCTCTTGGAGTTCATTGGAATGGCTTCTTTTGCATTGAGTATAAATACATTATCTTGCACTCTTCAAAGACTAGACCTTTTGCCCTTAACACTGAGGGAAATAAAACCATGTAGCTGAAGGAACAGATTTAGTCTTTAGGTAATTAATGCTGTGCACAGCACAACAGCTATTACCCATGGGACAGCCATCAGGACGCTGAGCTAGAGATAATCTGCTCTAAATATTTATCTTACAGTAAATATTAAAAAGGAGGCAAGCTGCTATGTTTTCACTGTCAGAGGAGTCCCCAGGGTAATGTCTAAATCATGGAGGGAAAGTACATGTTTAGAAAGGAACACACTGAAATCCTGCCATTGCTAAGCATAGCCTTTTAACTGGTTGATTTGGTTATCTGTGATAAAGTCAAGGAAGCATCATGTTTAGTAAAACAAAAGCTTGCATTTCCTTCATCCCTACCTATCTCATCCTCTCCTCCCTTAGATGAGTATTCCAAGTTGCCTTGTTTCTGTAATAATTTAAATAAGTAATTATGAGAGATTTTAAAGAGAAAATGATAATTATGATAGGAGTTTAGTTATGAGCTAGGAAGCCGTCAATTAATTTCTTATTCTTCTAATGAAACCTAGTTAGTGATGATGCATTACTGAACATCTTGATTAGATCTACATTTAAAAAAAAAAGACTGTACGAAAACAGCCTGCATTAGCTACAACATTACTGATGTGTGAGGCAGAGGAAGCATATACCTTTCATATGTGGTTACATAGTGAAAAGCTGCCTGACTTATGAAAAAGACATTTCCTCTCAAAAATTAGTAAGAGAACCAGAGGGGAAAATGAATAATTTTAATGTGTATTCGCTCTCTCTCTCCCTCTCTCCCTCTCTCTCTCTCTCTCTCTCTCTCTCTCTCTCTCTCTCTCTCTCTCGCTAAGAGAAACTTACTCAACATGTAATTGTAGACACAGAGTTCTGCCACAAGCATGTTCATTCTCAATTGAAGGAAGTATCTGTCTGCATGCATCTTTTTGCACAGCTGAAGCTCTGAGATGCAACTGAATTGTATTGCAGGAGAAATTTGATCATGTATTTAACATTGGGATAGAACTACATTTAATTAGATTTGTGGGCATACTTGAATTCAGCAGGGCCTAGCTCAGTTCCAGAGTCTGTTCCAGTGTAATAGGCATCATCACTACTGCAGTGAAATTTCTGAAGCATCTAGATGTTGGTAAAATTGCCCCTGGACACTGGTCCTTAAATCTTCAAAGGCTCTTAAGATGCATTTTTGACAAAAACACATGACAAAAGTAGATCTTCTATATGCATTTTCCTAGAGTGGAATCTTGTATTTCTGCTTGTGGAGGCAACCAGAAAATGGAAGTCCACACATGCAGGAACTCATAAGTACTAGTGCTTGAAGTAGACAATGCGGCATGACTACTTAGCACTTGTCACTATATGTTATCCTCATGTTCATCCTCATGTTCATCCTACATATGTATTTTCCAATGACTGCATAACTGAAGTATCGTACAACATTTTTCCCTCAGAAAGATTCTGCCATGGTTGTAGGAATCTGCTTGATGTGTCTCCATAAACTACAGGTTCAGAGGGAACATTCTTCATTTGTTCATATTTATGTGTAGCAAATTGATCCCAAAATTACTACGGAAGCTAAACAAATGGATTTAAGTACATTTGTTTAGTGTTGCAACCTAGCCATTACTTTATTGCAAGTCCTTGGCTGGGTTCCCATGTCATGGCATGGTTTCTAGTCATAAGATCTCATGGTTCCCACAGCAATGTGGTTCCCGTACTTCCTGCTCTGTCCTCCCATTCTCAGCAGTTCCCTTGGGCAAAATCCCCTTCCTTATTCTATGGCTCGTTATGGATCTCAGCAGCCTCATTCTGATTGGTCCATTGAGGTTTTGAGGCAGGTGATCCCTCTTTCCCCTCCTGAGTGTCCCTGCATCTCTGCAAAGCTTCCTAGATACTCCAACCCACAAAGGATTTTTTATTAATTCAGAAGAAGCACTGTTGTTGTGATTCCCCTTTTCTCCCTCTGTGCATTTACCCTCTTTACCCTTTGTTTCTGGAAGTAAATAAGAAGACAGGCACATTGCTCAGCCAATAGGAAGAAAGCAGGCAATGGTACAATGCATTGCTAGGGACCTGACAGTAGATAGCTGAGTGTCCCCTTCAATGGCTGCTCTTTCCATGGGACAATATGGTGTTTTTATACCAAAAATGGGAAATGGAGAATCTGTGCCTGGATGATCAGAGATGCCTCAGTGGAGACTTTAGAACCGACTGCTGATTACCTTCATGGTTTCAGAAAACTAAAGGTGCCACTCAGAAATGTCATGACTGAGTCTGGACCAACAAGGGTAAGAAATCACCATGGCTTTGCATGATGTGCAAACCCAGCCTTTATGCTTTTATTAAAACAAATAAACAAAACTGCACTTTGGATAAAGCACTGTATCCTGTGGATTTGTGTCTGCATTGGTGATTTAGAGTGGTGGATAGTTTCATATCTCCTGCTTCTGCAATATGTTCTGATAGAAGCTTTGTCCTCTTTTCCTCACTTTGCATTTGGACAATGGCAGTGCCAGAGGATGAAGATAGGATAATTGTCCATCAGATGAAAAGCAACTGCTCTATGATTTACAAGTAACTGTTAATAAATTGTCAGAGGGGTCTGAACTCTTGTTCGCTCTTTGTCCTTCACAGATCTCCCTCCATGCAGTCACCTGTCATGAAAAGGTGGTGGTTGTCCGAAAAGATAATGCAGAATCACTGGGAATGACTGTGGCAGGGGGTGCCTCTTCCCACAGGGAATGGGATTTGCCTATCTATGTGATAAGTGTTGAACCGGGTGGAGTCATCAGTAGAGATGGCAGAATCAAAACAGGTAATAATATTATGGTGTTTGGAGCATATTTTGGATCAAAACCAAAGCTTGATGCAGGGATGGGCAACTCTTCAGATGTTCTGACCTAACTGGACTACTGAACCCTCACCTGTGTCAAAGAGCAGCTGTAGGAAAAATGTGGGGGTGGGGGAGAAAGAGAGAAAGAACCATTTCCATCAGTGGTGGGGAATTTATGGTCCTCTGGATGCTTTGGCCTCCATCTCTCATCGGCTCTAGCCAGCATAGCCAGCGGTCAAGGATGGGGACAGCAGTAGGTCAAAACTTCCAAAAGGCCACATATTGTCTACCCCTGGCTTAAAGAAACTCAAACAATATTATAGTCATGTAATATAATGGCCATTGAACTTGCTTGTGTATTTATTTAGGCCCATTTGTTATTTACTTTGTGGTCCACTTGTCCATATTGTATTAGTAAGATTAAATCTATTTGTAAGATTAGATCATTTCAGTAGGTTCAGAAAAGTAGTCAGTAGCACATTTATAATCTCAGCTTGAAATATATGAATGCAAAGAATGATTTCATTAAAAAGAGAAGGACTTTTATCTATTTATTTCAGTTATTTTCCATCTTTTATGGGATTGGTCAAATGCTACTGAGTGAGCTTCATGATTGACTGGGAATTTGAAACTGGATTCCTAAGGGCCAAGAAAACTAGTATATTTTAGCTTCAATCTCTCCCTGCCAGTAACTAAGCCTCAGGAGAGACATTTCAACCTTTCAGAATTGCGGGGGCGGGGGCGGGAATCATGCAAAAGCCAAGAACCCCAGGGTGTAGGGCCAGATGCAGTAGATGTGGCCATCTGGTGAACCCAAAGGAAGCTGAATTTCACCCTGGTCCTGACCTTCTGTGCCACTGTATAGTATAGTGGCTCCCACTACCCTGCAGTATAAATGTTTGCAGGTCTTGCCATTGTCATAGCTATAGCATGATAGCCAAAAGTTAATCAAACAACCTGTTTTTGAAGGGTAGATTACTGGTTTTCATCAAAGACAGGTATGAGAAAACCACTTAAGTGAAAGATGCTGGCAAGTGAATGCCATTTCATTTGTTGATTGTTGGTTCAGAGTTGGTGACAGTGAGTAAGCCCACCCTTGCGGGTACTGGGTTCAAGTGTCACCTGCCTCCTCAACTCTTGCATTTTTGTACACTGGAAGCAGAGCCAATCTGCATTTGGTGTGTACCAGCGTATGAGTTCTATAGCCAGATCTAGGTTATTTTCTGAGGGCCGACTGCCTCTCAGTATTTCAGGTAGCATCTGACCACTGTTCACATATCAGAGAAAGCAGAAGTAAAAAAAAATGTGAATCAACTATTTTAGCTGGTGCAGATTTTACTGCCATATTTCTTTCATTAACATTTATAGGCTGCCCAGTAATGATGCCATGTGGCGAGCTTACAACACCAAATTAATAAAATAAAAAATCAAAACCATAAAACTATAAAATACAATGTCATAGTGCTTCCAGTTTCAGCTGGTTTTGTAATGAATGGTGTGTGTGAAAAGAGTCACAGGCTGAATCATCACAGGTCAGAGAAGCCCAAAGGGGCTTCTATCCAAGTGCTACAAAATGCTGACAAAACTTGCAGTGGGATCGATTGACATATGGAAAGTCTGGCATAACCTTGCTACCTCCAGACACTTGACAATATGCATTTATACTCTGTTTGAACCTTCAAAAATAACTTTTATATTGAAGCGCCCCAGTGAAGCATAAGATCTCATAAAGTAAATAAGATTTTAGACTTAAATAGTAGCCAAGTGAGCAATTTTAAGGAATTCTGGTCTGGAACAATAATCCTGAGTAGCAAAATAACCACAGATAATAATTGTTTGAAAGGTTGTGTGATTGTTCAGATAGGGACTGGGTAAGCAACTATGTCAATTGCTGCAAACATTTTGCAGAAACAGGATTCTGACTCAGCTCCTACGGTTACTGAAATGAGGATGTAAGTCTTGTTTGGCTCAGAGGCAGGAGACAGTGGCCAGATGTGTCTCAAAGGAAACGGGAGATATTTTCTGAATTTCTGAAGTAGTATACTGGGTTGGATCCAGACTTAGTCACACTTTATGTAAATGCATTGAAATTAGTGGGACTCAAGTTAGTCATGAATCGGGCATCAACAGCCCTGTGGAAAAGCAGCAGCAGGGGGAGGAGGAGCAGGAAAGGAAGCAGCAAGACCTGCTCCAGTTGGGCTGCACTTCCTGCCTCTGGTTGAGAAGAGAAGAAGCAGGGCCATTCCACCATCCTTGCTGACAGTTCTGCTTAATTTTCCCCTTGCCCTCATTTTGTTGTATCTTTTTAAATTGTAAGAGAAACTGGCTTGTTTGTTTTTTATTCTTTTACTGATTGACTGTAAAGGGACCTTCTTGGGGATATGGATATTTTAAATAAATAAATGTTCAGTCCCATTGATTTCAATGGGTCTGCTCTAAGTATGAATCCTGTCACTATTATGCATCAAGAATGTTCTGTATCTTTTTAAAAAATGCTAAGCGTACATTGAACACATGATTCAATGTATGTCCTTTCTCATGTGACTAATTGGTGTCTAATGATCTTATACTGATTAGCCTAAGGCCTATTGAAGTTAATAGTAATTCTGAGTAGACATGTATAGGGTTACTCCATAAATCAATAAAACATCTGGATGTTTGATCTTCTAATCACCTTTATATTATAATTATAATTATCTGAACAAATAATTTAATTTTCAAATAAATAGGTGCCTACACATATCACAGTTGTGCATAGTAATATTAAATAATTTCCCAGTTTTGAATCTGGAAAATTACATTATTTGTTGACAGCAGTTCTATGGTTAGCACTGTCTAGATCCAAATGGAAGTCTCTTCCTCAATGGAACTGAAGATAAATTGGAAAGAAATTAAAATTTGTAATTTTTTCCAGGTGCTGCAAGGAGGATGTCCTAAGTTTGGTATGGTAATTCAGAAGCCTGCCCATTTCCTAACTTGGTTGCACTTCTCTCAAGTGTTCCTATTCCACATCCTTTTCAAAATGGCTTACTATTCATTAGATCACTTTCAGTTACTGGCAAAAGATGGCATAAGTTTCCAGTGACAAAGCATGTCTATTACATTCCCATACAATAATATATTTGGTATTCTATTTCTGTAGGAACTAGAAAGTGAAAAATCTATTTATTAGACTTAATTAGAATATGAAATGAATATGAAAAATCATCCAATAATGTTTCCATAAATTGTTCATGAATCACATCAGCAATGCTGAAGTACACAGATTACCTCTTCACAAATCAGGTCACTTAAAATGCAACAATTCTCTCCTATTTTTTCTTTCAGTATAGGGCTGTGGAAACTTCCTTACAGTTGTAGAAAATTCATTTTTAATCCTGCATCTATGTGGAATGTTTTATAATAATAAAAACACCTGCATAATCATGACATCCCATAATATTCAGGGAACCCTGTTGGCCTTTCTATCATCCTGGTTATAGGAACAAAAAACATTGCTAGGAGGAGGAAAATGTGCATGTGCAATCAGGCAGGCAGACACACACACCTGTTTTCACAGGAACCTTAGAGTCCATTTTGATTTTCTGCTTCATTATGGCAGGCAGCACCAGGGGAGGAGTGAATCACCATTGAAGTCCATTTAAATTCACAGTTTTGCTTATCCAAAGGGGCCCTCTCAGAATTATACACCCAAGGCATTTGGGATGGACAAGCTTCACAGTCCCTCTGACTTAGAGTTAATTATGGATGCTGGCAGTGGCAACAATGGAGTGGCACAGCGTCCAGAAGAAAAGTACAATGGGACAAACCATCGAGGTTCAAGAAATAATTCCCAGCATGATTTGGGAGAAATTATTTAAAAGGACACAAGGACAGGTTTCAAATTAGCTCTTCCTTTTTAGAACTATAACTCAGAAGACACACTTGCAATAGCAAAGAAGGGCTAGAATATGCAAATCTATGTTAACAGTTGAACAATTTCTTCTAGCAAATATATCTGAAACACACCAGGAGTTAGTTAATTCCACCTTATTCACTTTGTCATATTTTTCCTGTTGTTTCTGCATATATGTACATATATTGCTGCCACCCTCCTTGCTTCAATGTGCATTGGAAAGCCAATTTGCTGTCCTCAATTCAGGAGGCAGTCTTTGTATTTTTCACCCAAACAATATCCATTTTCAGTATCTGAGACTGAGGTGCTAATAACATGTGCAAAAGTTAACTCAGCCTGTCCAATCTTATGGCTAATGCCACCAAAAGATATTAAACTTCCAACCAGCGGGTTTATTATTTTTGGGAGTAGAGCACTACATTGAAAACCCAAAAAGAAAAAGGTGTGATATGAGTATGACTTATTTCTTGCAATCTACTCAATTGGAGCCCCGAAATTGCTTTTGGGGCCTCATCTAGCCTGTGCTGTTAGCACTGCTTGAGATATGCCACACCTCAGAATGAGAAAGTAAATTGTAATGTTCTTTTTTTTCTTTTTCTTGCCCACCAGGAGATATTCTGCTCAATGTGAATGGAATTGATCTGACAGCTGTCAACCGTGGGGAGGCTGTAGCCCTTTTGAAAAACGTCTCCACCTCCGTTGTACTCAAAGCACTAGAACTGAAAGAATGTGAGAACTTAGGAGAGAGGGGTGACAGCTTGTTGTTTGATGCCAATTTGAACCCGTCCAGTCACAGTGAATGGTCTCCTTCCTGGGTGAGGTGGCTTGAGCTACCAAGGTAAGTCCAAGGAAACTCTCAAATTGGCTGGGGATGAATGGTCTGTGGTGCTTATCTGGCTTGATGCACTAAGGTGACATTTCAATGAAATCCAGAGTCTGTCCATGAATTTCCCCCTGCCTCCACTTGTAGCTGTATCTGTATCCATGCACATGCACTGAGAAGGACCTCCACCCCCGGTTGGTCTGCTTTTAAGAGAACAAAAAGATTGTGAACAGACTTGTTTTTGAAAATGTGTCTGGATATAGCAAGGGAACTCTTGTATGGATGCAAAGGTCTTAGAATAAAAGAACTGGGATCCCAGACCACCCTGTGTCCTCCTCAACAACCCCTACAGCTTGCAGCTTCAACAGACAGCATTTTAGTCATATGCTGTTTTAAACTGTTTGACTTTGCCCAGATGTTCAAGAACTGCATGTGTGCAGGAGTTGAAATTCTCCAAACTGCCTTCCCTCTCATGCTGCCCTGAAAAAAAAGAAAGAAAAGGCAGAAACTGTTCGTTTCTAATGGGCCGGAAGCAGCTGTGTTGTAATTTTTAGTAAAAATAACAAAAACCACAGTGTGCATAGTTTGTCACCCACTCACACAGTGCATTTTCATGTCTTCCTGGGACATAAATCCTGCTTCATTCATTGGAACCTCAATTTTTAAAATGAGATTTTATCAAGATGACACTGAATTAAATCTATCCTCACACTAAAATCCATCAACCCATAAATAAGAAAAACACACAGTCACACAAAAGACTTGAGAATTGCATGAATGGCTTTGTATACTCACATTTTGTGTTATTGAGTCTTCTGTTTATCCAGAGATTTTAAATTATGCTCAGCTCAGTTAGCTGGGCAGAGACTGTTGATCAGTAAAGCCTTCTACCCCTTGCCTGCTCACTTGGGAGTAAGCCTCTCTGAACTCAGAACTTAGATGAGTAGATGTGCATATAATTATTAGTGTCTTAAATTAGGCTTATCAAACCAAGCTCCTCAGATGCTTCCTGGGGTTTCTTCGGAAAGGTTCAGCACTCATAGCTTGCCACTCTGTACAAACTTTCCTGAGAACAAGTGTAACTAAATCCAGTGGAGCTTACTTCTAAGCAGACATGCCTAGGATTGTGCTATTTTCTTATGTGGATTTTATTTATTGTTTCACTGATCTGATCTATAGCCTGCCTTTTTACCAAAACATGGCACTCAGGACAGCTTATAGAACCAATTAAAAGTTAAACAATAAAATACATGAAAGTGCAATGGACGTATAACAATCACATAGCACATAACAAGGACCTGAAAGTGATCTTTGCCTGCTGACAAGAGGAGACCACAAAAGGAGTGAACCTAGCCTCGCTTGCGGGGGCAGCCCATCACGACAAATTAGTTATCTTCTGCAATATGCTGGGTTGGGTATGTTCTAGGGTCCACTTTCAATTCCTCTCAGGCAATTTGGATGGCTTTATATGAGAATTAGAAATTCATAGCATGTAAGGCTATCAAAGTCAAACTGAAAGAGAAGGAAAAGAAACTGAAAACATGTATGGGTTTACTTATTTATAGCTGCCTTTTTTCCTTTCAAAGAATTTTAGTTGGCTTACTGAAGTCTTCTGCTTCTCTTCCTCTCAATCCTGGTCTCACAACAGTCCTGTGAAGTAAGTTGGGCTGAGAGTCTCTGACAGGCCCAAAGTCACTCTGTTAGCTCCATGGCTAAGCAGGCACTGAAACCCATATCTTCTGAGTCCCAGTCCCATGCTCTTAACAAGAAGGAACTTGAGAAAAGGAGCTACCGAGAAGTGTAAGGTACAGACACAGTAAAAGAGGAAGGTGACAGTTGAAGGTGCAAAGAAAAGAGCATGCTCAGAGATTTAGAAAAAGAATGTGAGTACCTTGCAGGACAGGGGAAAGGGCTTTGGAGGACCCTATAAATGATGCCCAAAGCACCAGGAGATATGGGACATGGAGAAGAAGGATTAACATGAAATTATGGAATAAAAAGCATGCCATACTGTGATTCTGGCATAGCATAGACCCCCCCCCCCCGCCACCTGTAACTTAGCAGAAAAATAGAAAAGTGACCTTCCAAGCAGGTTTATGCACCCTGGGTCTATATGGAATATTTCTCAGGGATGCTGACTGAATGCACCAACTGGTGCCAGCCAGAAAAAGTTCTGGTGCTCAAATTTCTGTCATGTGACAAAGGAGTGTCACTTTCTGGGGAATTTTAAAGCCTGCCAGTTTGGGAAGGGGAATTTTTGCACTTTTAATAGTTGTACAGCAAATACTCTCTGTCTCTCTGTGACAGAAAGTTCTCTCTGTTGAATTTCTGGCTGGCATGCAGCTCTTAAGGCATAGGAGCCCTGCCCTTTATTTAAAAAAAGCAATAGCCCCATGCCCAGCAGGGTAGCTTTCGTATTGTATCACACTTCTGACAAGATTGGGTGTGAGGCTCCTGCTTTTGCATGCACATCTGCCTGCCTAGACGTGTTGCTTTTCCCACAGAATGGAGCACAATGTAGACTACCTGTAGCTTTATGGAAGAATCCAAAGGGAAAGGACTTGCCCTCTTATTAACACCAGCAGCCCAGTTTACTGGAATTCCTTCTCTCCCTTGCAAACCTAGACATGCGCTACCATTCCCTCCTCCTTCTCCCATGGCCTCTTTACTGAAGGAAAATTACCCACCATGACGGCAGGTCTGCAAACAGGAAATTCATTGTAATCATATCTACAGCTGCAGCACCGCTCACAGAAAAGGGCCACAGTGTATCCAAACACCAAAGGGTATTAGTATGCTGAACTGGTACATTGGTCTTCTTAAATTCAGATTAAGTGGGGGATGGGTCAGTGGAGGGGGAGACTAAAGCTGATTATAATGAACAGGAACAGAGGTGTATTTCTAATTAATACTTACTTACTCCCAGGTACCTGGGAGTCCAAACATGGATTTACTTAACTGAACAGATTACAGGTTTTAATCTTACTAAAAGAGTTCTACTGACCCTCTTTTTTCTGTTTTTTTGATTCTCCAAACTTCGTCTTCCACATCTGGAAGCTCTTTAGCAGGTCCTTTCACCAGAACATGCATCACATTAATACACATTAACTCATTTCCCCCTTGTCTGAGAATGTAACCTTTCGGCACCAGAGTTCCCATTTGGTGCTGGGAAGGGCAACTGCCCAATAGATCTTCAAGAGGGGTCAGATGAGCCTCAAGGATATGTTCACCATAGCTCTACTGCAGTTACCAAAATGTCTTTGGGAAATAAAGATCACCATTCATGTGTGCTTCAGGCTAGAAATCACTGTGATCATGCTATTTAACATATTAATAGTCTTTCTGAAGCAATGTATGAAGTGGCATCCAAATTCTTTAAAACCTGTAATTAATCAGTGCAAATAGTGGGTGAGCTGGAGGTGGAAAGAACCAACAGGATGGGAGAGCAGAAACTAAGGAATACTGAGAAGGAAAGTGCAGGCTGGAGAGAGAGGAGGTAGCTGAAAGGAAAAGGGGATCAAGAATGACAAGCACCATTTTTTTCTGGGTGGAGTTGTTAAAATCACCTTGGACATCAGCTTGGGGACCCATCCCTTGGTGCTGGTGCAAGGTTGGCAAAATTACACACACACAGAGAGAGAGAGAGAGAGAGAGATTGAGAGAGAGAGCTTCCAACTGTAGACACTTCTTGAGCTATTGTAGAGCAAATAGGTTAGAGCAATTAAAATGAGGAATGTCCAGGGCTGCCAATCAAAATTCATAATTCTCAAATGCCCAATAACATTTTCTGTCTTACTCTTGAAAGATGAAGAAGCATCTCAGCAACAACAGGGCAATAATACTTTGCAGTTAGAGTCTATCATATGCTCCACTTTATGGATCCTTATGTGAGCTATTTATAAATACCTACCCTTCTTTTCTTTTTTAACAATGTTTTCCCCATCCTTGCTCCCTCACTTCCTAGCCTTTCTCTCATCCCCCAGCTTCTCAAAAAGAAAAGCCTACCCCCTAGTTTTGATAGATGAATGTTAGCAAACATATTTGTTTCATAACTGCATTTATTTTGTCCATAATGGAGGACATGCAGTAGTTACTCATGCATTGTCAGAATATCTCAATGATGACTCACCAAAGACCAATTTAGAAATCCCACCTAAAATTCAACGGCTCTTCTTCGGTCATGAAGCCCCCAAACATGAAACCATTGCAGTGTTTCTCTTCGCTGTGAGAAGCAGCACAGACAGTTGTGGGCTGTTTGCAATGCCTTGGTTCATTCTCAAATTTCCTGGCATCCATAAGAGATTTTTGTGTTACTAATACAGTTTACTGTGGCCTGTTCAGTTTGGCACCAGCAGGCACAATGGAAACTTATAATGAGCTACAGCTATTTTGATTTTGAGCATTTTCACCCTGCTCTTCAGCTGACCAAGTCTCCCAGAGGCTCAACAGAAGCAGTGATACATTATTAAAAGAGTAGATGATTTGAAGAGGTGGCAAAGATGAGTTTGCTGCTCCTTCCTTTCCAGCTGACTGGACAGTTGTGAGGGGAGAAGAGGCCCAGGCCCAGTTTACAGCAGCAGTGGCGGCACTGATGGATGCTTGCCTCGTTGGCATCGTCCTCCTTTCCCGTTCACAGGGCTAGTTGGATTTCAGTTCTCACTTGGTCCTTAAGCACACAGCCACAGCTGAAAAGTCCATCTATTTCACTTTAGGCACATGAGTAGCATTGCTCCTCACCTCCAGTTAGTACTAAGTCCACAAGCATTTAAGATTAACCATATCCATTAATGGCAGAAAACGAAGAGAAACTAAAGAGCCTCTTGATGCTGGTGAAGGAGGAGGGTGCAAAAGTTGGCTTGAAACTCAACATTAAGAAAACTAGATCATGGCATCTGGTCCTCTCACTTCCTGGCAAATAGATGGGGAAGACATGGAGGTAGTGACAGATTTTATTTTCCTGGGCTCCAAGATCACTGCAGACAGGGACTGCAGGCAAGAAATTAAAAGACGCTTTTCTCCTGGGGAGGAAAGCTATGGCAAATCTAGACAGTGTACTAAAAAGCAGAGACATCACCCTGCCAACAAAAGTGCGTATAGTCAAGGCTATGGTTTTCCCAATTGCAATGTATGGCTGTGAAAGCTGGACCATAAGGAAAGCTGAGCGCCGAAGGATTTGAGGCCTTTGAATTGTGGTGCTGTGAGTCCCTTGGACCGCAAGCGATCAAACCGGTCAGTCCTAGAGGAGATCAACCCTGACTGCTCTTTAGAAGGCCAGATCCTGAAGATGAAACTCAAATACTTTGGCCACCTAATGAGAAGGAAGGACTCCCTGGAGAAGAGCCTAATGCTGGGAACAATAGATGGCAAAAGAAGAAGGAGATGGCAGAGAATGAGGTGGCTAGATGGAGTCACTGAAGCAGTTGGCGTGAACTTAAGTGGACTCCAGGGGATGGTGGAGGACAGGAAGGCCTGGAGGAATGTTGTCCATGGGGTCGCGATGAGTTGGACACGACTTTGTGACTAACAACAACAACATATCCTTATGTGTGCAAATCCATATCCTTATGCGTCCATCCATAAGATAAATCCATGTCCTTATTCAACTATGAAACTGTGACTAGAGACAAGGAAAACTTGTCCAGTCAGAAAGCTACATGATTTTCTCACCCATGGGGGAAATAGCTCAAGTCATTCTGAGACCAGTTCAGGTGCCATTTGGACCTGTCACACACCCCAAGGTTGTTAAAGGTAATGAAACAAGGTAACAAGGGCACCTCCATAGTACCTCTTCCTCTCTTTCTGCTCTTCCCTGCTCCCAGTGCTTGTTATAGTGCTCTGGCTGCATGCAAGATTCTGGGGGTGAGAAGCGACTTCCTTGTAGCCTTCTTAGTGCTATGACTGCTGAAGCAGCAAGGAAGGTATCTAGACATGCGGCTTTTTATCCAGCTTGGGTTATCATTGGACAAAAATTCAGCACCACTGTTAAACCCAATTATGTTTGACAGAATCCACTATTTATCAGAGGATATGAAAAATACTTTGATCAGTACTTATTTTAAGTTGCATGCTGTGATTCCACCAGCTCAGACTTGCCTACAAAAGCTATTTATTAGATTTATATCCTACTGTGTCCCATGTGATCAGGGCAGCTCATAACAGTTTTTCCAAACAGTTCTGATGCCCAGGGGTCCACTAGCTAAGTAATTAAACTGCTTGGGAAATAAAAGAGGGATCCATTTTATAGACCTTTTTTAAAAAAAGAAAAAAGCAGTCTCAGGCAATTTCTGAAATACAATTACAAATACACTTAAGCACACACAGGAAGTCTAAGTTAAGAAATAGCTTTGTTTGCCATTTTGATCTGTGGAAAAGCATAGAATATGCCCCTCCATCTTTGATACAGCCCCTGTTTGTAATTGTTTAACCAAGTAGTTAAACTATCATTGATTGGACTTTTATCAGAAACCGAGAAAAATAGTAGTTAACAGCAAGTCTCTGCCAGCCTGCTTTCCTTGTAATAACATTTCGGCTAAGCCACCCACCTGCATTACATGGATGTCAAATCACAAAATGGGCTTTGGGGATTATTCCAATGGGAGGGAGTTACCATCCTAGCTGACTACACTCTTTCAAAATGCAGGTATTGTAAAGCTATCCCAGCAGGATTCTCGAGAAGTTTTTTTTCAAATATTTAAGTTGCATCTTCTATTCCTAATCATACAGTGCTCAAGCCAACTTACAAGATAAAAGCATACAATACTTTTTGCTGTGTAGCTAATGGGGCAGGTTAGAAATGTAATAATACCTTAAGAAATTCAGTGATCAGAATTACAATAAAATCCTAAAAATAACAAAATGCACAATCATGTGACAAGCTTATGATTTGGGTGGGTCTTCAAGTGGAAACTCAAACCTGCCTATTGGCTCTACTCATACATAACATGCTGTGATGTCCAAACTCGTGTCAAAATTAGAAGCTGAGGAAGCTTTCTTATACTCAGTCAGCCCACAGGTCCATCTAGTTCAGCACTGTCTGCACCAGGGATGAGGAAATCTACTTTGGTCGAATGGTCAAAGTCCAAATTCTTGGGAGCCACTTTACATTAGTTGGTTGGGACAAAAAAGAAAACGCAAAGGCAGAGTCAAGAATGTGATTCCTACCAATTTTAACACTTGGAACAAATCAGGACAAACCTTTGCATATCTACTCAGAAGTAGGTAGGACTCTACTACATGTCTACTTGCAAACAGGGCAATGCTCTTCGTGTGTATTCAGAGTGCATCACTGGAGTTGCACTGGAGTTTTTTATTTTCTGTCTCCACCACATTTATATCTGTTTTTCCTCTTGTGAGGAACCCTAAGCAGCTTTTATGGACATTCTCCTCTCCATTTTAAGTTAGGCTAAGTCAGTAACTGGCCTAAAGTCACCCAGTGAGCTTCATGGTTGAGTGGAGATTAGGACCTAGGTCTCAAGAGTCCTAGTCCAACACTCCAGCCACTTCACTACTTTGGATCTTAAGATCAGATCTTTTCCCTGTTAAGAGAAGGGCACGGCTGAGAAGCTGAAGTTCCCCACGCTTTATCTGCAGCATCTGTCCAGGGTTTTATATCAAAAATTTTCCCAACCTTCCTTGTGATGCCAGGAATTTTGCCTGCAAATTCTATGGTGTGCCAGTGAGATCTCAAAATTGTAAAGCTTTAGTGTACAAAGGAGACAAACTCTTTTTGCCCAAGAAATTGGTGCAGTGATGTAGCTAAGAACATGAGTACTTGCATGAAAACTCTTCACAGGCAAATGTTTTAAACATATGAAATCCTATAAATGCTAAGTAATAGTATGAAGAAAGCCAACTTTTTAAAAACAAAATGACAAATTGTAAAATGGTGCCTTATAGCCTGCTTAACTGACTGAGGATGTGTTAGTGACTAGCTAGCAATCAATAACAGCTAAACCCTGGCAACATTTGGTCATGACCTTGGTAAGCACTGTTAAATCCTATGAGTTCATGTCTTTATGAAAAATGGGATTGAGAGTGCAAAAAGCCCCACACAGATGGCAAAGCAATAGCACTAGCCTCATGTAGTTGGGCCAAGAGGCACCTGCTTTTCACATTAGGAGCCAGCTAACTGCTGCACAAACATTGTACCCTGCATCTTGCCAGCAGGTGAATATTTGCAGCTCCCAAGGGCCTCATATAGCAGTACTATAAAAACCCTGCTTAAGTATACAGCAAAAAAATCTATTCCCTTAAAAATGGTGTTTCTATTTTTTAAAGGATTATTTTTAAATCTCTCAATTTAAACCCGTATCATTCAGTGCTGCCAATGCTGAAGGACAAAGAGGTACTACATGTGCTTGCTGCTTTGAAATACAAGTAAATGGAACTGGTAAAGGCTTTATTTGCTCCATAGACTGGAGAACTCCACAAGCTCCCTACTTGCATAAATCCCTTCTTTGGTTAGGATAAACTGCTCTGCAAGACATTGATTTCACTATTATATTCAAATAATAATCTGAACTGTCCAGTTAGGAAGGGGTTTTCCAAGAAGAGAAAAGGTTCCAAGAGAAATATATATAGGTGAATGCAGTGGATATTCAGCAAGCATAGTTTTTAAATAATTACATTCACTGTCTGGAATGGCAAAACAGATTCATTTATCCTCCCAGCTTTATGAAAATCTCTGTGTGTAGTACAGTAGCATTTAGATAGAGGCTTTTAGTAAAAAGCCACATACTTTCTTGTTGATGTTCTGAAAGTCAATATTAAAGAAGTCCTTATCTACCTACCTCCATTCTAAATACAGTCCAAAATAGGTTATATTTTAGAAGCAGCTCAGGTGATATCAAGTTTCGAAGTAGAGGTTTCATGCTAGCCACAGCCACTAACATATTACAGATGTGTAGGGGATCTTTGCTTCTCTGCCATCTGTAGTGTGTGAAGTTTTAATTTTTTGCAGCATTGCTATATATGTAACACACTTCATCCAAACAGAAGCAGCCTATTTGTAGACCATGCAAGTATAGTATATAGATTTCTTTTGTAAGTCCAATATAACCAATAAGTAAATGACCAGACTCTAGCGACATCAATAATGCTGACTAAATTGTACAACTGATCATTAAGAAGCATGTTTTCCCCCACCCCAGGTATTTGTACAGTTGCAAAGAAATTGTGTTACGAAGAAATACAGCAGGAAGTCTTGGCTTCAGTATTGTGGGGGGCTATGAAGAAAACAGTGGGAACAAACCCTTTTTTATCAAATCCATTGTTGGAGGGACACCAGCATATAATGACGGACGTATCAGGTAATGAAATCACACCAGTTCTAAGTAAATTCTTACCATCCAACATACGAAGCTGCCTAATAACGTAAGACTACTGTCCATCTAACTCTGTATCATCTACACTGACTGACAGAGGCTTTCCACAGGAATTCTTCCCAAACATATCTGGAGATGCTAGGGATTGAAGCTGGGACTGGAATGCAAATCATATACTCTCCCACTAAGCTATAGCCTTCAAGGTACCTTAGGGGTTCACAATAGCTACCAGCAACTTTTATATACATTTGGCAGATAGCACTGATTTTATAACAAGGTTTCTAGTCTTGCATGTTCTGCACCCCTCAAAGCATTTGATGTGAGATTAAGCATGTACAAATATACACACTCAGTGCACTTTTCTGTGATTGAGGGTCACACCAACAGGGTATATACATAACTATATGCATGTGTACCTGACCATACAGCTCATTTTGCACACCATAGATGGTATATACAAGCCCAAAATTCAGTCATACCCTCTGCAGATTTCTGTTAATATGAATTATATATAATTTTACCCCCAAATGTTAATCTCATGCTGCTAAGTAAGTAACTTATCAGAGCAAATAATCAGGCTCAGGATTTATAGTTCCTGGTGCAATGGAATCCCTCAACTTGAAAGCTGCCAACTGTGTGCAATTATACTGACTGGGAACAGTAATCAGATTGGTTTCCCATTCTATTAAATGGCAAGCCACTCAAACTGTGTGTGGCAATACTTCTGGTAATATTGCAGCGCCTAAAGCAGGGGTAGAGCCAAGACAATTATCTTAAGATGCTATGCCTTCTGAGAAAGTTGAAATCTGGAAGGAATCCAAATCAAATTTGGGTTCAAATTTATTCCAGAGTGCTAAAACCTACAAAAGAAGGTATAGTTATATAGACCAGACACACAGTAGAGTCCTAATGCTTTAAATCCTAAGTGGTTCCTAAAATGATGGGGTGCTCCTTTGGATTCAAATGGAAAGAAATTTGCAGATTATGATTGAATCCCACTGGGGAACTTCTTCAAAACCATTTAAAAATTTTGTTAATGCAGATCTTTAAATATTTTTGTAAATAAATTATATGAAATTAGAAAAAACACATGGCTACATATTCCTAAAAAGGGTAATTTAAAATTTTATAATAGAGGCATATCTGGTGCATGGCCTGGATTTGAAATGGGTTTTACATTCAGATGCTATCTGCTACCATTCTGCTAAAACTCAATAGAATTCCATAGCACATTCCAAAACTGAAGATTAACAAAGTGAAGTTTGTTTTGATGGTAAGTTCCTAAATTGAAGCTGCTAATGTACCAATTACCATTTTTATATCATTTCTGTCTTACAGGTGTGGTGACATCCTCCTAGCTGTTAATGGAAGGAATATCTCAGGCATGGTACATGGCAGTTTGGCAAGGATGCTAAAAGAACTGAAGGGGAAAATTACTCTTACCATTGTGTCCTGGCCTGGCACTTTTTTATAAAGCTGTAATTAAACTGAGAGCAGCATATCATTTGACACAAAATCAGCCACTTAATATGGACCTCTGTTTACTCCACTTTCTGGTCAACTGTATACTAGTAAAAGAAAAACTTGTGAAGTGTGTACATACCACAGAAAAATAACCAAGCTATGTGTAAACAGAAAGACATGCACTTTTAAAATATGGACACTTACTATGATTGTAAATCAGGGTACATATCTGCTGCATTAGGTCTAAGGTTTGTATTTTTGTATCTAAGCAAAGCAGCAGTAGCCACACAAAGTTTAACAAAGAAAAAGGAAACAATTTTAAGTATCCAACTCAAGCAGTCCCAAGAATTCCTGAATGACAGTTGCAATACTTTTCTAACAATTCTGTGGACAGCATCTATTCAAGACATAGAAAGCAATCTAATGATTACCCCAAATCCCTTTTTGTGGTCAGTATGAAGCAGGTATTTTTTTACACACTTTGTTTCCTAGCGTGTAATAATTGGATTAAATTTCATTTCTACTGTTAAAATAATTGTAATTGTAATTTGTAAAGCCAGGTTATTTTCATTAAAAAAGCACAAAAATACATTTTTCTCCTCAGTGCTTCTAATTCATGGCATGAACCATTTCATTTGAGTGTTCTGCCTGTTTTATTCATTCCCTTCTGTGCTGGGTATCTCTGAATCAACATCCTACTCACAAGAAGCTGCATGTAGCAAATTACCTGACCAAGCAAAAAAGGAAATTGCCAGGCTTATCTGCACTGAGCAGATGAGGAGAAAAAAACTAGTAGAGATGAGGGCACCTTCCCCAGATATAAGTGAGCCAAGGAGCATTACACACTTGGGTGCAATCTTATCTGCTCCACCTGTGTTACACATATTCTGTGCTGGGGTATGGTGTGGAAATGGTGATCTCTGCAGCTGCTATACTATTCCCCGTGCATCTTATATCGATGCCCATTTTCTAGATAAAGCATTAAGAAGGAAACAGCAAGCAGGCTGCAGAACTAATGGGAATCTGTCCCAGCTCCTCCTCTCCCATATTATGCCCCCTTCCCCCCCCCCCCCCCCAATGGTGCATTTGTGCTCTTGGAGAAGCACCTGGTGTGGTTTTCTACATCAGCTGGAAGAGAAGGAGGGTGTGACCTCTGAAGAACCCCATGGCCCTCCAGATGATGTCAGATAGCTGCTGGATTGTGTCCAGACACTACTGCAGTATTTGTACAACAGCAGCAGGGGGTATTTGTACACACTTTAATCGTAGAAAAAAGAAACAGTTTAGTTTATGCTGAGTTTTGTTTCTGTTTGCTTGAATGGCAGATGACATAAAAAGTATCTGTTTGAACAACTAAACAAAATGCCTGTTTCAAATCCATTTTCAAAAGATCTTTTACACTGAATGCATGGGGCACCTCCAGTCTGTGGTGTAATCGCTTTCCTTGATGTCTGCAAAGGCTCTGTGCTAGTTCTGCACTCTGTGTTATGATGAAGCTTGAGTTAATAGTGCACAGTATCTCACTAGCCAAGCACAATTCTCCGTGTCTATCTTTCATGTCCTCCTTTATCTAATTGCGTTAGGTAAGACAAAACAATGTACGTTAACATGAAAAAATTCACTCTTTTTATTTTCAAAAATCCAAATTAAACTTATGCTTTTATACTAACAGAACAAGATTAAGAGCGGTTTTTTTAAAGACCCAGAAAAATAATTAGATTTAGAGCAATCTATTTCTGGCACTAATAGAAGCAAAGAGGCAAAAATCACATGTGCCTATTCTGCAGGGGCAGCTTCAGTGTTTTCCTGTTCAGGGGCAGGTTCACCACCACCTGTTTCTTTTCCTTCTTTGCTCTTTTTAGACTTTTTGTGTTTGTGCCTCCTGTGGCTGTCTCCTTCTTCGCTGTCATGGCGGCGCCTGCTGTTGCTAAAAAAAAAAAAAAGAGAGAGAGAGAGAAAAAAAATCAGACACAAAGCTATTAAACAGAATCTCAAACTCAGCGCTAGCCTGCTATTTCCCAAGCCTCTGATGTTAGAAAGCCAGTTATTTAGTACTTGAATTGTGTCACCACACTATACGCCCTAGCACGGCGTGAGTAAATTAAAACCAGAAAGGGGCTGAGGAAAAATACAGTCAATATTAAATTTGTCATGATTTCTTTTGTGAATATATATCTTAGAAAAAGGTCTGGCAGCTAGAGATGCACAGAAAATCTTTATTATCACATAATCAAATTCATCTCCTTTGCCCACCTTTACCCTGGGAGGTGGGGATAGGGAAAGATTAGGTTCGACAAGACTAAATGAGTAGGCAGGCTAATGGAGCAATGCACAAGAGCTGCTCCCTCCACTTTTCCTCTGGGTAGCCAAATGGAATCCCAGCTTCCTCTCTGCCAGAAAGAGTATGGCTGCTCCTCAAACACCTACTTGAGATGAGCAAGTGGCAGAGGCATTCATTAATAATTACAGGTTCAAATAAACATTCTAATGGATTGAGAAATTCCAACATCTGTATTTATAATTTAGATCAATCACAGAACGGCTACCACTACACCACAGTGTTTTCTGCTCTGCATAGGGATGTGAATATCAAGCTGGAATTCAGCTCTCTTGTGCTCATCAGACTTTTTTCCCACTCTTGGCCCTGGCCAGGAAATAAGTCAAGATGAGACAAGCTTAGATCAAGCCCATAAATGCTTGGGAATGCTAGTAGCTTCTTTGCATAAACCCAGGCAAAGTAAACAAAGCCCAGAAGTCATCTGTGACAAAGCAGAACTCTGCTTGTAAAGCATGTCTGCAGGCAGTGTATGCATAAATGGCCTTGCAGGCTCAGTTGGACTTGCTAGATGCCCACATGAACACTTGGTACAAGGCAGACTTAGAGCAGAGAGAAAGGCGGTCAGAATCTTGAGAGCTGAATGGAGGAAATTCAATGAATTCCTCACACATTGCTAACCTGGGCTCTACAACAACTGAATAGCAGCACATGAAGAGCTAAGCTTTTCCCATGGCAACTCAATTATCCTTCCTCAGCCTTCCTAAATTATTTTCATAGCTTATTAAAGAGCCAACCTTCGTGATGACTTGTGTCTTGTTTCTTCCTTTTCTCGATGTCTCCTTTCTCGGTGTCGCTCTTCTTTCTCTCTGCTTGTTCTATGCCGCTCATAGCCTCTGTCTGCATATTCTCTGTACCTATATCGTTCCTCATCACTAAAAGAAAATAAAATCTTCTAGTAAGCAAATAAATGATAAAGCAGCATTAATTAATCATGGTTTCTCCCACAGACATACAAAATACAAAGGTAGTTATAAGAGATTTGTAGATTAGGCAAAGCACATTCAGAAGGGATTACTCCAGTGAAGATATGTCAGTGAGAATTTGTAATCTAAGGATGTGATTCTGTTACTGTATAAAGCCCCAACCATGGATAACATCTTGAAGCTGTCAAGTCACAAATGCCAGCATTAGTAAACTTAGATGTCATTACAAGCACTGTCTGTTCTGGTTGTTTAGCTGTAGAGTAGAAAGGTTGAGTAAGGCAACTCTTAACAAGGGGGAAGTATTTATGGACTTCCTTGAAAATTTCAGGACACTAAGTACAAGTATATTTCCACATTATGGATATTCAATTAAAAAAATAAAACAAGACAAGGAGTGTGATCTATTACCAACAGTAAGGTTTTTCCTCTGTTAAAATATAAGGCAACAAGCTACCCATTGCTCAGGGAAGAAAAATGGCTCATCACTTCACAAGTAACCTTGCAATTAAAATTAAAAAGTTTGCATACAACGTCAATAAAAAATAACATTTAGTATTACGTATTTCCAAAGTTAAAAAGAACTTTAAATATGTATTTCCTTCCCCATGGACACCCAGATAGGACTGTTGTTCATGATGTGTGCATTTGTCACTATGAAACTGTTCCTTTACACAATACAAAACTAAATTTCCTATTCAAAGGCAATCTCTCCATATACTGAGACATGGAGAAAATATGTAACTTTTAAAGCCATACTAAAGTCAATATCAACATAAACTAGTGTGTGTGCATGCGTGCATACATATATATGTGTGTGATAATCCAAAACATAACTCAGTGTTCTTATTTATTCTTTGATCACTTAGGATTCCTAATATATCACACTGAGTTTGGAAGAAATGAGTATTAAGACAGGAAATCTGCCTCCTCTGGAAAAGTGACATAATTTATGAGACAGTAAGAGAAATCCAGCACATCAAACTGATATCCTCTAAGCTTCTGCTTTCCAAACACATGACCTCTAGAAAGACTGATTACACAGTTTAAGTTTAAAGTTACCTACAAATGTATTGCCGGAGAGGGTTCAACAGTAACCTCTACTTTGGCTAAGATGGCATATTGCTCCATTTGAACAAGATTCAAAGAGCAACTGGGGCTCATGCAAGGAGCTTAACTATTCTAATTAAAAGTTCTGATCACCCAATTTTTTCCCATGGATGAGGCAACTGCTTTGTCATGTCACACACTCTGCAGTTCCAAAAGCAATACATCGTGCTGTAAGAACTGCTGCTGTTCAAGAGCAAAGGTAATGCTTATGTGGACTCACAAACTAGTTTTACTGTCCCTTGGATCCTGGCAAGCAGGCTGTAAGCTACTAAATATATTCCAAAAATAAACCTTAAAGAACCGGATATAACAATCTAAAGGTTCTCAGAAAAACCACTAAAAAGTGTACATTTAAATCTCAAAGGGGTTTGCCAAGATGATTTCATAGAAAACTAGTAAGAGACTCGCTCACTCTTTTTTTGTGTTTGGTGCTGTGCTCTTTGGCTTTTCAATCTAGTAATGACAGTAAAAATAAAATATATGTAGAAAGTCATTTCTGGAAAATGTGCAGGGTCACTTCTCTAGTAGAAATGTGCCTAATTTTTAAGCATCTTCTTTTACAGGTAATTGGTACAGTATATGTTAAGTCTACGAAGTGTCAAACAACTGATCTGCAAAATTTTAAAAAAATGGGAGGAAAGGTTCTAGTTGCAAACCATTTTTAAACCATTTAGGATGTATATAATTTAATTTGAACTGAAAACTGACTTTGGCCTATTGTGGAGAAATACAGTGTGTTTACAAGTTCAATCTGAACTTGAATTAGTTCAATACATTTGAATGCATATCCATGCAGTGGTATTTTGAGCTTCAAAAACCACACCCTTTGGTTTCTTTAATATAGCACTATTTATAATGTTATATTAGAGATGTGAAAGACATATACTGCATTGCATACTTTAGCCTTTGGCTATGAGTTGGAAGTTTCTCTCCAAGAGCAAAATGGAGGACAAACAGTCCCTTGATACACCAGTGTTATGGTACCCACAGAAAAGTCTTTGCACAAAATTGTTATTTTTTGTTTGTCAGAAATGTTTTCATGAGCTACTGCACACACATTAATGATAAGAATTTAACATAGATAAATAATATATGTTCAATACTATCATATCTCAATGATCTGCAGTTTGCAAGCTTTTTACTTCTCTGTACTCCCTAATCAAGTTTTTACTAAGTTAAAGGCCTTTCTCACATAGCCATGTGGCAGCATCTTTAGTGCAGATGTCAGATAATTCAGTCACTTATAAACCCTACTCTTCCCCCTCCCTTACTGATAAGTCTGGCAGCAACACAGAGACTTCTCTAGGCCTGGAAAACATTAAGGTTCATTTCAAGCACCCTTGAATGACCAGCCTTTCTCTGGCCTTCAATCAAGCTGCCTAAGAAACAGATGTTACGCTGATCTTAACATCTGAGACACTGACCCTGTAATTTGTAACACAAAACATACACAAAGTACAGGACATTTAAAAAACAAACAAAATATGACAATGGCAAGATACCTACATTCAATTCATGTGTTTTTATGTCTAGTTTCTAAGCCCTTCCCAATTGTGCAAACATACTGACTTTTTATGTTCTTGGTCATTTACATAAGCAAATCACAATAATATTCTGAAGCTGAAGACTAAAAAAAATTACAAGCTATAAGAATATACAATGTTCTCAAAATAATGTAAATGTGGAGTTTAGCTAAAGCATATATAGCTAAAGTTAGCACAATAAAGCAAACTGAACTTCACAGTACTGCTTAATAAGGTCAAGAATGAAGTGTAAAATTACCATAGTGAGCATTTGCATTTGCAGATATATTAGTCCTTGTGCCTTTAGGAGTACAGAAGTCAAACCACTTCTTGTATGCAGAAATGCATTAGTACAGCTCTTTAGATCATGCTATGTGAGCAAGCAGCCAAACGTCTGTATCACAGAAACAAACATGGCTCCCTCACTCTATCGTGGTGTATAGGTAATACACACAGGCCAAACTCTGTTATGAATTATAGTATCTACATTACTTTTTGGTTCTGTTCAAAAGAAAATAATTAAGCTAGTTGTTTGGTTGTGCAGCTTTAAAAACGTTATTTATTGTTTGAAGGTCAAATACAAAACTGCCATAGTCATCAATGTCAATCCTGGAATTTTTTTTTTTTCCTTCTTAGGTCTAACCTTTGATTCACCCTTTACATCCTTCTTAGGTCTGAACTTTTATTCCACTTTTACATCTAACCAAACTCACTCATGGTCTTTTTGGCGGTTGGACACCTCTGGAATGGGCTTCCCAAAGAAGTTCACCTGGTGTCCTCATGATCAGCATGTGGGTGCCAGGCAAAGACTGTCCTATTTTCTAGGTATTTGAACTATTAATAAATTTTAATATTTATATTTTATATTGTTTATACTGTTATGGAATTCAAATGATTTTAAACTGCTATACTTATGCCTATTGTAATATTGTTGTATTTTATGGATTTTTTGTATTACTTATTTTTAACATATTGTACACATCCCAAAAAGCCTTGAATTGGGCTATAGATTGCAGTATGTAAGTTTAAAAATCAATAAATAAATATCAGTAAAAGGAACAATTTTAGACTTGTAGAAATGTCAACTATACAATAGTTAGGAGACTCAAATTCATATGATCCCTTCTATAAATATTCTGAAAAGTAATGAGCTAAAAGCAGATTCCACCTTGTGAATTAATTAAAAGGGGAGAGACAAAACCATTATCTAAGCACATGCTGCCTGCTGGTGATTTTATATGTTCCATTTATTTTTTACTACTGGTTTGTATTTGAATGCTTCCAATGAAAAACAGACTGAATTAGAGCCTTTATCCCAAAGGAATTTACAGCTGCATACTAAAATCTAAGCCTATTTCTAATACAAGTATTCTCCTACTGCACCATTAGATTTAACTCTCACACTCACCTGTTGAACACACTAGGAGTTGGACTGTGGTCCCGCTCCCGCTCTCTGTCTCGGTTACGCTCTCGTTCCCTGTCACGATCACGATCTCTTTCTCTGTCTCGATCTCTCTCCCGTTCTCTGTCCTTATCTCTTCTTGAATAATAGTCCCATTGTTTGCTTGTGTCCATGAGGCTACTCCACGATGGTGCAGAACCTGCAAGGTGCGGAAAGGTGACTAAAGAAAAAAATGCCAGTATTAGAAAGCAAACAAGCTAGAAACATTTGAAAAGTGTAAAAAGAATCACTCACAAACTCAATGAAATTCCACTTTATAAGCTTAGATGAAGCCTCAAATGGAGTGTCAGTAACTCCAGGCACTTGTTTTGCATGTTACTTTACTACACGCTCACTTAACTCTGAGGCCAGTTTCAAAAACCAGTCAGGTGATTTATACAATGAATCAATTACTTGCTCCCTTTCCTTCTTGCAAGTAATACAGCATTAAACACAAAAATAATAAGAAGCCATTTTTCCTTTAGTTACTTTATGGCATTTTATTTAACACATTACATTTTGTACTATTTTTGACTGCAGGTGTTATCCTTTATAAGTACTGATTTGTAACTTTTTTAACTATTGTCCTTCTAAGGCTGAAATGCTAAGTAGAATGGAAACAGAAAGCCTTAAAATTGCTACATACTGAGCTTTTTAAACAAAAATAACATGCAGAAACACTGTACGGACTATTTTTAGTGACTGGGTATATGGCAATTCATAACAAGAAAAGCTCTGGTTTCTTCAGAAAAACAAATTGTTCCTTTTCTCAGTTTAAAGTTCTGGTAACACATGCAATAACCACTCAAGACAGATTTATCCAAGAAAAAGAAAAGAAGTTGTTCAGCTTATCTTATGTGCAGAACAACTTCTTGCACATGGTCAGGATGCAGCATGAGCTGCAAGAAGGCCTTTCAGCTTCTTATGTCAGCAGCAGTGCTTGCACACCCCAAAAGAGCCCCTTGGGTATGAGGGGCTGCCTTCTGAAGGAAAAAGTCCTCTTAAACAGACTCCCTGTATGGCCACTGAAATTCTCTGTGCTTCTCCTGTCTTGGCAAATTCTATCATCTGGCCTTCTACTGTCATTTATCACTGGCTGATTAACAGAAGAATCCTGTTGCTCAGAAGTTACTTCAATGACTGAGCAGCAAGATTTGTCAACAGACTTATCTCAAATTCTAAAACACATTAGCTTCATGATACTTGAAAATAAACTACAGTTTTCCAGTCCACCACACAAGTCAGTCAATGAACTTACATCCAAAGAGCATGATCTCAGGGCATCCAGAACTTGTACGCCACTAAGGCATTAAATCTTGACTACAAACAAGAAGTAGTCCAAGTTTGCACATCAAAGCAACCCAACTTGGCCAGTTACCCAGAACGGGTGCTGTACTATGTGAACCAAATCATGGTTAGTCTTCACTGTTACTGAATGATGCTGATGCTGATATGTGTATCTTTCAAGTGTTGCATGTGCTGAGCAACTTCAAGACTGGAGAACTTGGAATAAAATGTAAAGCACTGCAAAACAACATTGTTCAGTAGCAAGCAGACACAGACACAAACTGTACAGGAAGATTTTGAAGAAAGCTCTGTTCCCCAAAGAGGTCCGCCTGGCACCGTCGTTACTGGTTTTTCGGCGCCAGGTAAAGACCTTTTTATTTAAACATCATTTCAATTGTTAAAACATATGATCTGGCCTGGGCAACTTCTTCTTCCTTCTCTTTCTCCTCCTATATTTTTATTTTATACTGATAATTTTAATTTTGTATTTGTAAATCAATGTATTTTTTGTATTGTTATATTTAATGGTAATTTATTATGTACTATTGTATTTCAATGTATTTTATCATGTTGTAAGCCGCCCCGAGGTTTCGGCAAGGGGCGGCATAGAAATGTTATAATAATAATAATAATAATAATAATAATAATAATAATAATAATAATATACTGTGTTCTGGTAAATGGCTATAAATGATTCCACATAAAAATGTTCGTGGCTTCTTTGGTGCAAGAAAAAAACAAAAAAAGAAAAATTAGTTTGTAGGAGAAGAAAAAATGTTACTAAAATATTTTGGGGGTTCCCCCCCCCCCGTACCACATAATCAATATAGTTCAGTGAAGGTGGAAAAAATAAGGACTTAAAGAGAAAACTGGGTTTCTAAAATGCTGCTAATCCCAGAACATTTTGTTTAATTCTGAGTAAGGGAAGTGAGGAAGAAGATCAAAAAATAGCTAAACTTTACTGAGAATTCCTTAACTTCCTATATTGTTAATAAGGCATCTACCATGAAAATATATTTCAAGTATTAGTACTAAATAATATTCAGATCTGACTCTCCTTCATTGATCTGCAAGTTAAATTACAGTGGATTTAATTCCATTAGTCATACAATACTGAGTGGACAGGGAGGTAAAAAATTGAAAATGGATAGGCGTTTCACTGCCCTTACGTATGTGACTTCTTATGCTATAAGGGGATTAGGAGCAGCTTGTTTCTATCTTTATTTGCAGTAGGGTACTAGAAAAGAACAAACATTTTTGGCTAATGAGCTGAGTCAAACCTATCTTATAAAATAGCGCCACCCTATAGTGCTTTACAGTGTCTGATTTTCCATACATCTAGGGAGTAGACAGCAGTGTAGAGATGAGGAGAATAAAGCTGGCTATATCATAGCTGGGTCAATGGGTCCTCCTACTCCTGTTCAAGCATGCAACAAATCCCTGTTGCATAAACCATGCTACAAGGTGGCATGGTCTTGACTACTTTTTTTTCATTTCTAGTTCTTGCCCACTTATCCTGAGCAGCTAGAATGAATGCCAAATCCAAGAGCGGCAATATAAAACAGCAAAACCTGAAAATCCATGCAGTAGCTTTCTTAAACACCAAATAGCGTGTCTTACTGAAGGGTAGCTTTGCGCATATGGGAAGGATTCATAGCACATGGCTCGCATAATTACATTCCTGTAGCTACACAGAAATCTGGGATAGGGGAAATTCAGCATTGTCAACTGCACCATGTACTGGTGCAGCTAGTAAACATCTGCTACATACTACTCAGTTACATCTAATAGTTTTTATCCTAGAAAGTACATAAAAAGTAAGTTATTTGAGCTTTAGCTTAACAACACCAGTAGATTATCATAACAGATAACTAGGTAAAGCTTGACCAGGCAGATCAGTAATGCATACTATCCATAACTTTCATTATATTCAGTAATGCATTATCTTGCACTATATAACATGGCCACTCTTTTGATACAGCATCAAAAAGATAACTTTAAAAACTATTCTCAGGAGTATCTACAGGCGAACACATGAAAGAAGATAGTACAATTGTGTGTTCTTTCCCAGCAGACAAAGCAAATCAACAAAGAAACAGTAAGAATGTTAGAAATCAAACCTCACTGAGTTCTTGGCAATTGTGGCAAAGACAGATAATCGCAGACTAGACATTCATTAAGTCTTAAATCGTGTTTTGATAAATCCTGAGGAGCTCTGTAGAAGGAGGCAGTATTTCTCTTACAGAACTGTATTAAGACCCAACCATTCTCCCATTTAGGTTCACAATATTTCTATGATAACTGAAGTGAAATTGAATATTTTGAATATTTTGAACTCTTGAATATTTTATTCTGGCAATTCTAAAAGTGATGGTAGAAAAATGTTTGCTTTTTAAAAACCTAAGTATATTCCATTTGCTGCAAAGAACAGTTTATGCATTGGATCCAAATTTAAAAATGCAGGACTATATTGGTGAAAGCAAAATTCATACTCTCCCTACTGCAGCTCTTCCAGCCTCTAATCCCAAATGCTACATGGAGGATTGGAGGACACTACCGAATGTAGAAGGTTAGGAGAGAGCGCCTTAAAAACAGGCAGAGGCAACCTTCCATAAGCAGTGCTCTTCCTATGATGATACAAATATCTCCACTCATTTTTCAAGAAATTTCCCTCTCCTCTTAGCCCTACTCTGTTTAGCAGGGTCCATGCCAGAAGTGTGGCTTCTAGATCAAGAGAGGTATTACTACCACTCTACATGACTATGGTGCACCCGCAATTGGAGTATTGTGTTCAGTTTTGGGCCTCTCATTACAGAAAGGATATAGTCAGGTTGGAGTCAGTGCAGTGTAGGGCCACAAGGTTGGTGGCCGGTTTGCAGGGGATGCCGTATGAGGTGGGACTGAGGGAACTGGTCTCTTCAGCCTGGAGGAGATTCAGAGGGGATATGTTGGCGACATACAGGTATGTGAGGGGATGTCACATGGAGATGGGTAGAGACCTGTTCTCCCCAGCAGAGGAAGGCAGGACACGCTCCAACAGAGCAAAGCTCAGGGAGCCAAGGTTCCATTTGGATGCCAGAAAGCACTTCCTGACAGTCAGGACCCCAAGGGTGTGGAATGGGAGGTTGTTGAGGCCCCATCGGTGCGAGTGTTCAAGGATAGGCTGGACATCCACATGGTGGGCATGTCGTGAGTGGAGCCGGCTGGTGCCGGAGGTCAGACTAGATGGTCCGGGAGACCCTTTCTGACTCGCTCTGTTTCTATGTAGCATTTAGGGGAAAAATGGCAGTGCTGTTTGTGTTAAGTACATAGTATGGAAATCCACTTCTACCAGAGAAGTTGCAGCTCCCTATACCTGAATCCAATCCATTCCTGAGGGTTGACTGAAATGTGTGTATCAGCATATTACGCCTGAAACCAGTCCCCACTAGAACCTAAGAGGAGAAACTCTCACTCTAGAAGCCCCTTTCACATCCATTCTATTTTAAACACACTCTTTCATCATATGAAATGTGCAATATCCCATTTGAATCAGTGTTAACTATACAATATTCATGAATATCATTTTTTAAAAACTCATCCTCTGCTTTCTTCAAGAGACTGCAATAATTCCTGAGGTCAACCTAGTCTGAATGATGCTCTCCATATACATCCTTCCAGTAGATTACAGAAGCAAATGTAAAAACAAAGAAGCATAATATTGTAAGCAACCCCTTTGCATGGAGGAGATTAAACTCAAAATAGCAAAGAGAAAGGTACAACCTTATTGCACATTCACTGAACAACGCTCACATGTTTCAGAGGAAGCTTTTCCAGGCAGCTTTTAATGGAAAGGCCTTAATATGCTTGAGAATGGTGAAAACAAATGTGTGAAACCTCCTGAAATATGCAAGACTCAGAAGACAGTATGAATACTCACACACACTAATCTAGACATCTGCTTCCCATCAATAATCACATTCAGTGAATCATCTGTTTTTTGTTACCTGAATCAAAACTCTGGTTTGTTCATTCACAGCCACATACTCCTCCCATTTTACTGTAGCTTCATTCTTGCTGCTTGGACACCACAGACGCACTGTACTTTCAACCAGCGCATGAGGTAAAAAAAAAGGGAGAGAATGGGCACTACTTCTGTCCTTAATAGTGCACCAGTCTCCAAGTAACACTGCTGTGAAAACCTTAACTCACACTAAAGGGTTCCATCTCTGAAAATTAATACTTCCTGAGAAATAAGAGGTAGATTAAAAGTGTTTGGTCACATAATTTTCTATCTAGAAGAGCAAGCATAAATCTAACATTAGCTGCCTGAGCAAAGCATATTTGCAAGCAGTTCTGAAGACACTTACCACCACCATATGGAAATGCACGAGCTGAGCGGCTGTCATAACCAGAGGAATGTCCACTGTTGGGAAAGAAATACATTCAGGCTTCCATCTTATTTAGATTTCAATTCAAAATATTCAGTTCTTACAGCTCTGAAATTGGTTATACAAGGGAATAATTGCTGTCATGACATATTAAGGCTTCAATTTGGACAGAAAAGTCTTGAATTCCCAGCATTCCTCAACTAACATGGCTGATTGGAGAGGTGCTAGCAGTTCTAGTACTTTTCTGTCAAGCTGTGCAAATGATAATAGCCTAAATATCTGTGTAATAATATCTCTCTTATCACTTTGAGCAACGTAGATGTGTTTGGCAAAATAATTCAGAATTACAGTAATTGCTACATCTTGCCTTATATGTCCTATACTTTCTATTCTGGTGCAATGAAAGGGGACATCTTCAGCCTCTGCACCATCTTTGCTTGCATGGGTTTAAGCAATCTTGCTTAGTCATTCTCTCCTGCCATTCCGTGCAAATACCATTATGTAAGGGAACAAGCTCCCTGGTCCCACAACCTCACTGTTTCTGCAGCCCCTCACTCACACCAGAGGCTGGACTTCCACTGCAGAAATATTTCCTTGTTAAGTCAGGTGCCCTACATAATTTAGTTTATCTTCCACAGCTGTGAATTAGATGGGGACCCTACTCAAACAGAAAAGCCTCTAGGTCACCTCTGCCCCCGCAACACATGGAAGGTTGAAGGAAGAATGGCAGGGCAATGTGGAAGGAGGCAAGGTGAATGGACTCATCCCCAGGCACCCGTGTACAATGAGCACTGCACATGTGCAGAATGACTGAATATGATGACTGACTTCTTTCAAGGCAAGACAGGAATATCTGACTGTGCAGCCCAGCAATTAATCAATGATGAGGTTTGCATAGTCCAGGACACTACAGAGATGGATGTGGATGATAAACTATTTTACTCCCTAATGCCTTTAAACAATCATTATTTAAAATACCAATTTAATAATTGCTGAATTCACAGTTTCATTCAATAAATAAAGTGAATGAATCTCCTTTGGAAATGTTGTAATGTGAAAGCATTTATCCTAATATAAGTCTTCATAAGAAGCCTTTCTTCTCTTCATTGTATACTGACTAAGAGTTTCAAATATTAGGGGAGAAACCACACCTCATGACTTTGGCAACAAAAATATTTTGGAGTGAGAACTTTTTGGGCTCTTTTTATTCAGTAATTTTTTAACATACAGGTGTGAGCAAATGCGTGTATGTATACATGCAGGAACAGGTGGACTTCAAATGGGATTGCTGTATATCTTTCTCTTTCCAACAGAAATGGAACCAAATGGTCACTGAGTAACAACAACAAAAGATGAACTAAGGAGGTGACATTTCAGAGGATCAGCCCAATGCGGATTGAGCATGCTGAAAATCTGGTGTGCCCATAAGTGAAACAAAACAACAAAAAGAGGAAGAGAATGTGGGCATATTCTGCTAGAGTTTCTTTCAGTGTATAGTATTTTGGAAGGCAGCATGTGTGACTGGCAGGAATTCTCAAGAGGAATATTTTGGCTAGGAGGGAAAAATATACTGTATTCCATTTACATCCTACCCATCTTCTCAAATTCTAAGTCTACTTCTTTCAGTTGAAATAGGTCAAATACTGAAACTGTAATGATACACTTCCCCTTCATGGATCACTGCCTTACCGCAGCGAAAAGGCTTGCGTAGCACAATGAAGCTATGAGCTATGCCATGCAGGGGAACCCAAGACAGATAGGTCATAGCAGAGAGCTCTGACAATATGTGATCCACTGGAGACGACGCTACACATGGACATCACCAGATGGTCATCACAGAAATCAGATTATGTGCTCTGCAGCCAAAGCTCCAAAGAGTCAGTAAAAACAAGACTAAGAGCTGACTGTGGCTCAGATCATGAGCTTCTTGTTGCAAAATTTAGGCTTATATTGAAGAAAGTAGGGGAAAGCACTAAGCCATTCAGGTATGACCTAAATCATATTCCTGATGAATATACACTAGAGGTGACAAATAGATTTAAAGAATTAGATCTGATAGAGAGTGCCTGAAGAACTATGGACGGAGGTTCGCAACATTGTACAGGAAGCAGCAACTAAAACCACCCCCCCTCCAAAAAAAAAAAAAAGGAATACAAGAAAGTAAACTGGCCATCTGAGGAAGCTGTACAATTACCTGAGGAAAGAAGGGAAGCAAAAGGCAAGGGAGAAAGAGAAAGATACACCCAATTGAATGCAGAATTCCAGAGAATAGCTAGAAAAGAATGCCTTCTTAAATGAACAGTGTAAAGAAACAGAAGGAAAAAATAGAATAGGGAGGATCTCTTCAAGAAAATTGGAGATATGAAGAGAATGCTTCATGCAAAGATGGGCATGATAAAGGACCAAAATGGCAGGGACCTAACAGAGGCAGAAGAGATTAAGAAGAGGTTGCAAGATTACACAGAAGAACTATACAAGAAAGATCTTAATGTCCCTAATAACCATGATGGGGAGGTCGCTGACCTCGAGCCAGACATCCTGGAATGTGAAGTCAAATGGGCCTTAGGAAGTGTCTTAGCAGTAACAACGCTAGTGGAGAAGGCAGTATTCCAGCTGAGCTATTCAAAATCTTAAAAGACGATGCAGTAAAAGTGCTACACTCAATATGCCAGCAAATTTGGAAAACTCAACAGTGGCCACAGGATTTGAAAAGGTCAGTTTACATTCCAATCCCAAAGAAGGGCAATGCCAAACTATGCTGAAACTACAGTTTGAATGTTCCAACTACTGTATAGTCACGCTCATTTCATATGCTAGCCAAGTTATGCTCAAAATCCTACAAGCTAGACTTCAGCAGTTTGTGGACCGAGAACTACCAGGAGTACAAGCGGGGCAGAAGAATTCGAGATCAAATTGCCAACATACACTGGACCATGGAGAAAGCTAGGGAGTTCCAGAAAAACTTCTGCTTCATTGACTATGCTAAAGCCTTTGATTGTGTGGATCACAAGAGATGGGAGTTCCAGACCATCTTATTTCTCTCTTGAGAATCCTCTATGTGGCTCAAGAAGCAACAATAAGAATTGAACATGGAACTACTGATTGGTTCAAAATTGGGAAAGGAGTATGGGAAGGCTGTATACTGTCACCTGCCTATTTAACGTATATGCAGAGTACAGCATATGAAAGGCTGGGCTAGATGAATCACAAACTGAAATTAAGATTGCCCGGAGAAATATCAACAACCTCAGATATGCAGATGATACCACTCTAATGGCAGAAAATGAAGAGAAACTAAAGTGCCTCTTGATGAGGGTGAAAGAGCAGAGTGCAAAAGTTGGCTTGAAACTCAACATTAAGAAAATTAAGATCATGGCATCCAGTCCTATCACTTCCTGGAAAATAGATGGGGAAGAAATGGGATGGTGACAAATTTTATTTTCTTGGGCTCCAAGATCACTGCAGATGGGGACTGCAGGCAAGAAATTAGAAGATGCTTTCTCCTGGGGAGGAAAGCTATGGCAAATCTAGACAGCATACTAAAAGGCAGAGACATCACCCTGCCAACAAAAGTGCGTATAGTCAAGGCTATGGTTTTCCCAATTGTAATGCATGGTTGTGAGAGGTGGACCATAAGGAAGGCTGAGTGCTGAAGAATTTATGCTTTTGAATCGTGATGTTGGAGAAGACTCCTGAAAGTCTCTTGGACTGCAAAGAGATCAAATCAGTCATTCCTAAAGGAAATCAATGCTGACTGCTCTTTAGAAGGTCAGGTACGAAAGCTGAAGCTCAAATAGTTTGGCCACCTAATGAGAAGGAAGGACTCACTGGAAAAGACCCTGATGCTGGAAACAATTGAAGCCAAAAGGAGAAGGGAATGGCAGAGGTTGAGGTGGCTGGAGAGATGGGTGTGGGGTTGGGTGTACTCTGGGGGATGGTGGAGGACAGGAGAACCTGGAGGAATGTTGTCCATGGTGTTGCAAAGAGTTGAACATGACTTTGTGACTAAGCAAGAACAATAATACACTGTCATTCAATTTAATTTCAACTGTGATATAGTTATGGTTTAATGCATAATACAATTTATTAATTCAAAGTATAACCCTTGATATGCTTTATCACTTCCCATATTTAGCTTGGATCAATTATCTTGATCTCATTACTTGATCTTATACTCATTTGAGAGCTGCTTTTCACCCTGAAGACAGACTAATATTTTATAAAATAGCTTTGGATCATTTTGATTTTAGAAATAGGGATAATTAAAACTTTAACGTGTATCAACACCTTATCTTACAGCATTAGTAATTCAACCAGATGCGTAAAAGAAACCAATTCATCCAGTGGAAGACACTGGAAATGCGTTAATAAGGAAAAGATGAGGAGAAAGGCTTCTGAGAGAGACTCTTGGGACAGTGAAAGTCCAAGAGTCTGGTGACAGGTGTGCTGGAGTAGCAAGAAAAGTTTACAAAGATCAAAATCTAGGACATTCTGATCATGAAACTGGGGAGAAGGGAAAAATAATGTTATATCAATTAAAACCTTGCATCGATTGTTGCCTTCACCAAATTGTTGAGAGCGTCATCTAACTGAAAATACAATGTGAAAACACTGAATCATCAAAATACCCTACCTGGAGAAAGTGATCATTAACCCACTGGAAGAGGGTCCACGGACATTAAAGAACTTTACTAAATCTCCAGGGCAGCTAGTGAGAGAACCAGTCACGATCTTTTCTGACCTTTTGCCAAACAACTAGCTATTTCAGAACTGAGATAGAAACGACATGCTCAGAACAGTCATCTGGTTGATATTACTTCCCTGAGTCCCTTCCCAGCATCTTCTCATGTGTACCACACTAGTGCCTAATCCCACTGCATTCAGCAAGCACAGGCCCTATACTGCTTTTGCCCATGCTATGGCATGAACATGCTGCCTTCCCACCCTGGAGTCTAGAAGTCAAAGGCCATTGCTTTGGGCAAAGCAAAACACAAGGCCAGGTCTGTCTGCTTTGTATTTGAAGCACAAATGGATCTCCAATAATCACATCCTGCCCAAGATGCTAGAATTGCTACTTAAGGCATACATTCCTCATCCCAGCAAACTTTTGCTTTGGAAAGCAATATATTAGAAATGCACTGAAGAATGATTATAGCTGTTCTTAGACAATCAAGTGGTTAAGGAACTCAAGTACCAAGCAGAGTATGCAGTATGAAGGGATGGACTTCAAGCTCCATGCAAACAGCAGACCTCAGAGACTGCACTTTTAGAAGCCATCTTGTGTACAATGTAATAAGCTGTGCCTGAAACGGCAAATAACTTCTGAAGCAGCTATTTATAAAAGAAGCAGCCTTTGGTTCCTGGGGAAGGGAAAGAAGGGAAGGGGAAAGACCCTGTGTACATGTGAAAACATGTATCAAATGAAGTTCTGTGAAAAATTTCCTGAAGCTGTAAAATCCTCTTTTCTCTTCGATTTTTATTATATTCAAAATTAAACAAGATGGGATTTAAAACATCAGAAACTTCAAAATGCATTACTTCAAATCTAACTCATCCATGTTTTTCCTGTTCAAACTACTAGATAATTAAATTAAACTAAGTACATTTCTTGTGCTGTTAAACTGTTTTACACATGAAATTTACCTTTCTATTGTCGGTATAAGGGAAGGTGGCGGACCTCCAGGTGGGGGTGGAAAGCCTGAAATTTAATTGAGAAACCAAGGCATTTTTTAAAATTATCATTGCAAATTACTTCCAGAAAAAAAAAAAAAAAACTTTGACAAGCTAATCAAGTCCAGAGTAGTACATACAAGACAAACCTATCTGGTAACAACAAGAGTAACATACACCAAATGAAACACTTCTTATAGCATATTCAGGTAACCACATTTTAAAGAAATTTATTCTATGGAATTCTTCAATTACTAATCATAATTTAGGAATTTAAAACCATCTTGATATACATTATTTTCTCCAGAGAAAATTGAGTGCATTTAAAAAGAGGGGTGAGAGAAGTGCTAGAATGTACCCTATAACAAAAATGGAATAATACTGTATTGCATACTACTTCAACATAGGTTTAGAACAAATAAATATACCTGGAGGTGGCACAGTTATTGGTATACCTAAAAACAAAGAAGATGCAGCCAATCATTTCAGTAATGTTTATATTGTCTCATTCCCACATTATCAGAACAGGCATTATGGCACTCATGCCAACTGCATATTGTTGAACAGCCAATACAGCTGGTAGTATATTCATTTCACCTAGCGTCACACCCTACTGGAAAACTGTGCAAGCAGCAGGACCTGAGCCAGTTGCATGTGGTATTCACAACCCAAAGTTTGCAAGAAGGAAAGGGAGTAAAAGTTCCACAACATGCACCTAAGTTAATGTGTTTGCTCAACAAAATTCCTCAAAAAGATTCACTGCATAACAACTGCATCTGAAAGTAAAATCATTTCCATAAAAATAAACTTAAATCTGCTGTTTCCCTAAATTAGCCAAGAATGAAATGCTGCCCATATGAAGTCTTGATAAATGACGGTCAGTGTGATGATTAGAGTGCTGGACTGCATTCCTAGGAGATACCAGTTCTAGATCCTACTCAGGCATGAAGCTCATTGGGTGACTTTGGGCTGGTCATGGACTTTCTGTCTAAACTACTGTGAGGATAACTATGGAGTGGAGAACTATGTAAGCTGCCTTGGGTTCCTCACAAAAGGGAAAAAGGTAGTTTATAGATACAATGTAATAATAAAAATGAATTTGTAATATTTAGAGCAAATGTTAAGCAAATTTGAATGATCATAGGCTTTTTTGCCCAATTATGGGGTCATATAATCTGGAATATAAAATAGTATTGCAAGTATTACATGTTTTAGAAAGCAATTATACAAATTAAATACACTTATATAAAAATGATCAATTTAAAGAACACCTGTATACAATTATATTCTCTACCTATGTGTATGCATGCACAATTGAAGGCAAAAACCCACCTGTGCCTTTATATCCTCAATGTTAACAGACAAGACAGCAAATTCAAAATGTAAAATGACAAGTTAATGTTAACTGGGGCATTGATAGACAACACTTAAGAGATAGCATTAACAGAATACACTTCACATATGTAACACAGATACATGGAATACGACATTAATAGAAATCTTTATGTAAAATGGAACTCATCTACACTGAATAGCCTGATTCTTTGCCTCATATTCTTTTTTTTTTTTAAATGGGCAAGGGACTCAGTCACATTCATAATTACCATCAGTCAATTTTTCACACAGCCTAAGTCATTTATTTTGTAACATAGGAATAGTCACACTAGTGCATTTATAGCTGGTTATCTGAGGTACTATATAAGAATCAACAAAAAAGTTTAAAATCATTATTATTAGTTTCATTTCTATACCATCCATAGCTGGAGCTTTTTGGGCAGTATACAACCAAACATAAAAACAATTACAACAGATAAAAACATTAAGAATTAAAATTAATTTAAAACAACATAAAATAATGTTAAGAGACCATCAAAACTTTTTAAAAGACCCAGCCAAGAGTAAAAGAAAGGCATCTGGCTAATCATATCAGGCCCCTGAATGACTGCAGAGGTTTTTAAAGGCCTCTGTAAAGAGGTCAGTCTTACGCTGGCAGTGAAGTAATAATAATAATTATTATTACTACTAGTAGTAGTAAACTGTAATTCCCAAAAATTTAGTGCAGCTTGCAGCCGCTCTTTTTAAAACAGCAACAGTAGCAGTAATACAGCTTCCTAGGGTTATACTTTCAAACAAATGGTTTTTTTTGTTTCACAATTGGCTAAATGAACATGGTGCAACTACAAAAGCAAGATCTTTTTTCAAAGGATCTTTGGAAGGATGTTTTATATCTGAATGCTTAAACTTTCTGGCCAGTTGCTCCAGTTAATATTGAGTAATGAGAAACTAACAAGAAGCTTTCCATCTCTCAAGCAAGGAAGAATGGGCAGATTCTATTTTGGTAAGAGCTTTGAAGATAGAATGCTGGCAGCAGCACAATTAAAACAAGACCGTTAAGAGCCAAAACCACTACTCTTAATGGTTATTTCCAAATGCATTGAAAATACAAGGTATAGGAAAGGAAATCTTCTGGAAAGATTGATGAATGTTATCATACCTCTTCTGTTTTCACCAACATGCCTGACCAAATTACAGATTTATTAACTCTGAACATCAGCACATGAAAACTCATGTGGAAGTTTAACTCTATGAATTTCTGGATATCTTTTACATAGGGTAAAAAATAGGAAATCACTCCAGTATATAAATTAATCTTGAATTTTCACTCTCCTGACAATTTTTTTGAAGGCAATTCATCTCAGATTTCAGCTACTAACTACAAAAGCAAATCTAATGATATTGAATTACACTGCCTTAAATACCATTACCATTTCAAGTTCAAAAGGTTACTGTCTAACCACATGATAAGCTATATGGTTTTTAATGAACACCAAGGCTGCAATCCTAAGCATAAATACTGCAGAGAAAGATCCAATTCATTCAATGGGGGCTTACCCCTGCATAGTGATATTTCAGATTGCACTACAAGAAAATTTAGATTTGCTGCTTTCTAATTCTTCTACCTTACATATATTTAAACATATATCAAAGAATACTATTTTGCCATGCAGATGTCAAACCTGAAAGAGAACTATTTGCCATTCTTCTTAAATAGGAAATATGTATCTCTGATAATCATCTTTAGAATGTGAAATAGAAGCTAGTAATCCCTTTAAATCTGCATGTTTGGGGAGGAACATAAAACATTCTCCCCTTTTTTTTAAATGCAGAAGAGAGTAACTAGCCCCAAATGCTGGAAGGCTACCCTACCTCAAGTCTCTCTTGCACGTTAAGCAAAGCAGAACTTGGCCATTTACACATGGTGGGCATGTCGTGAGTGGAGCCGGCTGGTGCCGGAGGTCAGACTAGATGGCCCAGGAGCCCCCTTCTGACTCAGTCTATTTCTATGTTTCTATACAGGAGCTGCAGTGCTGCCAACATTGCTTGGATTCCTGCATACCTTTCCAGTCAGAAGCATGTCAACTGTTCTCAAGCAGCAACACAATAAAAAGGAAGTTGAAGGCTGTAGGTGGATGTCTAATGCTTCCTGTAAATCCAGAAGCACTGGGGATGTTGGGTGGCTGTGTAGAAGCGCACTTATGATTTCTCCTTTCCTTATTCTCTAACACAATGCTTGCCTAGAGTATCTGGTGAGAAACTGACTGAAAAGTGATACAGTGGCTGTTGCTGCAGCCTAAGATTGGAAGTTCTAGAAAACAAAAATTAAGGAAAGCCCCTATATAGGAAATGACTGGGGTGGCAGGGTGGGGGGGAGAACACCACTTGTTTTTATGTAGGTATGTTAAGATTCAGTTAGTTCCAATGAAGATGTTATAATGCACCCTGACTAAGGAAAACCAAAGAAGGGAGGAATTTTGTATGGCCAACAGGAACTGTACATTCCCAACCTCTAGCTTATCAGACCATCATACAAATGCTCACTTTATTAACTTACTATCCAGAATCTAGAGCCGATTTTGATTCTGCATAACATATTATGCTCAACATAGATTCTAAGACCCAACAATGTAACAAATTATATGCCCTAGTTTACTACCATGTTGATGTCTCTTTTTTTATTTAGCATTTTGCCCAATGCCATAAACTTATCCTTAAGTATATTGGTATGCACTCTATTTGTAATTACAGTTTGAACAAAACCTAAAAAGGAATGCATTCGGTATTGCATAAAACTATTCTTAAAGCTAATGGACAGAACCACGGATATGCCTTCTGTTCATGGCAAGGCTGTGGTCACCGAAAGTCACTCAGCCTGACTTTGGATGATTCCTTCTCTCCATTTCACCACACTTCAATCTATTATACACAGTCCTCTGACCCTGTAGCATTTTCATTTTCTCACCAAACCAATATAAAAATGCATACTGAGAATTTCATTTAATGCATAATATACCTTTCCTGTTCATAGGCCATCCAGTAAAAATTAGGTTTGTAAGCAACTATTGCATATATTTTGTCTTTTCCCCAATGGCTTCAAAATTCGTGGAAATTAACATCTCAATTATCATGATTTAAAGTAGCCATGGGAAGATGGCCAGTGTTACACCTACTCCGTCCTTCACTAGCTAGCAGCTTCCCTTGGATCCAATTAAGCCTAGAGGCCACCGGTTTCCAGCCCTTACAGGAAGCCAATAGTAGTTGAATGAAAACTAAGCAATGCATGAGAATCTTTACTCATGAAAGAAAGAATGCAGATAATGATGGTCTTACAAAAAGGATGAAGAGCTATGAAGAGCATTTTACAAAGAGAAGCAACTCTTTGTGGGAAGCTAATAAAACACCAAAAAGTTTAAGCATCAGCTGCAAACCTTATGCCAACTAGAACAGAACTCATACTATAAATACCAATCAATACATGCACGGAATACCACAACTTTTTGTCTTCATGCTATGACAAAATTACTGAAATGGAAATACTGCAATGTAATTTAGTTTACCTGGAGGAGGAATCAGAGGGGGTGCAGTACTGACAGATGGAGGTGGTGGAAGAAAAGGAGGTGGTGGAAGATGGGTAGGAGGCGCTCCAGGAGGAAAAAATGGAGGGGGCTTGGAAAAACTGCTGTCCACATCAGTACTGGAACGGTCAGAAAGAACCTACAAAATAAAAAGAGTGTTATATTTTCCCTTGATCAGTGAAAACCTGGACTGTCACTTTATTAAAGAATAAGCAAAGGTTTTTCAGAAACTAAGAGACATATGTATTTGCCTTCTAACATTAAAAGAGCAATCTTATGCTCAGTGACCAAGTTCTATGATACCAAAGCCTCCAATCTACCCTACCAGGCACATGCTGGCAAAGTAAAGGAGAGGTGGAAACTGCAGGGATTTCCCTTTCATGGCTTTTCTTTTAGGAGAAAAAGCTGCTGTAACTTTCACTTTTGAGCAGAGAGGAGAGCGGATCCACAGGGAGAGAGGAGCTGAGATTGGATGTATTCCTCCAAAAGTGGACCTCTCTTTATGTCCCCAGATGGGTAAGTCCATACCCTATGACCCCTGTACCACCATTTCAGGGACCACGTGAGTGCTCTCTGAAAAGGATAAAACAGGATTCTCAGTATTGTTTAAGCAAGGAGTACCATTACAAGGTAAGAAATGATTGGCAACTGTCTGATGAAAATGTCCAAAAGCATTTCAAATTAGATATTTATTAAATGCTCATTTGCGACCACAGCATACTAAGAACACTAGACACATGGCATACTTCCATGAAAAAAATCTTCCTTTACTAAAGGCAAAGTACTATTTCAAATTGGAATATTTTCAACTACTGAATATATTAATATTACAAGTCAAAAATATGATCTGGAATTCAATTTACTTTTTCCTTTAATGATGCTACCAAGAGTAACATGCTGATTTTAGGGTTTTTTAAAATGAAACTAGGATGCAACTGGGATCTCCCTTGATATACTAATACATATGCAAGATAGAAACATGAAACCTGTATATTGCTGTTTTCATTGGCCCTCCTTCTTCCTTCTACTCGGCTAATTGTGATGGTTTGTCCAATCACATCTATTGTACCAGAAAGCCTTCTGAAAAAGAATATATAATTAAAGAAAAACATTACATTATATCTTTTACCAATGAGTAGTAAAATAATGATGAAAATGCTTAGGAAAATGTGTCTCAAAACATTTAAATCCTACGCATATAGGATTCAAAATGATCTTATTCAACAAGGGTGAGATAGTTCTTGCTTCTTTGCTTACAAAAGAAAAAAAGTATTTTTTTTCTTAATGAATGGCATGTAGTTCCATAAACAAAAGTTGATGCTTCCACCTCAAACATAAGATACTCTATCAGGAGCATCCTCAACCAGGAATAATATGAATATGTAATGAAAAACTTATTGAGTGGTATCTATTCAGAGCCAGCATATACTTTTCTATTGAAAAGAAACCTTGAAATCCAAGGGAATGAAAGTAGAAGCCTAGTTACAGAAAGTTACATAAAAGGAGAGAAGGGCAATGTAAAAAAAAAAAAAAGGCACTGATGTAATAGTGTTATTTCCACACTGGGCAATTTCTGACAGCATGATAGCCATGACAATTAATTAACCCTAAAGGGGACACACAACATATGCTACCCACCATTATGAATATGCAATCATGGCTTGGCTTGTTGTGTCATGAGAATCTAGCCAGGAATGGTTAAACAGCAACTTCACATAATCCATTCCAGGATTATTGAACCCTCAAATAACCATTGCTCAGCACAAATCATGGCAACACCAGGTTAAGGACTGTATATTCATAATGGAAGACGGAATGTGCCTGGACCTCAAGAGTTAATTAACCCATTATGGCTATCATGTCATCGAAACCAGGTCATACTGCCACCCAATTCTGTGGCTGGAAACTAATTGTGTGGCACTCATATTACAGAAAGTCAGCTACTCAGTAACTAATACTCTGCTCAATGAGCCACTGGTACAAGAGTGCTAGCAGAAGAAATATGCAAAATAGTAAGCCAAGATTCAATCATACATATTTCCCTGAACTGTAAGAATTCCTTTTGTTGCTGTTTCCAATGCCCCCCTTGCTTCCTGGCTAGCTGCTGGCTTTCCAAGCAAGCCAGATTTAGCATAATGGACTCCTGCTACTGACCCCTTGCATAAAACCTAGGTAAAGTAGAGAGCCATATCTCTAGCAAGAAGACAGGACTAAGAACTGGAAAGAATAATTCAAGAATTGGCAGTTATGCTTGAGCCATAAATTACTCCAACGCATCTACAGGAGGAAGCTTGCCAAGTCTGCTCTAGCATACACTCTGAGGAAACATGCTAAAGGATCGCAAGCCCCTTACTTTCTTTGTTGGGTGGCTTTTAAACAAAAGGTTACAGTTCACATCCCACCAAAGTAAATGGCAATACTCCCATACATTTTAACAGAGCTAGATCTCATCCAAAGAAAATAAGTTAAGATAAAGTCAAAGTGTTTGCACTCCAAAAATGACACAAAGCCCACATACAGGAACTTTCTCTTTCTCAAGCAATTATTTTTACCACCCAATATTCAGATGGCTGAGCGAAGGGACAGTGGAGGCTTGTAAGATGAGCCCATATAAGGAAGGAATATGTAAAAACCTTCCATCTTCTTTAGCACACAGTACTTGACAAACACAATTTTCAACCTAATAATTAAGGAAGGCAAAAACTTGCTGTTTAAGAATCAACATTTTTCTAATTGTCTGTACCATGCCTGTAGCCAAAGAAATGAAATATTTTGGCAGTAATGGTCTCTGACTATATCATTTAAAGAAGCAACTAAGCAAACACATTAACTACCAAATGTGAAAAACATAACTAAACAAATTCCATGCTAGTTACAAAAGAGCCAAAATCCATAAGCAGCGAATGAACACCAGCCTAAAAAAAGCCTCTATCTAAAATATTTCACGTGAGCATGCAATACACAAAATAAAGATGAACACAATTTTATCAACAGTAGTTTAATACATTTTAGATGCAGGGGGTGACAATGATGGGCCAGGGAAAAATAAGCTATTGTTAGGGAGAAAGACAATGCTTCACTTTTTATTAGTAACAGGCATACGGTAGCATCAAATAAAGGACGAGACTATATATCAGAAGGTTTAAGCCACTATCCCTAACTACAGCATTGTTGATTTTGTGCAAAAGTCTTTATAAATTATATAAAACACAAGTCATCATTAGCTCAAAACAAGAACTACAATACTATGGGTCCACAATTCCATTCAGTATGCTCACTAGAGAGTATTCTGCTCCCCTCTGGCAAGCACAATAAGGTCCAGCCTTCTTCCTCATGTGGGAGCTGGGGAAGAAACAGTGTATCGATCCAGGGGTTAAACTTGGTCTGGGCTTGATAGCCAACAATTATTCCTACATAAAGTATTCCCTGAGTAAATGAACATTGTAATTCTGCTGCTGGACTATCTATTCATCAACACGTACACTAAATTCTGCAAGGACCTAGTCTGTAAGCTGTCATAACACAGAGACACTTCTGTGCCCTGGACATCCTTATTCACCAGGATAAAAAATGTCCTTTCCCCAGTGTGAACATGAATACCATCAACATAGTTGTACACTGTGTCAAGCAGTAGCCACAGCCTTCCTCTTGTATTTGGAAATGGAGAGGAGAAGAGAGATCAGCTGTACTATACATTAGAAGTACTTAGAGGGCTTCAAAAACCCTTTGCAACTACTGGGTCAATCAAATATCCCTCCAACTACAAACTCAAGAGGAAGGCTTCAACCTTTTACTTTTGCACAGTGCTTCCAAGGTGCTCTGGACACCTTGAAAGTGCTATGCAATGATCCCTGCTCCCTTTTCTAGGTCCACAGGTTCTGAGAGAAAGACATTCTCCCAGACCTTAGTAACTTTCAGTAGGGGCAAGACCTGGCACTTTGAAAAGACTACAAAAGCTGGTTTGAGGATCTAAAATCAACAATGAGCAAAATAGAAAGTTTTCTGAACTATTGCTTTAAACTCTGTTCTGAAATAAAAGTCTAAAGCAAGCTAGCTAATACAGGGCTTGCTACATGTAGCTAAACAATTCAAACAAATGATCAGAGCCTGGAGACTGAGAGAATGGCACATGCACTGCCACCTGCCATAAATTCCCTAGCCCTCTGATGCAGCAAAGTAGGAAACAACACTCCACTGAAATGTCAGGGGATTTTATGCTCACTGTAGTAGCAACTGGACAAGAATTGTACTTATTAGATTGAGAAGAGTTGAGTGTTGTTGGGTAGATCCTGCCAAGAAAGTTTGCTATAAATTGATACTTTTTAAACTGTGTTAAATTTACAGCCTAGCTAGTTGATTGTGAAATGTACTTCTAGTGGTCTTGCAGTTTTCTATGTTTTCTCTATTACTAGATTAGCACAATTAATAAGAGGAAAATATAAACCTATTGGGCTTTTATAAAATTACTGTACTCTGAATTTCAACAGTCTTGCACTGTCAAAAATGGTACAGATAAAGTACTCTTCCTGCCACTTTCCTGGATTATGGAGTACAGTAATTACTGACTATCCAAAATAGTTGGGAATATATACTGCATATGATGGGGCATATGCTTAAGCCAAGAATGCTATTCTAAATGGCAGTCCAGTCTAAACACTCCCAATTGATGAGAAAAAATAGCATTGTAATTTTTAAAAATTGTTTCCTTTAAAGCGTTTCTTACCTTAGTTCAGGTGACTCAGCTCTCCCATATCGTTCCTGCCATTTCCCAATGCCTGAACTGGCTTTTCTGGCTGCAGTGCTCGTCTGCGACTGAGAAGAGGTGCTGTTTCTGGTGAGATAAATGTTCTAGGTCTTTCTTTTCTTACAATTCTACCTTCCCCTGTTCTCAGATACTCTTTTCTCCCCCCACCCCTTATTACCTCAGTTTCTGCCTCATTCATCACATCTTCTGGCACTAACTAATAGCATAAGTTCCGCTGAGACTAGATATAGTATATTTGGGGTGTTAACACGGGCAGTTTCTTTAAGAAATCAAAATTTAAACCCAACTGCAATTCTACTAACTACCTATCTAAACGTTCCCTCATTCTATGGGCTGAATACATAGTATGTTGGTTTAAGATGCAACTTTATGTATCTACACCTTATATACCAATGTCACCTCAGTCATAACGTAAGTTTGGCACTATACATCATCCTAAGCATTTTAGGCCTTAAGAGTAGGCTAGAAATACATTAAACTTTGTATAGTCTCAAACAGCAAAGTAGAAACCAACAGAGGGAATTTACAATGCAAACCCTACCACAGCATTTCTATACAGGAACATTTACTACAGTGATTTCCCCCCTTTCAGGATAAAAATCTATCATGATGGCTTCCAACTAAGACAGTTATTTCCAACTACACACTGATTTGGGGCACTGCAATAATTTCTAAAACAATTTTATTTTCATAATCTCATTCAAAATCGTATTTCACTGCATGAGAGGTTTTTCCTAACTAAAGTTATTCTGACTGGGCAAGTAAGCAATCTAGTATACATTAAGTTATTTGCAAAGCAGGACAAAAATGCATGCTTCATAAAGCTGTAACAGAAATTCAGCTTCCTCATCCCTTAAGCCACTCTCACAAAGGCAGAAGCAACTGAAAAGGGGTGTTACGAGTAACACAGATCAGCTCTACATCCTTAACACACTGTTCCTTTAAACAATCACGTAACGGTGCAATCTCTGCTCAACAGCTTTTTCCTGCAGCTTTCAAACCATACATTTCCAACCACTCCTTCTGAGAAGCCAAGGTATGCCACACCCCACTACAACACTGTTTCTAAAGCGACTGTCAACACATGTGCAATGGAGCTCAATAACTTCTATGTCAGCAGCACAACACAGGTGGGCAACTTTGTTTTTCAGATTTGTAGAGAAAGTAAAATTCAGCTTGTAACCTGATGTACTCTTAAGGAAAAAATCCTTAAGAATTCAGCAAAGCCAAGCAGATATAAGACTGGCCAGTCAATTTCCAGTACCCCAACTTAGTAATCAAACTACACTGCCAGATGACTTGTCTGAATACCAGCAAAATTAGGAAACCCTCAAATAAAACAGCTCTTAAAAGAAATGAAGCAACTGATGGAAACACAGAAGAGGAGGAAGTAGTCATAAGCCTTACTATATTTATTTCCTTTGACCTAGTCAAAAATCATCTTCCTTCATCAAAGAACATGTTCAGATGCATGCTGATGTAGTTGCAACACATGTGTATTAAGTTTATTAAACTGAACTGACTGGCATGACAGGTTAGAAGGATAGTTCATATTTAGGTATACGATACTATTCCATAGATAGTTACTGTACTTATGCTTTAAGTTTTAAGGAAGATTTATGAAGTATTCATATTGAATAATAAAAACATTAAAAAGGAAGCTTATAAAAGAGGTAAATCAAAGAAAAGAGCAACCATTGGCATTTCTTTTTAAAAATCTGTCACTGAATATTGGTGTACACATTTTTCTGGCTCAAATCCGTTGTCTCTAGCATAGTAATTTTGATTATTCTTCATGGTTTTTGACCACAGCAAAAGATGACGAAGACCTATATGTACAGTTTCATACTACTGTATATATAGCAAAAAAAAAAATAAAGCCTAATCCATGGTTTACTGTGATGAAAATAAGATAGCATGAGTCTTAAAAATTCTACCAAACATGAACTGTGGTCAATATGAACTAAACTTTATAGAGCTATGCCAGCTTTGTAACACAAGGTCTGAAAATGGCCTGTTTTAAACAAATCTCAGTTAAGAGCAACCAGAATTTGTCATGTCCACATGGATTTGACAAGCCGAATTTAATCAGAAGCAAAAACAAGCAAAGGACTTTCCTTCTGGCTGTAGCTGATACGCAGGAGGGCACATCTGTGCCCAAAGCTTATCACAGTTCGTTCATTCATCTTTACAGTAGATGCTTAAACCAGAAATATGAACATTTAAAAGCTTTTATTACCAACTGTGCAATATGGTAAAATTTCCATTTTTACTTGTAATATGATTTCATATGTATTTGCACTTCAACTACATCTAGGTTTACAGTCTGAAAGTTTAAAAACATACAGTTTGAAAAGAAAAAGCAGACATTTCTTTAGATAATGGCAACCTGGAAAGGTTTTCTCTCAACTGCAGTTTGAAAATGGCTGTCCAAACTGACCTGTTTGATGGGATTCCTGTCTTGAATAACGGTGGAGGAGAAGTGAACTCAGCTTTGGGTGGAGGAAGTGGTATTTCTTTCTCCATGTTTCCAGTTCTGCCCTGTTGCACCTTTAGAATAAAGGTTTATTTCTATTAGTATTATCTAATCTGATGTTAGCTGCCTAGAGAAGCCATGGGCAAAATAGGCAGCACATAAATGTTTTAAATAAATATTCTAGAATAAAAAGTTCTGTTCCAATAAATTACAGAAATAAACATTTCCTCACTAACAGGACTGCTTATCCAAGTAGACCGTGTACAATAATATTATGATCTGAAAGTAGAGACACCAGAAGTATTTCTATGAACTCAAAGGAATTGTATCTCTCAAATAGAAGTGTCTCTTCCCTGCACAGTGCTTTCTAGAAAACTTTTTAAATGGGGTGGAGGTGAGTTTCAAAACCAGTTTGTGATTCATACAACATGAGTCTCTGTCATATCACAAAAAGCCAACAAAGGAAGGGAAAACTATCAAAAATGCCAAAGGCATGTCTTGCGATAAACTAATTTTCTGAACCCTAAACAGATTTGTGTTATTATGCTGCTGTCTGTGTGAAGTTTTCAATGAAGTATACATCTTTAGTGTGGAGCAGAAACTGAAAATGATGCAGTGAACTTGTGAGCCACTTTTACAAAGCAGCTTCCTATTGGGACAGAAAAACCAACCCATAAGATCCCCTCTGTTGGAAAGCAGTTCCTCATGATATTTGTAGGAAAAGGCAAAGTAGGTACCATAATAGTATTCATAATATTCTCTTTAAAGCTGACCATCAGCTGTAGAGAATATACCAGCCTGCAACATCAGAAAGGTAATGCACTCTAGAATTTAATACCATCTCTAAACTTAAAAAATTCCAAAGTTAAGCTACCAAAACAAAGACTGTAAAAATCTAGACTTCATCTTCTAGCAGCTTACTTTGTACATAAACCTGCTTATTTAACATTGCATACATACACATTAAGTAAAGACAGTGAGAAAAAGTATTTGCCTAACAAACAAGGGTGCTATTACCCACTTGACCTGGGCAAGAAAGTTACCACTACACAAAAGGCAATAGCTTCTACCATTGTTTGAGGAAAAAAGGCAATGAAGTGTTGTACTGCTATTTATGGCTGTATACACTGCATTTTCGAGCCAGAGTACACCATGCTAATTCTGCTCAGGAAAACATTTTTCACTGCTCTTCTGGTCAAGTGACCATGCAACAACTACAACACTGTCATCTCATTTAAGACCAATCGCTCCTGCTGTGCTATGTCAACTTCTCTAGTCTAGAAAACCATAATGTCACCAGAAAGTTATGCTACTGTATCAAAGCACCAAGAAATCCATCTCTATGTGAAGGCAGCAAAGCCCATGTAATCTTCATGTTCTCATTAAATAAAATGATGCACAACACTACTAATCATCACTATACTATGATGATATAGTATAGTGTATATATACTTCTAATCAGTTCAGCAACATCACCCATCTGCTCATACACACTAGATTTTGATGTTAGATTTTTTAGTTTTAATGTGGTAAATCCAGGTTCAAATTATGGATTTATTTAGGTGGCCTTTGTTTAGGAGCGTATCACTATATTTCAGAACTATTGTGAGGCATAAATGCCATCCTGGAATGCTTGGAGGAAATAAAAAATGTAAAAAATAGGGCGAGGGGGCAGCAGCAAATTATAGGACACGCCAACCTCAAATCAACTTCTGTGTTGGATGTTTATTCTATACTCAGTCTAGCTGAGGACTTCTGAACCAAAATCTTTGCACAAATTCACCTTTAGTGAACATGCATATTGAACATGTTCAATTGAACAGGAAATTTACCACACTTCATTGAGCCACAGTATTGTGTGAGATATAAGAACTCTGCTGGGTTAGATCTAATGCCTATTAGATCAATCAGATCCCACAATGGCCAACAAGAAGCCTATGGAAAGTCTACAGCGAGACATGAATGCCAGTGCCTCTTCCTCAGCAACATGTATTCAGATGCATCCAACCTCCAATATAGCACCAATATATAGCTATCATGATCAAGAGTCACTGATAGCTTTACACTCCATAAAACATTTCTCAGTTCTGAACTGTGCAAAGTGGTAACTCTCATCTAGAAATAGAAAAATGAGTTAGACAATGGTGCAGAATACAGTCAGCATAATTAACACATGGACCAGATCTAGTCTACAAAGCAATCTCCATCTGGCCCTGTTGTCCCAAGGCCAATCAAAATATTTCAAGGGATGGAAGGCAGTGTTCCAGGTTTCACTTGAACAATGAACTTCTATATACTTTTTATAGAATTTTACTGCATTGTCCTCTCATGTGCATTCTGAAAAAAAAAAAAAAAAAACACTTTCTTGAAAAGGGGATTGTCCTACAAGCACATTGATTCCTCAGCACCAAGGTACTGCTCATCTTCTCAGGCACGTACAAACGCAGTTGCCAGTGGTGACCATATCTTTTATTCCAGTAACCAACTGCTCTTTACCCAGCAAGAAGCAAAACACTATTCTCCTTTCTTCAATTCTTCATGAACACAGTATAATTAACTTAAGAGCATGGGTCCTCGAACTACAGCCCACGGGCTGCATCTGGCCTGCCATGCCCATTTATCCAGCCCGCCTCAGAGGTTTTGGACTTGCTCGGAGAAAACAAACTCCGAGTGAGCAAGCTGCTGCTGCGCACCTTGCCTTGCCTGCCGCCCCTGCCTCACAGCACACCAGCCCATCGTCCCTGCCTCGCTGCGCGCGCGCACACACCACCCCTGCCCCCTCGCCAGCCCGCACCCACCGCCAGCATCTTTCAACTGGTCCACCTGTTGAAAAAGTTTGAGGACCCCTGCTCAAGAGGATGGAAATCTGTCTCAGTTCATGTAGTGCAGGAAAGATAAACACTGCCTCTTCTGAAAGTCCTCAGGTATGCGAAGTGAATACTTATGCAGGGTGAATACTTATCTTCCTCCTAGGCTTTTGGAGGCAGCACTTTTGTTGTTTCTCAGTCCCTTGTAAGCCTAACAAAATGCTTATTTTCCATCACCTCTGAGTCTTCCATACTTATCTGAGGGGAAGGGTCCGTGATAGGAACAGCACCAGCTACAATCTGTGACTTTCTGTCCTTACCCCACATAGATGCCAGCTTTATAATATATATGAGACAAATTGTTTCAATCACTGGACTAGTTCCTAGAGAAGAAACTAGTCCCCATAAGATCATAGAAATGGGCCATTCTTGATTTAAACCACAAAGGCAAAAAAGAAGTCGTCGTTGTCATTGGTTGTCAGTGGATTCAATAGGTTCTGATCATATTCTGACATATTTTCTTACCTGAATGAATACTAGACATAAAATAAACATACACTAAACATCAACATTTCTATAAAGTAGCAATTCATCTCATTAAAAATACTGCATACAGGACATTAAATAATTGCCACAGCAATCATTAGTAGATTAGGCAATCAAGTCACAGGCTTCCAGCAGCAAAAATAAAATACAGGTCTGACATGCAGCATATATGAAGGATACATAAAAACGTGGAAAAATAGCTATGTCCACTTGTGCTTAGACTGAGACCTTGGAAGTGGTATGGCAAACAGTAATTAGAGTGACTAAGGAAAGTTTACCAACATTCACCTTAAAAAGATTGTATGTGCCATCTGGAATCTCTGTCCCTGGTGTTACTTCCATAGAAAAGTCTTCGGCCTAAGTTAAATAACACATTGCCCATTAAAACACCACATTAAGGACTGATGGGCTACATTACAACTAACAAGACCTTACAAGCTAGTTGTAGCTTGGTAGTTCCACACTATCAATACAACGGCCAACAAAGAAATGTAGTAAAACTGCTGGATGACAGGGAGAGGAAGGAAGGGTATGAACTTTTGAACCACACAAAAGCTTCTAACACTCACTGTGGATAACAGCATTATTTCAACTTCAGAAGGAAAAGCTTTTCCAAAATTCAATAATCAGAGATTCTAGTCATTACCATAATCTTATTTGTAGTAGAGGTAACAGGTAAAATTTCAAGCCCCATCCGTATCCTCTTTTGTTTTTCACAGTATGCTTTCCAGGTGTCTTCATTAAACCCGTAATTAAAATAGTCTGAGAGATCAGCACCTTAAAAGGAAAAAGTCAGACATTCTAGGAGTTAAAGAATTAGGACTAGAATTAGCAGGTGCTCTAGCTGCTTGTTTTGTTTTACAAGTGGAACACAGCTGAAATAGTCTTTTCTGGGAGCACACATTTCTGCTTTATCTCCTACAGGCACAACAATTATTAATAATTGTGTTTCTAAAGACAAGGCAATTTACAAAAAGCATGTTAGATAAGCTAGAACTGAGGTAAACTGTAAAATTTCCAGTAGAAATTCTAAAAGCATCTGTGTAAGTTAAGAAGCCTTGCCAACTGATGGATAATTTAAAAAAGGACTGCATGTTCTCATACATCAAAATTCAACTGTCTTGAGTAAAATTTATCCTTCATGTATTTACATAAAATAGCAACAGTGTTTTTAGATGTTGTGTTCATATGGTTCCATGCAATAAGAAGTACTTATTACCTCACTTGCTACATGAAAGATCCACATTTCTGCTCACTTATAGAATTTCACTGACAAGTTTATACAATTACATACATTTGAGTGCAAATTCTCTTACCTGGTTTTCTCCAAGGCTTATCCTCAAAGGAATCCAAATCAATTTCTAATAGAGGAACACCATTAATGCTTCCTGGTGCATCAAGATCAACTCCTTTGACTTTTGCCCCTATTTGGCATATAACAGTAAATAATAATCATCATTAGTTAAGCAAGTAAAAGCAAAGAAGTAACATGTATACAATTGACTGCTTAAGATTTATATTTTACATTCAGTACTGAATTTGGCCAGTGAAAGCTTATATCTGAGTGCCCTGGTAATGTTGTATCTAATAATATTGTTGAGTGACTCAGTGCGAAGATATAATTACAACTCAACCTACAGCCTACATATGAAAACAAAAAAGGCTAAAATTAGTAGCGTTACAGTCACATATAATTGCACAACCATTGTTTTCTAATTCCTCATTACATTTCAATGAATGAGATTTTTCTATAAATTATACTACATGATTTCCCAGATGTACTCTTTATGAGACCATAAAAGATACTTACCAGAAGACCCATAAGATCGCCCCCCTGTTTTAATATTGAGATTCACTGGTGCCGCTCCATAGCTAAAAGTTAACATTCATATATTACATGGAGGAAAAAAAAGAAGATATAAAAATGAAATATATGGCATGGTAAACAGTGAAACATTTCATGAATCTGCAGAATTGATTTCAAATTTAGAACAAAATATTTGATCGTTTATAATTTTTAAAGATTTCCTCTTTCAAATGAGTTTGATATTAATTTTGTGATTAAATTCTTATTGAGCATATTTCCCCTCAGAAACATAGAGACAGAGCAAGTTAGAAGGGTTCTCCCAGGCCATCTAGTCTGACCCCCAGCTCCAGCTGGCTCCACTAATGACATGAGTAGACTGACAATTAAGCTCGCCAAAAGCTCGACCAGTTTTTTTTAATGCTGGTTCCACATATACTGTTGGGCTACAACTCCCATAATCTCTGACCACTAGCAGTGCTGGCTAAGGATGAAAGGAGTTGTAATCCAATGCTATTTGGAGACCCAAGGTTTCTTTCTCCTTTCCTCTTATATTTGAATATGCATTAGTCATTCACTGTCCAAAAAAATACACAAAACACGCTCTACAACTTTCTCCTAAAATACATGCTTTCTTGTCTGGAGGCAACTATTATTTGCCATCTGTAATAACAGAACAAAATATTCACAAGCCTTACTACTGTGCCATGAAACTCTGCAGACAACTTACCCATATTGTGGAGCTCCTGTTTTAATATCACCTATAGTGACCTGAACATCATCTTCATCATCATCACTATCACTGTCACTATCATCTTCAGTTTCTGTCACTTTCTATAAGAAAAAGGCAATAATTAAGGACTCGCAACATCAGATTAAATTTAACTACAGTGCTTTATATTTAAGCAATATGCATTACTACAATGTTATGATATTTTTCCATTTTTTGGATAGCACTAATTGTTTTTGAGAGAGTATGAAACCTAAAAAGCTAAGCAAACAAAGAAATGTTAAATATCAGTTTTAAATTCATGAGTACTTCAAGAGAAAAAAAACAGTCCTTTCAACTAGCTTCCTAAGTCCAGGGCTTCCTCATATCAGGTGTGTGAAGGATTTCTTTGTATCAAGTATATAACAGGTTCATATCAGGACTTCAGACTTGTGGGGCAGTTTATTTAGGGGCAGACCCAAAATAGCCAAGACAATAGCTGAGTACACAGTGCTGCACAATCATGCAAATGTTTATTTTATGTCACCAGTAAGCAAGTTTCAGATTTCAGCCTCTGAGATAAAAATGAAGGGCCCATAAGCACACATTTACCCAGTATGTGCTTTTAATATCAGAACAAAAGGACATGGTTCTTCCACATAAAACCCACTACATTTTCCCCCTCAAGCTTCTGTTTCAGCAACCTAGTTTGTGAGGTGAAATTTTAGTGGATACTATTGTTAAAACAAATGGATGAGAAATCTTTGTCAATCTAATGCAAATGACATGGATCTTACTTTCTCCACATCATTACTCTATATGAACCATAATATTACATAACATAGGCTTTGCATTCAGCTTATGATGGGTGAGTAAAGGTAAAGGTTTCCCCTTGACATTAAAGTCCAGTCATGACTGACTCTAGGGAGTGGTGTTCATCTCCGTTTCCTAGCTGAGGGAGCCAGCATTTGTCTGCAGACAGTCTCCGTGGTCATGTGGCCGGCATGCCTAAACACCGAAGTGCACGAAACGCTGTTACCTTCCCACCGAAGTGGTACCTTTTTATCTACTTGTATTTGCATGCTATCGAACTGCAAGGCTGGCAGGAGCTGGGACAGAGCAACGGGAACTCACTCCATTGTGCAGATTCGATCCGGAGACCTTTCTATCAACCAGCCCAGCAGCACGGCAGTTTAAACCACTGCGCCACACCTGCATCCCTGATGGGTGAGTAAATACATGTTTATAGTTCAACAAGTTTACTCTTATCAGTGTGTGACTAGTAAATGCCTTAAGAGGTCTGTAAGCCCCAGAACACAGACAATTATGGACATAGTGGAGGAGAAGCAGAAATTATCTTTGCTTCCCAGTCTTCCTGCTTTGTATTTTCCACTGGTGGCCTTTTCATCCATCTATGACTCAAAGGAGGGAAGGAGGCTGTAAATGCTGCAAGATACCTTGTATCCTGGCCTCTCCAGTCACCTTCCTTTCTCTTTTTGTCTCCTCCAAGGTCACTTTCCATGCCAGCTGAGAAGGGATGAGGGAAGGGAATCAGAGCTGGGAGTCTGAAAAATTCTGTGCCCTCCCCACCATATATTGTCTAGGGGCCATAGAATTGTTCCCTCCAGAACAAAAGCAAGAGAATAAGGCAAAATCTAAATACTTATGCATAAACCTAGAACACCTGTTGAAAGTATTACTAAACATGATACATGCTACTTTCTCTAGAAATTTAATCAGTTTCCCCACTATGTTCCTGAATAATACTGCTAAAATATTCACAGATAAGCATTAGTTTAGGAAGGATTCATAATTCCAAGTTTGTTTTTTCCTTCAGTTTAAATAGTGTCTAATAGCTGATGGATCAAACATAATACACTCATATCACCTGAGTTCCAGTCCCACAGCCCTGAAAACTTTACTTTTTTTACCTCCAACAAAAAACAGCTTTGGCAGAAACTATTCAGAAAAGAGAAGTGGGCAGTGGAGAGGAACTGCTTAGTATTTTACCAAACTTAAATTTCTCTACTCCAAAGTGTACCCCAACCCTCTACTTTTCCCCTTGAGAGATTTCAACACAGACAGACTGATACTTGCTTTCCCATTGTAGGGAAGTAAAGAAAGCAGCAAGGGAGGCAGGATTTGAAACAAGAAATTCAGAGTTAAGGAAAGGGCCAAACAGCTTCTTTCAGTTCTTCACTCAAACTGGAGTCTTCCAAAACTACCATTTTTCAGAACAAGCTTCAACTATGGCTATAACCTGTAGTCTGTTCCTTTCAAGTGAGTTTTGTTATAGCTTCTCATTATGAAGGAAACTGTTACAGCACAAACCAAATAGACTAGCCAAAGCAAATCAAAAGAAATTCAAGCAGCACTAAGATGATTTGTTACCACATTAAATCTATTCTTTTTAATGCATACTGTTTTTTGTCTGAACTCCACAACTACAAAAGAGGATTTACTTTTTCATTTGATTGCTATCCTGCCTTTCTACCAAAAACTGCACTCAAAGCAAAATTTAATGGATTAAAACAATTCATTTTAAACAAGCAATTACAGAACCTAAAAAAGATCCACTTACAGGCCCAAAGCCTACTGTAATAAAAATAATAAAAAGACATTTGCCTGCTGGTAGAAGGACAGTAGGAGTGAATCTTGCCTTCCTTGGATGAAAATGCCACAATGTGAGAACAGCCACTGAAAAGGCCCTCTTAGGTCACCATCAAACCTGCCTTCTGAAAGCCAAATTCTTGAAAAAAGGGCCTCTCCAGAAGATCTTTAGAAATGGGAAGGCTTCTATGAGAGAAGGCAGTCATTCAGGTAGCCTGGTCCCAACCTAAAAAATTTTAGAGGTCTTTTCAAGCCACTTTTTTGAATTCTTCTGGAAACAAGATAGTAAAACAAACTGGAAAATCTATGGGTTTTCAAAGTTAAGAGTAATTCCAGAAATAGCTGTACTTTTCAGATCATTAAGCATGTATGTTCGCACTGACTAGTTCCTATCAGCTATCATAAGATTCTTAGAATCAAATAATGTTAATCCATTTTCTGTAATGTCAGTTTTATTGCTACTACCGTTTTTGCTACACCATTTTCAGCAGCAGCTTCTTCCTCATTTCCAGTTGGGGGTGGAGCACTTAAAAATAAAAAGTATTATATATTCAGTAGGTGTTAAGATAGATTTTTAAAAACATGTCATATAAACAGGATTACATAAAAATACACTCATTTTCGTGAGCACAACTTATTTTTAGAAAATTAGCTATTAATTTTAAAGTGGTTTCTGAGGCAGCAAATATACACATAAGAGAAACACATAATATTGCAAGCACCATGAAAATATTTTGAACTAATTAAACAACACTATTTGATGTAGCTACCTGTGAACACTGAACTCAGAGGAATAGAAGCATCCTATTAAGGATGGAAAAACTGGAGGCATAGACTACCTCTGTGTTTCTCCTACCCCACAAAACAAATAGCCAGTTTCAGCCATTTAAGTATCTTGCATCTGCTCACAAAGAAAGCAGCTCCTGGTGCTACAAAAACAGATTGTAACCTGGTGGAGCCTTACTCTTCATCTTCCCCAAAACATAGCTGCCAGTTAAAAGTTACATCTTCTATCCTTAGCTTCAGCTTGTAAGGAAAGAACCACACAATCTAAAAGGGTGGAGAGGGCATTCTGACATAAGAACTCTGGCTCCAGCTTCAAAATATGTTTTTGAGGTTGGAGAAAGAGCTCCAACCTTTCCTATGGCCTTCTAGACTGTTAATCCTAACTTCGAGATTCAGCTATAAGCACATCATACATTTCACATACATAGCAAGCACATGTTTTAAAAATATAGAGATATAAGAATGTCTAACTTTCAATGTAAAACGTATCAAAATATAAGTGAATTTATATCAACACACTTTACAGCAATTCTACAAAGATACACAATGGACAGACTACCTACCTGGCTGGTGTGTCCTCTGGTCTTTCCTCTTCATTCTCATCTACAAAAAAGCAAAAACAAAACTAAATCAAAATTCTGATATGACACAAATGAGAATGGCTCATAATAGTTTTAAATTATAATCTTATACAAAATGCATGCATCTATTTTTAAATTTTTCACTACCCTTTCTCACACCACTATGAAGTCTCAGATTAGTTAGGGTTTTTTTCCTTTCCTATTGGCCCCAATACATACCTGACACAGAAGTTATACAAGTGAAATTTCTATAGTCTCTTGGTTAAAATTGCAAAATTTTGTTTACTTCATTTTTGTATTTTAAGCTGCTCTGACAAACACAAGAACAAGTGCAGAAGGTGGCAAACATAATTGGAGAAATTTGTCCAAAGGATAAACCTCATTAAATTTAAATTAGTTTATTTATAGTGTGCTTAAAGGTATACTATTTAAGATTTCATCAAATAAAAAGATTATGCTTGGATTTAAAACAGTCCCCAATGGCTTGTACAGTATGCATTACCGGGATTTGCTAGCTTAACCTAGTCTGTTTACAGGGATAAATGAAATGACAAATCTTCCATTAACAGTAGAAGAATTTCATCCCATGTTTCTTTCTCATTACCTTATCAAACTTTTTGGTATTGGAAAGTGTGATATCCCTGGACCTATGCCTAAATTAACATTACCAAACAGCTCTCTTTTACAAGCAAGTTTCCATGCTTTTAATAGCTGCCTGTAAGCCAGGAAATCAACTAGCTAAGTTCTTCCTCTTACTGCCTTTTCAGGAAAATATTTTACCTGTTGACTTTGCATATCATGAAGCTATCAAAGTTAAAGCAAACATGTCATAAATATGAGAATTCTAATTCAAATTCTCTTCTATGGTGGGAAAGGATACAATTTATTCCAGATATTTCACAAAACTTTGTATGATACAACTTCCAATGAGCAATATAAGGCTAAGGGAGATGCAGTGATGCTCACCAGTTTGGATGGCTTTTCAAGACGAGACAAGACAATATAATATAATATAAGGCTAAGGCAATATAAGGCTAAGGGAGATGCAGTGATGCTCACCAGTTTGGATGGCTTTTCAAGACAATGAGACAAGACAATATAATATAAGGCTAAGGCAATATAAGGCTAAGGAAGATGCAGTGATGCTCACCAGTTTGGATGGCTTTTCAAGGCAATGATATGTAGTGGATAAAATTACCAATGATTTCTAGTCATGATAGTTACACATTGCCTTCCGTATCAGAGTCAGCATGCCTCTCAGTTGCTAGGGAACATATGAAGGGTGCAGTAATTGTGATAATGTCCTATCTGTGGGATTTGCATGAATGTGTGGTTGGCCATAATGCCAAAATAGATGGGCCTTTGGTCTAATCCAGCAGGGTTCTTGAGTTATTAACAAAGCTATTAGAATATTCATAACATTCACAACAATTTACCCTCCCTCTGCTGAAGTACATGTAGCAATTCATGAGAGATTGTACAATAATGGCCTATTGCCCTTTTATATAAGTATGAGTGACCTGAGGCTTCCCCCCTCCCGTATAGCATTTTTAAAAATAACTGTAACACCCAACCTTGTCCACTTCTGCTGGGTGTTGATACAGATATGGATTTTATGTTACTATGACACAGGCATACCTTTAGTGGCTTTGTTTTAATATTCCTGCATATTTTGTTTCAGAAATTTCAGTGAAATCTGAAATGTTCTCATATTCCTGAACTATTTTCTAATGGATTTAAATGGTATTTTCTAATGGTATTTAAAATTCTACCAGACATCAGTTCCTTTCTCTTTATGAATTGTAATCTTTTCTTACCACCTTCACAACACCCCACATTGTTTACATTATTTAAAACACAAAAGTGTAGCTTAAAAAAGGAACTAGGGGATTCCACTATTTTCCATACTTAAGACCAAAACAGGTTGTGCTTTGCTACTCTTAGCTTTCCAACCTGCCCTCATCTCCGTAGTTTATCTTACCAAGATGAACGGACTCTCTGAAATTATAACACAAAACATCTGAAGTCACTACCGGTTCAACCATGCCAGTCACCTCCAGAGACAGGAAGTGCACCAATATGGTGGCTGAGGTGCAGAGCACGAAAGAGACAGGCATGGAGTGGGGGGCGGGGAGATCAATGATTCGAGCGAGTTACAATTTGATCCTGCTTCGACCTTTTTCTCCAAAACGCGAGACCTCAGAAAAGCGACGTTATAGATAGCCCTGCCTTCGTTCACAATAGCCCAAATCTATCCCCTGCAGTTAATGGAACAGCACCATTCAGCCCCGTAAGGAAGGGCTCTTACGGCCTGACCCTACACAAGACTGAGTCTCGCAGACTTCAAGCTTCCAGTACAGCTACATAGGATTGCACTTAATATTAACCTAGCTGTGTACTTATCTGGAAGGAAGTGAACCGAGGGAAATATTTCAAGAGATAAGTCGCAGCAAAAAAGGAGGCGCTTGCTTAAGACAAAAATAAAGCGACGCTGGCTGTAGGGGCTATTAGATTAGCAGCACAGATTCTCCGAAGCCTCCGCGCTTCCAGAGCCTGAGAGCCCGGACTAGGCCGGGGGAGGCGCCGCGAACGGCCTGCAACCGGCACCCTGCCGCTGCGCGCCTCGACTCCGGGCCTAGCATTTCTCTTCGCTCGGCAAGGCCCAAACACCGTGCGGAGATGGCGGGGGTGGGGTGGGGGAGAGATACACGCACAGCTGAGGGGACTGGGGATGGGGAAGAGAGATTCGTACCGCCATAGAGCCACTCCTCCTCCTCATCCCCGGCGCCGGCCCCGCTCAGGTCCGCCGCCAGTCGCTCCACCTCGCCTCCCGCCGACATGGCCGTGTCCCCTCCCAACACACACACCGGACGAATAAGCCGCGCAAGGCCCGGCTACGTTTCGCGAAAGCGCGCTCCGCAGTGGTCCGCCTCGTCGTCGCCGCCGCGGAAGAGCGGCAGCAACGCCTCTCCCCGCCTTCGGAGAAGCCGAGAGGTTGCGACAAGCGGCGGCGACGGCACTGGAGCGCCTTCGTCCGCGCTTCCCCTCCCCCGTCTGTGTGACTGACACGCGCAGGAAGCGGCGGACTCGGCTTCCCACGAGCAGCGGCGGGGGGATTCTCTTCCGAGAGTCAGGCTGAGGGTAACGCAGAAACGGGGGCACAAGCCTCTTTTGGCACTGTAACGAGTGTCCTTCATAGGTGTGCCTATTCCAAAGTAAGTTGCACCGAGTTCAGTGTCGCCTACTTTCTAGCGGACGGCGCAGTCCTATATATGTCGTAGAGTTACCAGCATCCTGCCCGCAGTTTTGACTGAAGGCATGCTGGGAGTTGTAGGACTTTGGTTTAAACAAGCGTAGCCTTCTGCCGCATGGGGGTTTAGGATTAGGGCTTCAAACGCATTCTCGAGATTGGCTGTATGTCTCAAGGAATTTAGGAGGAATTCCCAACCAAACCTCAAGTTTTTCAAATGCCAAATCCCCGCATCTTCTCTAGGAAAGCCTCTGATATACTCGTATATACCTCACTGTGTACACTTTTAACAAGGTACAAATTCGTTTGACCCCAGTCAATAGATAAGTGCAAGCAAGGGCAAGACACAGTATTTTTTATTTATTTTATTTTTGGTTTTGGTTTGTTGAAACTCATAATAAAACACAAACTATTCTCATTACTTCGAAGCTACTGGCTAGTTTCCTAATGGTATTTACTGACTTGCAGTCATGGAAGGAGCATAACCCCAAACACCAAAGGTTTCAGATTGTCTACTCTAAATCAGTATTTAATTAATGCATTACTTGCTGCAGCAACAAATAAGGAATGGCATTGTGTTTGTGAAAATGAACAAGGCTTGTTGTGGCCTCACTACTCAAACATTTTTCACTCAGGGGTGACAGGTTTTTCTTTTATGTGCCAAGCAGCCTTCCATTCATTAGCAATTTACAATATTTTCTGTTTCTGGGGCACTCAAATTTACCCAGGATACACTGTTGGTGATTCACTCTTGAATCAAATGAAGCTATGGCTCCAAAAGTAGTCTTACACCAGTCTTCTTGAAACTGGTAGAATCTGGCCACCTTCAACTGTCATATAGAAAAAGACTGAGGCTGAAACCTGTTAGAACAATAATGAGGAACCTCGGGCCTATCAGGCCACTGCATCTGGTCTACTGAGGCCTCACCCATTCATCAAAAGCCCACCCTTTGTGGGAAGGAAAAGGAACCTGGTTTGGTTGGAAGCCATTGCCAGGAGTGTTTTGAAGATGTAGTTCCTGAAGGCTGAGGGAGGCTTGTTTTGTTAGAATTCCTCTATTAGCACTGGAAAAAGGGCTCCTTGTTCTCAAGGCACAGAGCAAAAACACAACCAGATGGATTACCTTTTCTTTTACGGGGCTGGGAAGTGGGCTGAGATTGAGGGTTTAAAATGCCCTGCCTGCAGTCTCACTTTCCTTGGCTGTCCAGCTGATTGGTGTGTGAGATCCAAATGTAGATATTTCAGGCAACTGTTGCAATCCTCAAACTTAATAGAGGCTTTTCTCTCCTCCATCTTTTTTTTTTTTTTGGCCAACATGCTATTACACTGAACAAGACTTGATGCATTGTAAGAATAGGTGTCACAATGCTGCAATCCAATCCTATGCATATTTACTGAAATATCTTGCTGTGCTCAGTAGGAGTTATTCAAAAGTACATCTGAATTGCAACCCACAACTTTTCTTAGTGACAGCCTCTCATGAATATGGAAAACTGTGATACAAAAAGAATGTGGAAAAAACAAGAATTATGAGGATATGTAGCAAGAATGACTGTATATATGAAGTACAGAATATGAAAATACTTAGTATTGGTTGTAGTATTGGCCATGAAGTTGACAAAGGATCAATTAAAACTAGAAGAAGTGTAAAGATAATTAACTAGAATTATAATAGAAACTGAGAATATATGCACAGGCTAAGGATGTAACCCTATGCATGTTTAGGCAGAAAAAAGTTCTACAGCTCTTAGCATGTCCCAGTGGGCACCTGAAGGACTCTTGTTTTCCCATTATTATTATTATTATTATTAGAACATTTCTATGCCGCCCCTTGCCGAAGCCTCGGGGCGGCTTACAACACAATAAAATACAATACAAAAATAACAATATAAAATTAAAATTAATAATATAAAATAAATAAAAAATATAAACGATATAAAGAAGTTATAAAAGTTATAAAAGAAAAGAAAAGAGAAGTCGCCCTGGCCAGATAAATAAGTAAATATTGTTAACAATTAAAATGACGTTTAAATAAAAAGGTCTTCACCTGGCACCAAAAAACAAATAACGACGGTGCCAGGCGGACCTCTCTGGGGAGCACATTCCATAGATTAGGCGCCAACACAGAGAAAGCCCTCCTCCGAGTACCTACCCTCCTAATTTCTTTCACGGAGGGTTCCCGGAGAAGGGCCTCTCCCGCAGATCTCAAGGGGCGGTCAGGCATATATGGATGTAAGCGCTCCTTCGGGTAACCAGGTCCCAAGCCGTTTAGGGCTTTATAGGTCATCACCAACACCTTGAATTGGGCCCGGACTTCAATGGGAAGCCAGTGAAGCTGTCGGAGGACTGGAGTCATGTGAATATAACGCCCCGTCCCCGTCAGCAACCTGGCAGCTCTATTTTGAACCAATTGAAGTGTTCGGACCGTCTTCAGGGGAAGCCCCACGTAAAGCGCGTTACAGAAGTCAAGGCGGGAAGTCACCAGCGCGTGTGTCACCGTCGCCAGGCAGTTGTACTCCAGGTAGGGGCGCAGCTTAAACAGGCATAGGGTGTAACCTAAATCTTCACTCCTTTATTCATTTCAGTTTTTAAGCCCTATTGAATTCAATTGGACTTACATCTGAGTAGATATAGTTGCATTATTAAAGGGACAAGATAATACTATATATCATTTGAAGAAGGAAATGTAGCACTAAAGTGAAAGAAAGTGGTGGGTACTGGATACAGAACAATAATTACTACAAATTGGCAATTAATACATTCACTCCAGAAATCAGAAGTATTTTCACTGTCACTTTTTTTTTCCAACTGTAGAAATACGCAGAACCATAGAACACTCTTTGGATCAAGAAAAAGGATGGCATATATAGTTTTAAACACTTTAAGAATTTTATTTAGTAGCTTAGACATTTCATTTGGGGTTTTGTACCAAATATACATGTACATCAGACGTGAAATATGCATGTACATACTTTTTCTGCACATATCTCTTTAAGAGACACAAAAACAGCAATTGGAAAAGATTTAGTCACTGTTTGCTTATGTATTTGGCAAAAAAAATCCATGTGCATCTACTCTGATGCACATTTTGTAGCATGTTTTCTACACAAATACTAATAGTATGAAGAAATGCTTAGTTAGGGATCCCTACAGACCCAAACGGTTGTTTTATTTAGTGGTTTTAAATTATGGCCGAGATACTCCACATTTTTAATGTTATTCTATTCATTTATTCTCTTTGTAAGCCGCCCCAAGGCTTCTGCAATGGGTGTGACATAAAAATGTTATAAATAAATAAACTTTTTCTCATTCATACTCTTGGATTTTTCCTTATTTTGCTGTTATAGCGTAAATGTAGAGAAAGTCTATTGTATGACATGGGTGTGTTTAAGAAGACTTAATGGATGGGTTTGCCCATATTCAGTGTTTCATCAATTAACGTATTTGGGTGTAGTGAGAGATTTCCCTCTAGAATAGATTGACTGATAGGTTCTTTGGAGCTTGATTCATTTACTAGTATGATTTGAGGTAATGGTTCTGCAAGAACTTCAAATTGTTTTCTTGTGGCACTGTAGTCTGGATTATGCAATTTTCTGATGTGGAAGATTAATCTGAAGAGCTGGCAGAACTGTATAAGATTATATATAAACCTGGAAGGCTTTTATGGTTCTTAATGATGAGACTGAAAGAGGCCCCACTATCATCACTGGCACATTTGGTGGGAAAATGGAAGCAAGCCTTCATACCTGCTGCTCCTAGGCTTTGGAGCTCTCTGCCAAGAAAGGCCAAATTAGCTCCATCTATTCTCTTTCCATCTACAACAAAAGACATTCTTAGTCAGACAGGGTTTTGGCTTCTAAGCTGACATACTGCTGAAGTAGGTTTTAACCTGGTTGCTGTTATTTCCTTCTTGTTGATGTGCTTTGATGGAAGTGTTTTCACTGGAATTGTATTAAAAATAATCCATGTGATAAATAATTTCCATTGGTTTATCAACTTGGTTGTTTTGTCATTTTATTGTTAGATGCCTTGAACAATAATTTAATGGAAAGGCAAGATATAATTTATTTATTTATTTATTTAGGAGACTTCTATGCCGCCCCATTCGCCAAAGTCTCGGGGCGGCTCACAACCATAAATAAACTTCAAAATAGAATAATATAAATTAACAATATAAATTAAGTCACCCTGGCCAAAGAATAAAATGAATAAATAATATTAACAATTAAAATAACATTTGAATAAAAAGGTCTTTGCCTGGCACCAAAAAACAAATAAGTAAATAAATATAATTGGTCCTTTCAAATTCTAAGTTGATAAATATTTTGCTAAATCCTATGGTTTGTGCCCTCACAAGGCAGAAGACATGTATGGAGGCTTTTGTGTATCCACTGCCCTGCCATGCTGAAGCCAGCAGGACAATATGAATGGAAGAAGTGATCTTTGCCACCCTGCCCTCTGATCACTAGATTTTTTGCTAGACAGACTTTCCCCCACATCTAACAATGGTATTTCAGAGGAGGAGGAAAGGAGGCTGCAAGAGACTCAGGATACCTCATATACTGGCCTCTTTAGTCTCCTCTCCTCCTACAAGGTAGATTTTCCCACCTTGGATAGCAGTTGACCTGGTTCTTTCTGCACCTGTTTGATTCCCACTTCTAAGATTGGAGGACTGTTTCATCCCTAGTATCCTACAGCCCTAAGCCTATGTCTAGGAAGCACAGGATTGTGCAAGAGTACCACAGTGCAATCCTATGTATGTCTACTTAGAAATATGAGAGAATGTAAAGGTACTTCCTCATTAGTGATTGGAGATTTGCCATCCCATGTTGTAAAGGTTTACACACATATATGTTCACTGATAGTCAACTTGCTTCAGCTCTTTTAAGAGAAACAAGTAACACCACAATAGACAAAAAACCCATCTCTCTTGTGATTTATCAGATAACCTTTTTGGGGTTCAAAGGTAAACCTGCACATTTAATTCCTCCAAAATCAAGACATCCAACTCTTATCATATTCAAGAATAAAAAATAAATTCGTTTAACATGTATTAAGGGTGCAATCTTATACATATTTAGGTAGAAAAAAACCTTTTGTAGGACTTTTGTCTAAATATGCCTAAGATTGCACCCTAACACTGATACAGGGGTAATTGTGTTTCCAGATGTATTCAGCATTCAGTTGTGATTAATATTACCTTACCCCAATCAATCCTATTTTGTCTTTCACAGTGTTGAGCCTGGTAACATTTTATGAGCGCATTATAAATTTAGAAAAATTAGATTGAGGACACAGCAGAAGTGCCAATAATGGGAAAACACCAATATAAAATAGAAACTTAAGGCATTAAGTGGAAATGCAGCACGTTGCTTATGGCAATAACGAAACGCCCATTATACATCGCTGAAGCTCATTTTCGCCTACTGGCTGTACCTCCGTCATCAAGCAAGACATGCCGTTTTGCAAACTAGCTGCAAACGCTACGTGGTCGCGAACTGCAGAAGCCTGTTTCCGCCGTATCGAGTAGCCAATCAGCGCTGGGCGCAGAGAAAAAACGTCATATGAATGGGTCGGCTCTGCGAATAGGCATGTAGGAGTGTAGCGGCTGATGGTGTTGTCAACGTCTCTCGTAGCTGTTTCTTCCTGCATGTTTTTAACCGGTTGAAGTTGCTTTTTGTGGACTCGCATTTACGTGTAGCCTGCTTCCCCTGGCCCCGGATTGTACCAGGGTTTCCCTGCGGCGCAAAGCAGAGGGTTTCGTTCTCCTTCCCACTTCTTGCTTCACTCACTCCCCTTGTGACCTTTCCCTTGAAGGCAGCGTGAACGCCACTCATCAAGAGGTGCAAGGAATCGTCATCTATTCTCCACTCACAATGTCTGCAACCTCCTCCTTTCCTGCAGTCCCAACTGGGGTCTCGTCCTTTTGCCAGCAAGCTTGGGAACAAGTGTTTGCAAAGGTGAAGCGAGCTGTCGTGTTCATGGACCCAGCTTGTGCTGAGAGCCTTCACTGGGGCTGTGGAGGAGTGGAGAGGATGCTACAGGCTGGGGCTCTCAATGTGAAAGAGTTTTCCAGCTTTGAATCTGGTGGGGCTAAACAGCCCAAGGCAGTCTTTGTGGTGAGCAGCTTGCTGAAAGGCAGGACAGTGGACATCATTCGTGACATTGTGAGTCTCAGCCACTTCCAGTATTGTGTGGTTTTCACAGCAGTCAGTCATGCAGTGCACTTGCAGGCCCACAATGCCACAAGCAGTACTGAGGTTGAAGGCAGTAGCCAGGTGGTCTTTGAACAGTTTGAAGAGAAACTCTGCCAGTGGATGGGTAATATGAACTATACTGCAGAGGTGCAACACGCCACTTTGTTTCTGGCACCTATTTCACCTCACCTCTTTGTAACACCAGCTTTTTCCTTGCTTTTCCCCCTGATGGCTCAGGATTTGATGCAGATCAATAAGACTAGACCAGAGAAGAAAAAGCTTGCTAACCTGACTGATATTGACTTCTCATCCCTGTCTTTAGAGTTGCAGCTTGGAATCAGGTCACTAGTATCTAATTTCAACAGCTTATTTGAGTACCTCAGTGTGCGGGAGGAATGTTTTGCTGTTGGGCCACTTAGCAGGATCATTGCAGGGGATCTGGCAAATTACTCCCAGGCCAAGAGCAGAAGGAAAACAGCACAAAACAGAGCTTCTGTCATCTTTGTAGACAGGACATTAGATCTGGCAGGTAAGGATCTTGATGTTTGGGGGTTAATAATTTACTAATGTTAAAATTATTTTGATCTGGTACAGAAATACTAGTTTTAATATGCATCTGCTGACATCAACAAACAGCTCCTAAGGACTCTCTAGACAGAACCACTTTTAAAACCATGCTTAAAACAGTGGTGCTGGGAGGAGTTTAGAGAACAATATTCAGAGGGCTAACCCCTAGTGTCTGGTTGAAGTATTGCAAGAAAGAGAATTGGCTAGATACCTTATATTCTATCATCTTCCTCAAAGAAACTTTAGTCACTTCTGTATTATAAGACCTGGAACAGGGAAATAAGTTGGGCTATTGATACCATAATGATTGCTCTTAAATGTCTTCCATTGCTATTGCATTTGCATAAAACACGTTCAGCTTTTTTGAGTGATACAGAGCTTGCTTTAAACAGGTCCAGTAGATCAGCTTGTGGAAGTTTTTGAGCATCTATCTCTAACTTTGCAGAAATCATGGGATCCAAATTGGGGTGGATATGAACAAATTCATCTGCAAAATCTAATGCAAACTGGACACTTTTCTGATTGTGCAGTAGGAGAATGTTTGCAAATTACTTGGAAGGTTGAAAGCTACTACCTGTTCTTTGCATCTTTGACCTTCCTGGCTGATGAACAAGTTTGAACTTATAGCTCTGGATAACTTTTCCAAGTACTAAATTAACTATTCATGAGACAAGATCTTAGAGTGTGCAGTAATTTGTCAGTTGTAGGCCATTGTAGAGGACACTGGTTATTTAGATCCAATGTTGGTTTTGGCCTACCTTCAAGACACAAACTGCCTTGATCACTCTGATGAACAACATGCTGAAGAATCAGTGGGGGAAGAGTGACCTGGTTCTCTGTCTTCTCTCAGCAGTTTTCTATACCATTGACCATGGGTCACTTCTCTGGGATGGGACCTGAAGGCACAGTTTATTTCTGAAGGGATAGGCCCAGAAGCTGGTGCTGAAGGTCTTTTGTTTCCATTGTTACTCATTGGCCTTTATCTTGTACCACATGCCTTTTGACAGTTATGTAAAATCACAGGGAGAAGTCATTTGGAGGTTTGTGTTGAAATGTCATCACTATGTAGATAACTCACAGTTTGACCTCTCTTTTCTACAAACCAATCCAGGGATTGAAATAATTTAGACTAATTATTGTCTAATTAGTCAATAGTCTTTTGACTACAGTAGCAGAATTAGTCAATAGGATTGTCTATTGTGAGCATAATAGACTATTTGGAAAAAAAGGCACTACCATAGAATAGCTGCCATGGGAGGTATGTGCAAAGGATAAATACGTAGCTGCCAAAAGACTAAGTACAAGGTACTGTGGGGACTGATGCCCAACATACTAAGCATCTTCCTAGAACTCACATTTTTCAGCTCCAAAAGAAACATATTTCAGAGCAAAATGTATTCATTTTTAAAATTTGTTTTTAAAGAAGGAGGGGAAGGGAATCTTGATGGTAGCAAAGAAAAGTGTGTTGGACAGAGTGAAATATTAGTCTTGATGGAGTTTTGCAATGACTGAAATCAGACAAATTGAAATTTTTGATGCTTTTGATGCAGGCTTGTGATAAGTTTGGACGTGGTTATATCTCCCTAGTGATACAGTACTGTAAGCTTGGGGTCTCCCTGAACACTATCTATGGAGGCGCTGGTGGCATTGGTGGCAAAGAGTGCCTTTTATAGCTTAGGCAAGTTCATAACCTCTGGCCCTCCCTGAAAAAAGTTGAATTATCATAGGTACTGACGTTTTGGTTATATCCAGATTAGGTTATTGTAATTTACACTATCTGGGACTGCCTTTAAGACTGTTCAGAAACTTTAGCTGCTGCAGAATGCTACTAAATTGCTTGTGAGTATTTGAGAGCATATTGATCCAATTCTGTATCAATTACATTGGCTGCATATTCATTGCTGTGCACCACTGAGTATCTGGGGACCAGTTTTCTTAAAGGTTATTGCCACTCATATGAGTCTGTTTAGCTTTTAGATTGGCTTCAGAAGCCCTGTTCTTTGGCTGCAATTGGTGAATACTAAAGACAGAATCCTTTTAATGGTTTCTCTGTGACTTGTGTATTTTCCTGGGAAGCAAATTCCAATGGCCACATCAATTTTGAATATTAAAATAACCTTGAATACTGTTTTATTTCATTCCACATTGAAGGGATGTGCTATTTCTTGAATTATGCTACCAAACATGATTGACAGTAAGTGCAGTAAGGCATGTTTACTGAACAGCATTATTGGTTAGTTGATAAAAAAAGGTAGTTCTTGCATTTGAGAGTAGTTCTTGTTACACCTGTGGAATTTGCCCCATATCGATATGCATAGAATTCAGATATATGGGAAACTGCCCACAGCTGTATCCCCTTGAGCATCGATATGGTAGACTTGCTACTGTGCCTCAACGGATTCTATATCTCATTGCTTGGAAAAGCATACACAGATAGGAGAGGCAATCAGAACCATGGGAATTTACAAGAGTCTTATTATTTGTGTGGTATAACTCTTTACTTTGTACCCATATATTGGGGCACTTGCCCAGTTTATTTGCATAAGAAACCAGTGCTGAACAATACTTTGCATAGATACCAAGTGGATGGAGTCTGGCAATGGGAGTACCAGTACAGATTGCCATCCTGTCTGCATTGGTTAGATCAGGACGTCTCTTCTAAAACTGTTCTTTAGAAAAAGAGTTAACACACAAGTTTAGTACAAATGCTGATCTCCAAAGGGCAAGCAGCATGGCCTCTCCTTGGCACATGCATAAGCACCAAGGATTCCGACATAAAAATAACCACCCCACCACACAAGCAATCTATCCAGCACACCAAACTAAAATTCTTCTTGTACATAGGCACTTCAATGCCCATGGCTTACACAGTCCCTTTCATGTGAAAATATAGAGCCCACTCCTCACCTAAGGGCCTCACTTGGGTGTTCCTATACTTTCTGGAAAAATAAATGAAATGTAACCCTGTCTCTTCAGAAGCCAGGCCAAATATCTGACATTTTTGTGGAAGATGCCAATTAACTTAAATGGATTTTAATAAACTATGGGTTATTTGTGAGCTTGAGTGTGCTGTCTTTCCCCTGCTTATGATTTTTGAAACAACACAGACATTATGTTTAGGGATAAACAACTCAGAATTTTAATTAATGGTTTGTTGTTAAGTTAAAACTCTAGGTTGTTTCTCTCTCAACAACCTGTTATACTAACTTTATACTTTACGGTAACAGCATTGATTTTTTTTTAAATGAACTAGAAAGAAAACAGAAATGGTGAACAGGCAATTAGCAGTACGCCCACTTCTGCACAGCCATCCCATGTTCTGTATTGTTTAACTCAGGAATTGGCATTTCATGGGAACTAAGGGAACTCTGAAATTGTTGATTTGTAGCTCCAAAGTTACTATTTGGCTGCAGTTGGGTGGATGCCTGCCCATAGTTCTGGACTTGCTCAAGCGCTCCTTGTGAATGAAGATGCATAATTTGCTTAAATCATGTTCAGATAAGTTGGTAGGCCTTTGTGATTGCAGTTGCTTTGTCAACAAACTGCTGACATGATTTAGCCAGCATCCCAGTTAGTGTCATAATACAGTTTCCATTTAAGAGACCCAAGAGTAATGATCTAGCTTACTTTTTCCCATTTCACATGAAGGGTGTGAATTGTACTCATTTATTGCAGACTTTTTTTTTCCAATAAGAATTTTTTTTTGGTTTTTATATTATTATGGAGCTGGGATTTTTTAAATCTATTTTTCTGTAAACTAGCTTCCAAAATTCACTTTCTGTGTAATTTTCACATTAACATTGAGTAGATGTTATTAAGCAGCTGTACTATGCCGGAGTAATTTCATGAGTCCTTACGGTGCCACAAGACTTGTTATTTTTATTTAATATTGTTATCTGATACTTTTTCTGCTCTGTATTTTATTTCTTCTCAGAAAGTCCTAAAATTTTGCCATTTGGCTGGATTTATTTTTCCAGGAGCAGTTGCCCATCATGGTGATAACCTGGCAGAGAAGATTCTCTCAGTGCTTCCCAAACTTCAAGGTCATACAAATGACGTGAAGATCAATATGGTGGAACTAACAAACCTGCAGACTAAAGATGCAAATTGCAACATCATAGCACCAGGCTGCTTAGCACAACCAAAGTAAGTCTTGGTGTATGAGTACACTGGCTTGTCTATTCCCTGATAGTATGGATTAAGACACATTTATTTATAATGTTTTTATATCCTCTAAGCTTTCTGGGCCATGATTTTGCACTGGCTACTCACTTTTGCACATACCTTCCTTTCATATGCAAAAGTATTTATTTAATTTTTATGCTGCTCAATAGCCAAAGTCATTGTGGTATCCTAGTTACTAGTGTCTGCAGTTGTGGGGGGATTTCCTCTTGCTTATTGACTCACAACCAAGTTTCATATCACTTTCCTCTGTTATTTATACGGAAATGAAGTACAAGAAGTACTCAACACAATTCCAAATTAGTCATTTTTATTAAGTCATCTAATTAGCCAATTTGACTCCTTGGTAAATGTTGTTAACCAAGTTGTTATGGTAAATGTCTATATCCTTGCTTGTTAATCAATCTGCTATTCTGAAGATTGGGGTACCAATAGGAGGAATGTTGTTTGTGATAGCGACACAGTAGAATTGTTCACATAACACAAAGGAATTGAAGGGACTTCTCACCTGGTGAGGGTGACTTGTTGGGGCAATTGACAAGCCACCTGGAACCCATGGGTGGTTTTAGGATTGCCCAGAGTTTGTGTCACAAAAAGCTATATATATACCTGTTGCACCCCAAATATTGAAAATGGCAGCTGCCACCCCAACAAGAAATCCCATAGGGAAATTCACTCATAACTTCTCCTTATATGCAAACTGGGCTGAATTGTGGGTTCTGGCTGGTTTGTTAATTGCTCCAGCCAGCCAAGTTTGGATGTCATAACAGCCCACACCTGATGAAGCTAATTAGGGAAATCAGCTCAGTCCATTATAAAATTCTTTTTCAACAAAGGAAATAGCTATGTGCTGGCTGCAATGTTTTCAGGGCAAAAATAATACCCCAAGTATTATATGGTGTCCATGTATGGCTAAATGCATTGAGTTGTTCAATTGAATGGATACATTCCTCGTTCCTGTGGAAAATCTTGGGACTGCCAGGGTGTCTCCCCTATTCAGTACTGTGCTTGGAGACAAAAAGGAAATAAAAGGGCAGCACAACATTAAGGTCTGCAATGCAGCTCTTTTACCCTGTCATTATTTGGCTTTGCATGGATGTTATTAAAAGCTGGTTGCATGCAAACAATGCACACACCCAACTGAGTAGACTTTTGAGAGCCTTAAGTTTATGCTGCAGTAAGGGAGCATGTCCTGTGCATGCTCAGACTGAAAAAATGCCCTGACTGTTCAAATATGCAGTCCTGTGCTTAGTTAGGCGGAAAAGATTAGTTTTCCAGTTTGAATTCCCCCTCCTGGCAGCATTCTATCTGGGGAACACTGGGAGTTGTGACTTTTTTTTCTGTCTATACATGTATACGATTGCACCTAAGGAACTTTTACAGATTAACTATTTGAAAACTAAAATCCTGGTGTTTGGGAAGAAATACCAAAGGAAGTTGGATGATGAATTGTAGAAGCAGCTGGAAATTAAGGAAATTTCCAGGTGTGACATTTAGATAAATTCTGAATACTGGTTTGTCATTTTGAAAGTTATTGCACTGGTGGCCAGTTTGACTAACTGATTAAGTGGCATGCTTGTTTGAGTTCTGTAAAACCAGATCACTGTCCCAGCATCTGTATGGGATCCCTGTGTAGTCTCATTCAAATACTGTCCATAGTGTCAGAATAGCAAGCATTTTTGTCTACAGTTTGGGTGGCTTCTAGATTCACTCCAAAGGCAATTGTTTGAATAGAATTAGCATGGTATTAATTCAGAGCTTTAGCTCAGCATACAGCTGTTTATTTTTTGCTGAAGATAATTTTACATGGGAAAACATAAGAACAGAATCATGGGCTACAAAAATGCATGAGATTATTCCTAAACTGGGTTTCTCAGTGGGCTATAGGATAATAAGGGGCTGTGGCTATCTAATTATGTCTTATTGATAATGGTGCTGTTAATACATTACAGCAGCTCACCAGTTTAAAAACTAACGGGTTGTCAGGGACGACTGGAAGAGTTTGGTTGCACTGCCTATGACATACCTGCTTTTTTTACTTTTCTCAGCAACTCATGAATAACTGCTGCTGGGTGTGATGCCTCAGCCTGGATTGCTGAATTGTTTAGAGGCTGAACAACCCAGTGATCAACCAAACTGTAATCCATGGGTTCAGCCTCTGGGTTCTTTAACCCTCACCTGTCCAGAAAGACAGGTCCATATGTCATGACTAATAATTCAAGTAGCTTTGGGAAAAAAAACACTGAGTATGCTGGAAGCAACGCATTTGCTCACTGGAGAACCTATGTGAACTGGGCTTTAGTATTATGTTTCAACCAGGTCATTAATCTGAAATAACTCACTAATTGTTTAGTTGCAGACCTTCTGTTAACATATATTTAAAGCTTAAGCTTGATAGATTTAAATTGATTTACAGGGTTGGCAATTAGCGCTCACATGGACATCATCAGTGATGTAATTCTTCATAAAATACTCATTGATAGCAATATAATTTCATTAGAATTATCTTCTTAAATAAAAGTCTGTCTGTGTGTGTGTGTGTAAAACAATCTCATGTGTTTAGAGGAAGCATAAAAATAGATTGGCATTCCATTTTTAAAAAATATTTTCTTCTAAGTATTTCTGATGTGTTGGGTAGTGGAGAAAAGAGGTCTCCTTACCCCAGACTGCTGTATCTAATGTATTCTAAAACAATTCTATATCTAGTCAAAACATCTGGATTTAGTTATGGGGTTGCCAAAAATGAATATTTATAGTTGGCATAGTGTTATAAAGCAGAGTGTTTCATTAAACCCAAAGAAATAATGATAATATTTCTTTTAAGCTATACACAAATGTATAAATGCTGCATACTTCTAAAGCTATTACACTTTGAAGGCAATTATCTGATTAAATTGAATCATTTCAACAATAGCTTAAAATTATTTTAATAAAATTAGGGCATCTTACAATTTCTCTTGCTGTCCATTTTCCCTCACAGCAACAACTCTTCAAGGTAGATTAGGCTAAGAGTTAGTGACTGACTCAAAGTCACCCAGGAGATTCTGGATTGCATAGGTCCTTAGTCCATTAAATGATTAAATAATGATAAAATATTATAAAACCAATCACTATAACAATGGAACATATGTAATTAGAATAAGCAGTGGTAGCTGGTAGTGCTAAAGGTCAGGAAACACCCAGGCAAATAAATGTGTCTTAAGTTGCAGTCAGAAACACTCCACTCTGAGAGCCCACCTGATCCCAATGGGAAAAATGATGGATGCCACAAGAGAGAAGTCCTTCTTGCACACCTTAAACAAATGAATGGCAGTAGGCCACAGTACAATAAGCATGACTTCCCCTTCAGAAGGCAGAAATTAGGGCAACCTGTATGTAGGAAGGTAATCTCTCAAGCTAATCTGGTTCTGAATTGTTTAGAGACTTACAGACTAGAAGTATCACCTTGGCCATGGCTTAGTAGCTGATTAGCAGCCAGTGTAGAATTTTCAGCAAAGGAATTATATGTACAGAGGAGGAAATGCCACTAAGTCATTTACAGTTGCATTCTGTACTAGCTGCCACTTCCAGACCTATCTCAAGGGCAACCTCACAATTAAGTAAATTACAATAGTCCAGTCTTGAGAATACAAGTGCACGAATCACTGTGGTCAGGGCTTCCTTGTCCACGAACGGTTGTAGCTGAAACAATGAAATAATATAGTGGTAGTAATGGTGACAATACATCTTACATCTGGTATCCATAGAGAACATATTTTTCTTAGATGTCAGGAAAATGGACAAAATGCAAATGCTTGATTCCAGAACACTGAACAAGGAAGATCAATCAGTGACTGTGTGTATTCTTATCCCATATATCCTACATTTGCCTTTCAAATCCTGCAATTTAAATGTGGTTCCTCTGTTCTGTAGGGAGTGAAAACCATTTAGATCTAATTCACCTGCTTGGATGCTCATATTCAGTCCCACTGATTTGTCAACTCATAATATATTGATAGCAACACTTTGCCAGTAATCAAATTAAACCTTCAAATAATCCAAGCTCACCATTTTCACATGACAAATGCAACCTGCTTTCCATTGACAGCACAGTTCATTGTGAATTAAATAGCCCTGAATGAACCATGGCATGTTGTCAGAACTCAGTCATAGTTTCCATCTGGTACCCATTCGAGCAGTACTCAAGCAAGATCAACTGTTTGAAGCATGAGAATGGGCTGCAACATTCAGCCTGAAAGATATTCCATTTGAAAGCTTTCACTGACTCTGCCACTCTTGGTTGAGCAAACTTCAGCATGTCAAAGTATTTCAATATGCTGCATATACTTTTATGATATGATTTGCATTTCCCACTTAACCAAAGAGTGTACAGAGCAAAATATGCCTTTTAAAATAGAAGCTTTGAAAGCACATGGAAAGAGATCAGTTTAAAAACAAACGACAACTGATATTGTAGGAAGATAAGCTGACAAAGATTTCCAGTAAAGAAGATTATATATCCTTAGGCATAATCTGTTTAGGGGTTTTATTATATCTAGCAGTATATTACTCTCAGAATAAATAAATGCATCTGGGGCAGGGAGCCACCTGAAGTGGGACAGTGTTTTGAATCACCAACAGCTAGCAACCCATACTTTGGAAAGTGGAGCCTGAGGTATGTGTTAAGATTGTGTGTGCAACTCACTTTGGGAATAGGGCTGAGGACAAGAATCCACATGGTCACCCATAATGAAGATGACATTCTCAGAGCCACACAGAAAAGTGGTATTTGGATCTTGGCAGCAAGTTCTGAGAACATCCAAAATCCACCCCCTTACATGTTGTAGTACTAATGTTTCTGATCCATCTAGTTTTAGTAACATGGAATCACACTCATACCCAGCCACCCCATTCACATAAAACACACACACACAGAGTGTCCCATCATTCACACAAAATGATGGTGCATATCCATGAAGCCTTGT